CAACCTCACCACGCCTCACCTTCCCCTCGAGAACCTCACCACGCCCTCACCTTCCCCTCGAGAACCTCACCACCCCTCACCTTCCCCTCGAGAACCTTACCACGCCCTCACCTTCCCCTCGAGAACCTCACCACGCCCTCACCTTCCCCTCGAGAACCTCACCACGCCCTCACCTTCCCCTCGAGAACCTCACCACGCCTCACCTTCCCCTCGAGAACCTCACCACGCCCTCACCTTCCCCTCGAGAACCTCACCACGCCCTCACCTTCCCCTCGAGAACCTCACCACGCCCTCACCTTCCCTTCGAGAACCTCACCACGCCCTCACCTTCCCCTCGAGAACCTCACCACGCCCTCACCTTCCCCTCGAGACCCTCACCACGCCCTCACCTTCCCCTCGAGAACCTCACCACGCCCTCACCTTCCCCTCGAGAACCTCACCATGCCTCACCTTCCCCTCGAGAACCTCACCACGCCCTCACCTTCCCCTCGAGAACCTCACCACGCCCTCACCTTCCCCTCGAGAACCTCACCACGCCTCACCTTCCCCTCGAGAACCTCACCAACCTCACCTTCCCCTTGAGAACCTCACCACGCCTCACCTTCCCCTCAAGAACCTCACCACGCCTCACCTTCCCTTCGAGAACCTCACCACGCCCTCACCTTCCCCTCGAGAACCTCACCACGCCTCACCTTTGCTCACCTCACCACGCCCTCACCTTCCCCTCGAGAACCTCACCACGCCTCACCTTCCCCTCGAGAACCTCACCACGCCCTCACCTTCCCTTCGAGAACCTCACCACGCCCTCACCTTCCCCTCGAGAACCTCACCACGCCTCACCTTCCCCTCGAGAACCTCACCACGCCTCACCTTCCCTTCGAGAACCTCACCACCCCTCACCTTCCCCTCGAGAACCTCACCACGCCTCACCTTCCCCTCGAGAACCTCACCACGCCCTCACCTTCCCCTCGAGAACCTCACCACGCCCTCACCTTCCCCTCGAGAACCTCACCACGCCCTCACCTTCCCCTCGAGAACCTCACCACCCCTCACCTTCCCCTCGAGAACCTCACCACGCCCTCACCTTCCCCTCGAGAACCTCACCACGCCCTCACCTTCCCCTTGAGAACCTCACCACGCCCTCACCTTCCCCTCGAGAACCTCACCACGCCCTCACCTTCCCCTCGAGAACCTCACCACGCCCTCACCTTCCCCTCGAGAACCTCACCACGCCTCACCTTCCCCTCGAGAAGCTCACCACGCCCTCACCTTCCCTTTGAGAACCTCACCACGCCTCACCTTTGCTCACCTCACCGATTTTTTTTTCCTCTTCCCCCCGAAGCGACATCGTGATTTTGTCGCCTCCTTAACCTGCCGCCGCCGCCGGTATTACCGTTGTCGCCGTCGTGATCATTCGATCTTCTAATCCTCGTAACTATCTACAACAACATCGTCGTCCTAGCCATCGCCACCACCACCATCACTCGATTCGTCGTTGATTTTTGTTGGCCTCAGGCCACTGCGCAGAAAATCCGCCCGGCTCTGTTATCGATAAGAGCCCTCCCTCCACCGCCCGACCCAGCCCAAATAAATGACGAAGATTTCGGTTTGCGGTTTGCGGTGCGTAAGTGTTCGACGGCGAAGCGCCGACCATTATTGTTATTTTTCTTGATTTGAAGCTTTCGTGACTGCAGGAATCCATACTGTTTGGTTCTTTCGGTAAAGTCACGGAAGGTAGAAAATTAAAACAAAAAATAATATCGAAACGTCGTGATGTATTATTTATTGTTAAAATTTTATATCTACATGACTTTAAAGAACCAAATAGTATGATTATTCTTCTTCTTCACAAAGGGTTTTTTTGCTTCTTTGGGTTAGATCGCGTAAGTATAGACGCGTCGTGAAACCCGCCGCCGCCACCACCCGACACGGCCAATTAGTGGGGGTTTGTCACGCAACGCAAAAATGTGGCCGGCTCGTTGCTAGTTCAGCACTAACCGGTTCCTCGGTGCAGAGTAAACCCACGACGTTTACGGTTCGAGTAACGTGATGTTTCGCTGGTGACTACGACAATCAGCTTCATCAGGCGATGAGCCTGCATTCTGGGTGTTCTGAAGTACCAACTGTTTGGCGTGTTTAACGACACAATTATGTTCACGCGGTGATATGGGTTGCGAAAGCCTCCGTGTATGAACTGATTCTTATTCTCTCAGCTCAACTCACCCGGTGAGTGAAGAGATTCCCACAGACAGCATTCACCTCAGCTGGATACGCAAAGTTACACCTGTCAACCCCTTATCAGTGCCTTATTACAGACCAATTCAGACCTTATTGATCACCGCGAGCCCCTTATAAATCTCAAAGTTCATCCTACATAGTCCTATCACAAGGGAAAAACACAAATAGATAAAACAAGTTTTTGCCCGTATTGAAACGGCTGTTCGCCGTATGGACCTGAAAACTCAATTTCCCTGTACAAGAATACGGGTAAGCCGTATGGGTTGACAGGTATACGAAGTTCCACTTGAAACTGCGTCAAGCATCATCAGGACAGAGATCCAGGAAGTGAGAATAACCGTAGAGGAAGTGAGAATCACAATAAAAAAGTCAGAATCACAATCCAGGAAGTTAGAATCACAATACAGGAAGTCTGAATCACAATGCAGGAAGTCTGAATCACAATGCAGGAAGTGGGAATCACAATACAGGAAGTCAAAATCACAATGCAGGAAGTGAGAATCACAATACAGGAAGTGAGAATCACAATGCAGGAAGTTAGAATCACAATACAGGAAGTGAGAATCACAATACAGGAAGTGAGAATCACAATGCAGGAAGTCAGAATCACAATACAGGAAGTTAGAATCACAATACAGGAAGTCAAAATCACAATGCAGGAAGTCAGAATCACAATGCAGGAAGTCTGAATCACAATAAAAAAGTCTGAATCACAATGCAGGAAGTCTGAATCACAATGCAGGAAGTGGGAATCACAATACAGGAAGTGAGAATCACAATGCAGGAAGTGGGAATCACAATGCAGGAAGTTAGAATCACAATGCAGAAAGTGAGAATCACAATACAGGAAGTGAGAATCACAATGCAGGAAGTGAGAATCACAATACAGGAAGTGAGAATCACAATGCAGGAAGTTAGAATCACAATACAGGAAGTGAGAATCACAATACAGGAAGTGAGAATCACAATGCAGGAAGTCAGAATCACAATACAGGAAGTTAGAATCACAATGCAGGAAGTGAGAATCACAATACAGGAAGTGAGAATCACAATACAGGAAGTGAGAATCACAATGCAGGAAGTCAGAATCACAATACAGGAAGTTAGAATCACAATGCAGGAAGTGAGAATCACATGCAGGAAGTCAGAATCACAATACAGGAAGTTAGAATCACAATGCAGGAAGTTAGAATCACAATACAGGAAGTCAAAATCACAATGCAGGAAGTCAGAATCACAATGCAGGAAGTCTGAATCACAATAAAAAAGTCTGAATCACAATGCAGGAAGTCTGAATCACAATGCAGGAAGTGGGAATCACAATGCAGGAAGTTAGAATCACAATGCAGAAAGTCAGAATCACAATACAGGAAGAAGGAATCACAATACAGGAAGTCTGAATCACAATGCAGGAAGTGAGAATCACAATACAGGAAGTTAGAATCACAATACAGGAAGTTAGCATCACAATGCAGAAAGTCAGAATCACAACACAGGAAGTCTGAATCACAATGCAGGAATTGAGAATCACAATACAGGAAGCCAGAATCAATGCAGGAATGCCCGATGTGGTAACTCACCAATATTGTTCCGACTGCCGGAATGAAAATCACCAAATCCACGCTGCGCGCGTTCCGTCTGTTGTGTTGCGATGGAGACCAATAAACATCCGCAAGGATTCATCTTCTTTGGTTCTTTCGGTAAAGTCACGTAGAATGAGAATAAAATAATAAATTGATAAAATAAAATAACACAATAATATTCTCACGACGTTTCGGCCACAACACAAGCGGCCTTCATCAGGTGAAGGGGACGAGAGTGTCTGGAGGACAGCGCTGGAGCTAAATCGAAAAACATCCGCAAGGAGATCTCGACAGCGAGCGGTGCACCTCCTTCTTACGGAAGTTGACACCACAGAACTACTTTTGACATCACTGCATTCATCATTGTATTGTGTTGTACCTGGGGGGGGTGGGGGGCGGATTACAAAGACAAAGATCCCCCGTGTAGCCTTGACAGACTGTTGGGGCAAGTGCTGTTAGCGAGTAGCCCCAATGAAGGCCGGCACAGCACACGAGGGGGTTTGTGGCCAGCAACACGCCAGGCCGCCTTTGTCTCCCCCCCCCAGTGACGATGTTTACTCCACACCGCACCAGGTACTCATTTGAGGCTGAGTCGACCTAGGGGAAGCCCATGACCCGGTTTAGATAATCGTCACTGGTGTTGGCCGTGATTGGGAATTGAACTCGAGTCGCCGGGTTCGTAGAGTAACGTGCCGACCGCTACAACTATCACTCCCCACAAACGCACGCACACACACACACACATAGCAGTTGTGTTGGTATTTTATTGAGTGTTGCGGACAGTGTGTAAATGAAGTAATTCACAAGCCCAGCGTGTTAATAAAAGTCAGTAACCAAACCGGTAACTGCAAGCAAACTCCCCGAGTGGTAATTTCAAATGTGTCCACCCTCTCACACCAATGTGCACACCTTCGTAACCTATCCTCTGACTAAATCTATCGCAATTCCGGCAGGCTGAACTAGGATACATCATGTCAAGCTGGCAGCCCCTCCTTCGAGACCCAAGTACACCCTCTTAAGGGGCCGTCCATAAATGACGTCACGCACCTGGGCGGGGGTCAGACATTTGTGACGATGTGTGATGAGGGGGGGGGGGGTTTGAGAAATGTGACGTCACATCAAAATGCGCAACTTTGAATACATATAGACAACACGTTCTACTTAATTAAATAACACTTATTAAAAAGTCTCCTACAACATTAGAGTGCAGCACCACATTAAATACGCACTACAATGACTTTTTGTGCACACACCGTCTCTCGCACAACCGTGTACACACACCCTCTCTCGCACAACCGCGTACACATTCACCCTCTCCCTCTCTCGCCCACGCGTACACACACCCTCCATTGTACAACCGCGTACACACACCCTCTCTCGCCCACGCGCGTACACACACCGTCTCTCGCACAACCGCGTACACACACCGTCTCTCGCCCACGCGTACACACACCCTCCATCGTACAACCGCGTACACACACCGTCTCTCGCCCGCGCGCGTACACACACCCTCTCACGGACAACCGCGTACACACAGCCTCTCTCGCCCACGCGTACACACACCGTCTCTCGCCCACGCGTACACACACCCTCCATCGTACAACCGCGTACACACACCGTCTCTCGCCCACGCATACACACACCCTCCATCGTACAACCGCGTACACACACCGTCTCTCGCCCGCGCGCGTACACACACCCTCTCACGGACAACCGCGTACACACACCCTCTCTCGCCCACGCGTACACTCACCCTCTCTCGCCCACGCGTACACTCACCCTCTCTCGCCCACGCGTACACACACCCTCTCTCGCCCACGCGTACACACACCGTCCATCGTACAACCGCGTACACACACCCTCTCTCGCCCACGCGTACACACACCCTCACGCGCACAACCGCGCCCTTGACCGAACCTACGGAATCTCCAGGCAGGCTCGACCGCGGCCCGCCCACGCCGCCGGTCAGCGCCTCGCCGCGAGTCTCCGTATCCACTCGGCGAGCTCCGTGACCCCGGCTCCGTCTCGCGCGCTCCCGCCCAGCACGTTCACCCTCGTCGCCGCCGCCACCCCTGCCGTCACCTTCCCCGCCTCCCTCTTCCCCTCCGCGACGACGTCGTCGTCGTCGTCGTCGTCGTCGGCGTGGTTCTCCGGTGGCGACGTCGTCACCGCCGCGGTTGCTTCCGGGTCGTCCAGCCGAAGGAGCGAGCGGAATTCCCGCACCGCCCCGGATGTGGCCAGGTCCCTGAGTGGCCAGGACCGGCCCGGAGAGAGGGGGGATGGCGGGGGGGCAGCGCAGGGGGATGAAAGGCGACGTTAAAGATTGGTCATCGTCCTGGCGAGGCTCACGTCGCGAAATAAACAACTCAACGCGCCCGTCGATATGACAACGCCGTCCGCACGCGTGTGTGCGGACGTGTGTCGGAGCGGGCAGCGCCACCTGGCGCTCCCAACGCCGGCTACCCCGAGCTCGATTTTGCCGCTCGTGGCCAACACCGGTGACGATTATCTTAACCGGTCCTGGGCCTCCCCCAGAATCGACTCGGCCTCACACGAGTCACCTGGTGCGGTGTTGCAGTAAACATCGCCACTGGGGGGAGACAAAGCTGGCCGGGCACGGTGCTGGCTGCACCAACCTCTCCCGGTGCCGTGCCGGCCTTCACAGGTGCCACTCGCTAACGGCACTTGCCCCAACGGTCTGTTACAGGCTACACAGGGGGATCATCGTCTTTGTGTGCAGCGACACTTCCGCTTCCCACAAAGACACACGCACGTCTAGCGGATGATACGGTTGACTCTGCCACCACCCCAATCCCCACCCCCCCCCCCCCAAAAACTTTTCCTTCCAGTTCCTGAAGAAGCTGCCAGCGGGCGGAGCGAAAACGTCGGACGTCGTGCCCGACAACACTGAGCGCAGGGGGTGAGCGGCATTTGATTTGAATTCGATAAGAAAAAAAATGAACGCACAAAAAATATTTCCGGAGCCGCAACGCGCTCAATGAACAAAGTAGAACCGTATTTTTTGTTTGTTTCGATCATGGGATACGTTTTTTGCCAGTATCAAAGTATGAAAAATAATAATAGGTGTTTTTACCCTTTTCTGTCAATAACAAAAACCGGTGGTGTGTTAAGATGTTCAAACACCTTTTGCAAGGACTCAATTTACTGCGTTAACCACACACAGAACTTGAGGTGAACATGCAAAAAGATAAGCTCTGATAATAATCATCGATAATAATAATCATCGATGCATTGTCTCTGAAACTGATTGGCCTACAGTGTAGGCCAATCAGTTTCAGAGACCGAAACTGATTGGTGTAGGCCAATCAGTTTCAGAGACAATACATAGATGATTATTATCAGAGCTTATCTTTTGATTGGCCTACACCAAAGACTATTTTGGTGTAGACGAGAAATGAGAGCGAAGAGAGAGTCAACATTGGCCATGAGACAGAGAGTGGGAGAGAGCGGGAGAGAGGAGGAGAGAGTGGGAGTGAGCGGGAGTGAGCGGGAGTGAGCGGGAGAGAGCGGGAGTGAGCGGGAGTGAGCGGGAGTGAGCGGGAGAGAGCGGGAGTGAGCGGGAGAGAGCGGGAGTGAGCGGGAGTGAGCGGGAGTGAGCGGGAGAGAGCGGGAGTGAGCGGGAGAGAGCGGGAGTGAGCGGGAGAGAGCGGGAGTGAGCGGGAGAGAGCGGGAGAGAGCGGGAGTGAGCGGGAGAGAGCGGGAGTGAGCGGGAGTGAGCGGGAGAGAGCGGGAGTGAGCGGGAGAGAGCGGGAGTGAGCGGGAGTGAGCGGGAGTGAGCGGGAGAGAGCGGGAGTGAGCGGGAGAGAGCAGGAGTGAGCGGGAGAGAGCGGGAGTGAGCGGGAGAGAGTGGGAGTGAGCGGGAGTGAGCGGGAGAGAGTGGGAGTGAGCGGGAGAGAGCGGGAGAGAGTGGGAGTGAGCGGGAGTGAGCGGGAGAGAGCGGGAGAGAGCGGGAGTGAGCGGGAGAGAGTGGGAGAGAGCGGGAGAGAGTGGGAGTGAGCGGGAGTGAGCGGGAGTGAGCGGGAGAGAGTGGGAGTGAGCGGGAGTGAGCGAGAGAGAGTGGGAGTGAGCGGGAGAGAGCGGGAGAGAGCGGGAGTGAGCGGGAGAGAGTGGGAGTGAGCGGGAGAGAGCGGGAGAGAGGAGAAGTGAGCGGGAGTGAGCGGGAGAGAGCGGGAGAGAGGAGGAGAGAGCGGGAGAGAGCGGGAGAGAGCGGTAGTGAGCGGGAGAGAGTGGGAGAGAGCGGGAGAGAGCGGGAGAGAGGAGAAGTGAGCGGGAGTGAGCGGGAGAGAGCGGGAGAGAGGAGGAGAGAGCGGGAGAGAGCGGGAGTGAGCGGGAGAGAGCGGGAGTGAGCGGGAGTGAGCGGGAGTGAGCGGGAGAGAGCGGGAGTGAGCGGGAGAGATCGGGAAAGAGCGGGAGAGAGCGGGAGAGAGCGGGAGTGAGCGGGAGAGAGCGGGAGAGAACGGGAGAGAGCGGGAGAGAGCGGGAGTGAGGAGGAGAGAGGGGGAGTGAGCGGGAGAGAGGAGTGAGCGGGAGAGATCGGGAGAGAGCGGAAGTGAGCGGGAGAGAGCGGGAGAGAGGAGTGAGCGGAAGTGAGCGGGAGAGAGCGGGAGAGAGGAGTGAGCGGAAGTGAGCGGGAGAGAGCGGGAGAGAGGAGTGAGCGGGAGAGAGCGGGAGAGTGGGAGAGAGCGGGAGTGAGCGGGAGAGAGGAGGAGTGAGCGGGAGAGATCGGGAGAGACAGACAGAGAGGTGGGGTGCCTACGTCTTGTTGAGCAGCACGCACAGGGACTTGCCCCGCACTTCCTCGTGCGCCAAGACCTCCCAGAGTTGAACTCCGGCCGACGCCAGTTGCCTAGGATTGGCCACGTCCACCACAAACTACGGGGGGCGCGGGGGAAAGAGACGGCAGGAGAGCAAGCGAGGTTGAAAACGCAGGAAGAGAGAATCACGAAACGTCACAGCACTCGAATTGTAAATGTCGGAGTGGGTTGACTCTCCAACACAACCGGTGCGCTGAACTTGTATACTGCACTATAGACTACACTATACACTACACGACTATAAACTACACTATACACTACACTGTAAATGTTGTAGTGGGTAACGAATTGGCACGTTTTGTTTACGCGACAAACCTTACTAAATTGGCCGTGTCGGGTGGTGGCGGGTTTCACGACACACATTCATATTTACGCGATCCAACCCCAAAAAAAGCACTCCGTTATGGACTAATATTGGTCGCGAAAGTCTACGAAGTGTTAACGTGAGACTGACAATACGACAAACGATTTGTATTTTACCAGGTGTGAGGCTCACCACTGAGATGTGTAGCTCTTTCACAAATGATAGCTCACTGGGGTTATCAACAGCGTGTGTAAATGGAGAGCAGCAGCCAAATACTCCAAACGCGTGGCGGTGATTCTAAATAGTGGAGGGGAAAAAAACCAGAGGACCCAGAGAAAAGTCCACACGGGGAGAGAGACACGCAAACTCCGAATATACAGCAGCAGCAGCAGGCGTCAGGGTGGGGGATCGAACCCACGACCTCCTGTACACCAGGCGAGGTAGTTAACATCTCCTAGCCACCGTGATGATGAGAGAGAGAGACACGCAAACTACAAATATACAGCAGCAGGCATCGTCAGGGTCGGGATCGAACCCACGACCTCCTGTACACCAGGCGAGGTAGTTAACATCTCATAGCCACCGTGATGATGATGAGAGAGAGACACGCAAACTCCAAATATACAGCAGGCATCGCAATGGTCGGGATCGGACCCACGACCTCCTGCACACCAGGCGAGGTAGTCAACATCTCCCAGCCACCGTGAGATGTTAACTGATGGTGGGTGGTGGTGCAGCAGCGGTGATGCCCGTGCGTCACCCTCACAATGACAGCCGTGCTGTGCTTGTAGTAGCTGTCCCATATGGGCGCCATGGTGCCACCGAGCTCCCTCAGGGTCAACCGACGCTTGCCAACGGCCACGTCCACGAGGTTGGTGCCCACCTGTAACAAAGGCAAAGTTCCCTCCCACCCCCCCGTATAGCCTTAGCAGACGTTTGGGGCAAGTGCCGAGCGCCGATGAAGGCCAGCGGCGCACGCGAGAAGGTGGTGCGTGGACAGCAACATGCACGCTCGGCATCACCGTGAGTGGGTGTGTGGGGGCATCACCGTGAGTGGGTGTGTGGTGGCATCACACTGTGGTGGCATCACAGCGTGGTGGCATCACACTGTGGTGACATCACCCCGTGGTGGCATCACAGTGTGTGGTGACATCACACTGTGGTGGCATCACAGCGTGGTGGCATCACACTGTGGTGACATCACAGTGTGTTGGCATCACGCTGTGGTGGCATCACAGTGTGTTGGCATCACAGCGTGGTGGCATCACAGTGTGTGGTGACATCACAGCGTGTTGGCATCACAGTGTGGTGGCATCACCGTGTGGTGGCATCACAGCATGTTGGCATCACGCTGTGGTGGCATTGCTCTGTGTGGTAGCATAACTGCGTGCGGTGGCATCGCCGCGTGGTGTGTTGGTGGCATCACCGTGGGCACGGTCGATGGAGCCTCCCACTTGTCCACGCGCTCGCCGGCGAAGATCTGTGATGGCTTCCCCGAGTCAAAGTCGTCCACGGGGATCTCTTATCATTTAAAAAATAAAATTCCCAAACCAATCTCTGGAACCGGTCAGTTGCGCAACTCGCTTGCGTGCATCTGAATGCCTCATGCACGTGGACACAATGCAACCCGTTACATATTTGGACGTGTTGCATACACGGCAACCCCTTATCAGTGCCCTATCTGATTACAGACCAATTCAGACCTTATTCGTCACCCCATGCCCTTATAAATCTCAACATTCATCCTACAAAGTCCCATCACTTTGTAGGATGGTTGGTGATGATGGGTGGTGCAGCGGTGACACTTGTGTCCCACAGCAAAAAAGAGAGAGGGGTTTGATTCCAGACTCTGGTGCCTTCCTGCGTGGAGTTTGTGTGTTCTTCCCCTGTTCTGTAGAAAGAGTGTGTGCAGTTTGTATGATCTCCCCCTGTTCTGTAGATTGAGTGCAGTTTGTATGATCTCCCCCTGTTCTGTAGAGTGAGTGAGTGGAGTTTGTATGATCTCCCCCTGTTCTGTAGAGTGAGTGGAGTTTGTATGATCTCCCCCTGTTCTACAGAGTGAGTGGAGTTTGTATGATCTCCCCCTGTTCTGCAGAGTGAGTGGAGTTTGTATGATCTCCCCCTGTTCTGTAGAGTGAGTGGAGTTTGCATGATCTCCCTCTGTTCTGCAGAGTCGAGTTTGTATGATCTCGTTCTGTTCTGCAGAGTGGAGTTTGTATGATCTCCCTGTGTTCTGCAGAGTGGAATTTGTATGTTATCCCTCTGTTCTACAGAGTGAGTGGAGTTTGTATGATCTCCCTCTGTTCTGCAGAGTGAGTGGAGTTTGTATGATCTCCCCCTGTTCTCCAGAGTGAGTGGAGTTTGTATGATCTCCCTCTGTTCTGTAGAGTGAGTGGGGTTTGTATTATCTCCCTCTGTTCTGCAGAGTGAGTGGAGTCTGTATGGTCTCCCTCTGTTCTGCAGAGTGAGTGGAGTTTGTATGATCTCCCTCTGTTCTGTAGAGTGAGTGGAATTTGCATGATCTCCCCCTGTTCTACAGAATGAGTGGAGTTTGTATGATCTCCCTCTGTTCTGCAGAGTGGAGTTAGTATGATCTCGTTCTGTTCTGCAGAGTGGAGTTTGTATGATCTCCCTGTGTTCTGCAGAGTGGAATTTGTAGGTTATCCGTGTTCTACAGAGTGAGGAGAGTTTGTATGATCTCCCTCTGTTCTACAGAGTGAGTGGAGTCTGTATGATTTCCCCCTGTTCTACAGAGTGAGTGAGTGGAGTTTGTATGATCTCCCTCTGTTCTACAGAATGAGTGGAGTTTGTATGATTTCCCTCTGTTCTGTAGAGTGAGTGGAGTTTGTATGATCTCCCTCTGTTCTGCAGAGTGGAGTTTGTATGATCTCCCTGTGTTCTGCAGAGTGGAATTTGTATGTTATCCCTCTGTTCTACAGAGTGAGTGGAGTTTGTATGATCTCCCTCTGTTCTACAGAGTGGAGTCTGTATGATCTCCCTCTGTTCTACAGAGTGAGTGGAGTTTGTATGATCTCCCCCTGTTCTACAGAATGAGTGGAGTTTGTATGATTTCCCTCTGTTCTGTAGAGTGAGTGGAGTTTGTATGATCTCCCTCTGTTCTGCAGAGTGGAGTTTGTATGATCTCCCTGTGTTCTGCAGAGTGGAATTTGTATGTTATCCCTCTGTTCTACAGTGAGTGGAGTTTGTATGATCTCCCTCTGTTCTGCAGAGTGAGTGGAGTTTGTATGATCTCCCTCTGTTAGGCAGAGTGAGTGGCGTTGGTATGATTTCCCTCTGTTCTGCAGAGTGAGTGGAGTTTGTATGATCTCCCCCTGTTCTGCAGAGTGAGTGGAGTTTGTATGATCTCCTCCTGTTCTGCAGAGTGAGTGGAGTTTGTATGATCTCCCTCTGTTCTGCACAGTGCGTGGAGTTTGTATGATCTCCCCAGTCTGTATGGGTTTTCTACAGGTTCTAAGGTTTACTACCATAGCGAAACTCACACACACACACAGTGGAATTGACCACAAAATGCCCATTGCTGAACTCAATTGATATCAAAGACAAAGATCCCCCGTGTAGCCTGTAACAGACTGTAGGGGCAAGTGCTGTTGGCGAGCAGCACCTTTGAAGGCCGGCACGGCACACGAGGGGGTGGGTGGCCAGCACAACGCCCGGCCGCCTTTGTCTCCCCATTTGTGGCCGAGTCGACCTAGGGGAGGCCCAGGACCGGTTCAGATAATCGTCAATGGGTGCCGGTGGCAACGAGCGGGAATCGAACTCGGGTCTTTGCCGGGTTCGCAGCGTAGCACAGCGCTAACAGCTGCGCCACCGCTCCCCAATTGGTATGTAACACGCACGACAATAATTTCTTTGAAGAAGGATATTTTGTAGTCTTTTGAGAAGCAGGGTCTTTCCAGAACCCGTCGGTCCCAGCAGTAACAGCATCCCCCCGGTCTGTTGTTATCGCCGCAGCGCCCTAACCACTGCGCCACCACTCTCCTCCACTGTGGAACAATGTTGAAAGATCAGTTTAACACTTAGTAGGAGGCTGTCGCGACCAATATCATCCGACACAGCCAATTAGTAAGGTTTGTCACATCAACAGAACATGCCAATGCGTTACTAGTACAGCACTAGTGTATAGTGTAGTGTATAGAGTATAGTGCCGTGTATAGTGTAGTGTATAGTGTAGTGTATAGTATATAGTGTAGTGTATAGTGTAGTGTACTAGTACAGCACACCGGTGTGTTGGAGAGCCAAGCCACAACCGGCGAGCTATACTAGTACACTACACTATACACTACTATACACTACACTATACACTACATTATACACTTACACTATACACGACTGTACACTTCACTATACAATACTATACCACTACACTATACACTACTATACACTACTGTACACTACAATATACACTACTATACACTACATTATACACTTACACTACTATACACTACACTACTGTACACTATACTATACACTACACTATAGATTATACACTATACATTACTGTACACTACACTGCACACTACTGTACACTACACCATACACTGTACTATACACTACTGTACACTACACACTACTGTACACTACACTATACACTACATTTGCACTTACACTACACGATACACTACTGTACACTACACGGTACACTACTGTACACTACACCGTACACTGTACTATACACTACTGTACACTACACGCTACACTACACACGAGTGCTGTACTAGTAACAAATAATCAAGTTGTGTTTACGCGACACTAAGCCTTACTAATTGGCTGTGTCGGGTGGTGGCGGGTTTAACGACACAACGTGTATATGTTTACGCGATCTCGCTCCCCCTCCTCTGTATTATGTATGTTGAAAGATACAGGCGCCAGTCACCTGCTATTTCCGGCTGTTCTTGCAGGCAGGCCGGACGTCCTCCACTAGAGGCCGCTCTCATTAGCCCCTGAACGACGCCGACTTTGGCCTAATCTTCCACTAGCTGCAGATTAAAACCGACGACAGCACCCGAATGCCAATTGAATGAAAACGCCGCAAAACCATTCGGTGACATTTGAACTTCACAAACCAGCGAGTACTTGAATGCGTGTTCGTTTAAACTGCCGCGGTGACATTACCACCCGTTGCAAACATTTCGCTGTTTTGTAATGTTACAAAAAGCTCGGGCCTATTCAATCATAGAGGCCGTTAAGTTTATATTACTTTTATTACAATTAAACCACTGCACAGACGCGCAGATACGCATCCACGGCAGCTTAAATAAATAGTTGTGCGGCGTGCGCGTTTTAAAAAACAAAAAACAACGTTAAATGTATCGTAAAGTTTTAACGTTTTAAGGCGAGGTAAAGTGAACACAGGGCCTGAGGCCTCTCTGCTCACGCGATTGATGACGCGTTGCCACAGCAACGCCAACAAAAAATATACTTTTAAAAAATCGTTACATTTATTGATTCAAGTTTGTAGTTGACCCAAGTTGTTTATTTGCTTGTGCTGTATGTGTGCTTTTTAGAAAAAAATTGCGTACCGTGTGACATTTCTTTTGAATTTTAGAATATGCAAATTAACCCTTGGCGTTCCCACCACTTTTTTTTTTAAAAGCATCCACAATTTGTCGTCTTTTGTATTAACACGGCGACAACGTTCGATATTCCCTCAACACTTAACAAACGGACAATAAAACAGACACGGTAATTATAATAATTATGTTTTAAATAATTAGTATTTCCAATTTAATTTCGTACACGCGATAAGCGCTGCGGTCTCTCTCTCTCTCTCTAACGCCTCGCGCCATTGGTCAGCAGGAAGAGGGATGGGGGGGTAGAGGTGAGTGGAGGGGGATAGAGAGAGGGGGGTGGGGGGTTTAGGGAGAGAGAGAGAGGGGGGGTAGGACGGGGCGCACCTCCCATTGGCTCGCCGCCACCCCACGTGGGTCGTCCGCTCTCGACAGCGAATCGCGGGTGCTCCGCCGACTTATCCGGACTGGCAAATGCAAAACGGCGGTGGTGGCGGCGGCAGCGGCGGCGGCGGATTTCCGTGATGACGAAAGGAGCGATTTAGAATTTCCCCTCGATACAAAAATATATATCGACGCGGTTAATGATAATAACAAGAACAGTAATCTTAAGTTGTTTTTTTTTAATTGTTGTTTTATCGCCTGCCGGTCGGCTCTCCCGCTGCGTTCGACACGCGTAGCGCGAACAGCGGCAACGCATCGCCTACTGTACACACAATCTACTGTACACACATCGCCCACTGTACACGCATCTACTGTACACACACCGCCCACTGTACGCACAGTCTACTGTACACCCGCATCTCCGACGCACAAACCAATCGTCTACTGTACACACCCATCGCCTACTGTACGCACACCGCCTACTGTACACGGTCTAGTGTAAGCGCATCGCCTACTGTACACGCCGCCTACTGTATATACCGCACACTGTGCACACGGCCTACTGTACACACGCCGCCCCACTGTACACTGTACATACACGGCCTACTGTACACACGCCGCCCCACTGTACGCACGCCGCCTACTGTACACATCAATGTCCAGGTACGCAGCGCGTTCTGAGATTCCGCGCCTCGATTTTGTGCTTTAACTATATATATTTTTTAAAAAACGTGTATTGGCTATGAATTGACTAACACTCTCATCGAATCGCGTGCGTTAATATCAAAGGGTGCGGTTTATATTCTCACGTCGTTGGGTCTTGACCAGCCAGCGATTATTTTTTTGTATTTACCACAAATCTACAGTCAGTCCCGTGTCGCCGTACGGTCGTGAGGTACAGGAGCGTGCTAAACTAAACTATTAAGCCTTTTAAAAAAAAATTATTGAGAGAGACGCAAACTTCACAAATCAGCAGCGGCAGGAGTCGTCAGGCGGGTTTAGGGCTCGAACCCATGACCCCCTTGTACGCCAGGCGAGCGAGAGTTTTTTTTTTTATCAGCTAAAGGAGATGGAGCGATGGAATGGGATCGCGTACATAGGCTGCTGCTGCTGCGTGGATTGTTAACGTCGCAAGGATCTGTGCGAGACGGCGACAGCTTAGGGGAGCCTAGTGGAAGTGGATCGACCATGGATGATTTATACGGTGTGATTGTCCTCGTGTAGACGTTCCTGGCCCCGTCAAGATAATGTGGAATGCGCGTATCTGGCCGGTGGAAATGAGGGCCGGTTCCGCGCTTGTTAATTTTCCGTAGTTTGGTGTGTCTGTGTGTACTTGTGTCTGTGTGTACTCGTGTATGTGTGTCCTTGTACCTGTGTCTGTGTGTCTTTGTACTTGTGGCTGTGTGTACTTGTAGTTGTGTCTGTGTGTACTTGTGTCTGTGTGTACTTGTGTCTGTGTGTACTTGTGTCTGTGTGTACTTGTGTCTGTGTGTACTTGTGTCTGTGTGTAGTTGTACTTGTGTCTGTGTGTAGTTGTACTTGTGTCTGTGTGTAGTTGTACTTGTGTGTGTGTGTCTGTGTACTTGTGTGTCTGTGTGTACTTGTGTCTGTGTCTGTGTGTACTTGTCTTTGTGTACTCGTGTCTGTGTGTCTTTGTAGTCGTGTCTGTGTGTACTTGTGTCTATGTGTACTTGTGTCTATGTGTACTTGTGTCTGTGTGTACTTGTGTACTCGTGTCTGTGTACTTGTGTCTGTGTGTACTCGTGTCTGTGTCTTTGAAGTTGTGTCTGTGTGTACTTGTGTCTGTGTGTCTTTGTAGTTGTGTCTGTGTGTACTTGTGTCTGTGTGTACTTGTGTCTGTGTGTACTTGTGTCTGTGTGTACTTGTGTCTGTGTGTACTTGTGTCTGTGTGTACTCGTGTCTGTGTGTCATTGTACCTGTGTCTTTGCACTTGTGTCTGTGTGTCTTTGTACTTGTGTCTGTGTGCGTGTGTGTCCGTTTTGTGTGTGTAGCTGTTAGCGCGCTACGCACCCGGGCGCCCAAGTTCGATTCCCGCTCGCGGCTGTTATCCGAACCGGTCCCGGGGCCTCCCCTAAGTCGACTCGGCCTCAAATGAGTACCCGGTGCGGTGTGTGGTAGTAAACATCGCCACGAGGGAAACAAAGGCGGCCGGGCGTGGTGCTGGCCAACCCACCCCCTCGTGTTACCGTGCCGCAGCTGCCGCTCGCTAGCGGCACTTGCCCCAACAGTCTGTCGAGGCTACACGTCTGGTGGTGGTGGTGGGGGTGTCGGGGTCTCTGTCCTTATTGCGTGCAGTTCTCCCGTCATGAGGCTCGGCTTGCCGGTGGTGAACGGCAAGAGGCCGCTTGGGCCACGCGCCGCTCCTCCTCCTCCTCCTCCTCCGGCGACGACGGCGACGACGACGACCTCGCGATCCGAGCCGTTCGCCCCCTCCCACGACGACAACGTCCTGTTCATCCACAAGAGTGAGGGGATACGCGGAGACGGCAGAGAGACGGAGACACACACGGAGACGATAGAGAGACACAGACACACGGAGACGATAGAGAGACACAGACACACGGAGACGACAGAGAGACACAGACACACGGAGACGACAGAGAGACACAGACACACGGAGACGACAGAGAGACACAGACACACGGAGACGACAGAGAGACACAGACACGGAGACGATAGAGAGACACAGAAACACGGAGACAACAGAGAGACACAAACACGCGGAGACGACAGAGAGACACAGACACACGGAGACGATAGAGAGACGGAGACACACGGAGACGATAGAGAGACACAGACACACGGAGAGACGACAGAGAGACACAGACACACGGAGAGACGATAGAGAGACACAGACACACGGAGACGATAGAGAGACGGAGACACACGGAGACGATAGAGAGACACAGACACACGGAGACGACAGAGAGACGGAGACACACGGAGAGACGACAGAGAGACACAGACACACGGAGAGACGACAGAGAGACACAGACACACAGAGACGACAGAGAGACACAGACACACGGAGAGGCGATAGAGAGACACAGACACACGGAGACGACAGAGAGACACAGACACACGGAGACGATAGAGAGACACAGACACACGGAGACGACAGAGAGACACAGAAACACGGAGACTACAGAGAGACACAGACACGCGGAGACGATAGAGAGACACAGAAACACAGAGACTACAGAGAGACACAGACACACGGAGACGACAGAGAGACACAGACACACGGAGACGACAGAGAGACACGGAAACACGGAGACGATAGAGAGACACAGAAACACGGAGACGATAGAGAGACACAGACACGCGGAGACGGCAGAGAGACGGAGACACACGGGAGACGACAGAGAGACACAGAAACACGGAGACGACAGAGAGACACAAACACACGGATACGATAGAGAGACACAGACACACGGAGACGATAGAGAGACACAGACACACGGAGACGATAGAGAGACACAGGCACACGGATACGATAGAGAGACACAGACACACGGAGACGATAGAGAGGCACAGACACACGGAGACGATAGAGAGACGGAGACACACGGAGACGACAGAGAGACACAAACACGGAGACGACAGAGAGACACAGACACACGGAGACGACAGAGAGACACAGACACACGGAGACGACAGAGAGACACAGACACGGAGACGACAGAGAGACACAGACACACGGAGACGACAGAGACACAGACACACGGAGACGACAGAGAGACACAGACACACGGAGACGACAGAGAGACACAGAACCACGGAGACGATAGAGAGACACAGAAACACGGAGACGACAGAGAGACACAGACACACGGAGACGACAGAGACAGAAACACGGAGACGATAGAGAGACACAGACACACGGAGACCACAGAGAGACACAGACACACGGAGAGACGACAGAGAGACACAGACACACGGGAGACGATAGAGAGACACAGACACACGGAGACGATAGAGAGACGGAGACACATGGAGAGACGACAGAGAGACACAGACACACGGAGAGACGACAGAGAGCACAGACACACGGAGACGATAGAGAGACACAGACACACGGAGACCACAGAGAGACACAGACACACGGAGACGATAGAGAGACACAGACACACGGAGACGACAGAGAGACACAGACACACGGAGACGACAGACAGACACAGAAAGACGGAGACGACAGAGAGACACAGAAAGACGGAGACGGACACACAGATTCACCAAAACCTGTTCGTCCACAAGAGTGAGGGGAGACACAGAGAGACATGGGACAGAGAGACATGGGACAGAGAGACATGGGACAGAGAGACGGATTCACCAAAGCCCCGTTCGTCCGTATGAGTGAGGGGAGACGCGGAGACAGACGAGGAGACAGAGACGCGGAGACAGAGACGCGGAGACAGAGACGCGGAGACAGAGACACAGATATTCATTAAGATTGACAAAGTTCAGTTCGTCCACCACAGTGAGGCGACACAGGGGACACGCAGAGAGACATGATCACAATTTCCAGTTCATCTACAAGAGTACGGAGACGTGAAGTCACAGAGACTTCACACGTTGTCCAACTCGTACACAAAAATGAGGAAACACAGTTAACGGAGTGATTTGGTGAGTGTGTTGTTGTTGTGGTCGGCTGTGTGGTGAGTGAGCGATTTTGCGAGTGTGCTGTGATTGGCAGTGTCTTGAGCGAGTCATTTAATGAGTGTGTGGTAATCGGCTATGCGGTGAGTGAGCGATTTGGTGAATTAGTTTTTGTGATCGGCAGTGTGGTGAGTGAGTGATTTGGTGAGTGTGTTGTTGTGATTGACAGTGTGGTGAGTGAGTGATTTGGTGAGTGTGTTGTTGTGATTGACAGTGTGGTGAGTGAGTGATTTGGTGAGTGTGTTGTTGTGATTGACAGTGTGGTGAGTGAGTGATTTGGTGAGTGAGTTGTTGTGATTGACAGTGTGGTTAGTGAATGATTTAATGAGTGAGTTGTTGTGATTGACAGTGTGGTGAGTGATTTGGTGAGTGAGTGTGTTGTGATAGGCTTTGTGGTGAGTAATTTGGTGAGCGAGTTATTGTGATTGGCAGTGTGGTGAGTGAGTGATTTGGTGAGTGAGTTGTTGTGATTGACAGTGTGGTTAGTGAGTGATTTGGTGAGTGAGTTGTTGTGATTGACAGTGTGGTTAGTGAGTGATTTGGTGAGTGAGTTGTTGTGATTGGCAGTGTGGTGAGTGAGTGATTTGGTGAGTGAGTTGTGATTGACAGTGTGGTGAGTGAGTGATTTGGTGAGTGTGTTGTGATAGGCTATGTGGTGAGTGAGTGATTTAATGAGTGAGTTCTTGTGATTGACAGTGTGGTTAGTGAGTGATTTGGTGAGTGAGTTGCTGTGATTGGCAGTGTGGTTAGTGATTTGGTGAGTGAGTTGTGATTGGCAGTGTGGTGAGTGTGATTTAATGAGTGAGTTGTTGTGATTGACAGTGTGGTGAGTGAGTGATTTGGTGAGTGTGTTGTGATTGACAGTGTGGTGAGTGAGTGATTTGGTGAGTGAGTTGTGATTGACAGTGGTGAGTGAGTGATTTGGTGAGTTGTTGTGATTGGCAGTGTGGTGAGTGAGTGATTTGGTGAGTGAGTTGTTGTGATTGGCAGTGTGGTTAGTGAGTGATTTAATGAGTGAGTTGTTGTTATCGGCAGTGTGGTGAGTGATTTGGTGAGTGAGTTGTTATCGGCAGTGTGGTGAGTGAGTCATTTGTTGAGTGAGTTGTGATTGGCAGTGTGGTTAGTGAGTGATTTGGTGAGTGAGTTGTTGTGATTGACAGTGTGGTGAGTGAGTGATTTGGTGAGTGTGTTGTTGTGATTGGCTGTGTCGTGAGTGAGTGATTTAATGAGTGTGTTGTGATAGGCTATGGTGAGTAATTTGGTGAGCGAGTTGTGATTGGCAGTGTGGTTAGTGAGTGATTTGGTGAGTGAGTTGTTGTGATTGACAGTGTGGTGAGTGAGTGATTTAATGAGTGTGTGTTGTGATTGGCTGTGTCGTGAGTGAGTGATTTAATGAGTGAGTTGTGCTCGGCAGTGTGGTGAGTGAGTGATTTGGTGAGTGAGTTGTGATTGGCAGTGTGGTGAGTGAGTGATTTGGTGAGTTGTTGTGATTGGCAGTGTGGTGAGTGAGTGATTTGGTGAGTGAGTTGTTGTGATTGACAGTGTGGTGAGTGAGTGATTTGGTGAGTGAGTTGTTGTGATTGGCAGTGTGGTTAGTGAGTGATTTAATTAGTGAGTTGTGATAGGCTATGTGGTGAGTGAGTGATTTGGTGAGTGAGTTGTTGTGATCTGCAGTTTGGCGAGTTAGTGATGTGGTAAGTCCATGAGTGTATTGTTGTGAGTTGAGTGCGTGAGTTAGCGAGTAGATGAGTGTGTTGTGACCTGTAGTGTGGTTAGTGGATGTGCGAGCGAGAGTGTTGTGACCTGGAGTGTGTTGAGTGAGTCTAAGAGTGAGTGTACGAGTGAGTGAGATTGTTTCTGTGACCTGGAGTGTGTTCAGTGAGTGAGTAAGTTCGTTTCTGTGACCTGGAGTGTGTTGAGTGAGCGAGTGAGTAAGTTCGTTTCTGTGACCTGGAGTGTGTTGAGTGAGTGTAAGAGTGAGTGAGCGAGTGAGTGAGTAAGTTCGTGTATGTGACCTGGAATGTGTTGAGTGAGTGTAAGAGTGAGTGTACGAGTGAGTGAGATCGTGTCTGTGACCTGGAGTGTGTTGAGTGAGTGTAAGAGTGAGTGAGTTCGTGTCTGTGACCTGCAGTGTGTTGAGTGAGTGTAAGAGTGAGTGAGTGAGATCATGTCTGTGACCTGGAGTGTGTTGAGTGAGTGTAAGAGTGAGTGAGTGAGTTCGTGTCTGTGACCTGCAGTGTGTTGAGTGAGTGTAAGAGTGAGTGAGTGAGTTCGTGTCTGTGACCTGCAGTGTGTTGAGTGAGTGTAAGAGTGAGTGTACGAGTGAGTAAGTTCGTTTCTGTGACCTGGAGTGTGTTGAGTGAGTGTAAGAGTGAGTGAGTGAGATCGTGTCTGTGACCTGCAGTGTTGAGTGAGTGTAAGAGTGAGTGTACGAGTGAGTGAGTTCGTTTCTGTGACCTGGAGTGTGTTCAGTGAGTGAGTGAGTAAGTTCGTGTCTGTGACCTGCAGTGTGAGTGAGTGAGCGAGTGAGTGAGTAAGTTCGTGTCTGTGACCTGGAGTGTGTTCAGTGAGTGAGTGAGTTCGTGTCTGTGACCTGCAGTGTTGAGTGAGTGTAAGAGTGAGTGAGTAAGTTCGTGTCTGTGACCTGCAGTGTGTTGAGTGAGTGAGTGAGTTCGTGTCTGTGACCTGCAGTGTGAGTGAGTGTAAGAGTGAGTGAGTGAGATCGTGTCTGTGACCTGCAGTGTTGAGTGAGTGTAAGAGTGAGTGTACGAGTGAGTGAGTTCGTTTCTGTGACCTGGAGTCTGTTCAGTGAGTGAGTGAGTAAGTTCGTGTCTGTGACCTGCAGTGTGAGTGAGTGTGTGAGTGAGCGAGTGAGTGAGTAAGTTCGTGTCTGTGACCTGGAGTGTGTTCAGTGAGTGAGTGAGTTCGTGTCTGTGACCTGCAGTGTTGAGTGAGTGTAAGAGTGAGTGAGTAAGTTCGTGTCTGTGACCTGCAGTGTGTTGAGTGAGTGAGTGAGTTCGTGTCTGTGACCTGCAGTGTGTTGAGTGAGTGTAAGAGTGCCGCTGTGAGCTGCAGTAACCGCCGTTGAACAATGGGACCAAAACAATGAGCCAAGTTCACGGCAACGCTAACCGGGCCGGGACGAAACAAATACCCGGCCCCTTCCTCCTCCTCCTGCTCCTGCTCCTCCTCCTGCTCCACCGCGTCTCGGGGTTGCGCCGCTGTGCTGAGTCGGCGTCTCTGTCGCGTGTGGGCGTCGCTCAGCGTGGGTGCAGGTGGAAGCTGGCATGGGGAGGGAAGGCGGAGCGCAGAGATACGCCGACAAGGACTCTGGACACAACCCCCACGTTGCCAGTGCGTATTTCCCACCACCAGCACCACATGCCCCCATCCCCCCATCCTCCCCCCATCCCTCCACTCCCTCATCCCCCCATGCCCTCATCCCCCCATCCCTCCACCCCCTCATCCCCCCATCCCCCCACTTCCTCATCCCCCACCCCCCCACCCCGACTCCCCCGCCTCCACTCGCCCAAATCCACGCAACCGGGGGTCGTTTGGTTCTCAAGTTCTGCTGTCAAGCAAATGGAGTGCGGCGTTACCACGGTGACCACGGTTACCATGGTGACCACGATTACCACGGTTACCACGGTTACCACGGTGACCACGGTTACCACGGTGACCACGGTTACCACGGTTACCACGGCGACCACGGTTACCACGGTGACCACGGTGACCACGGTTACCACGGTTACCACGGTTACCACGGTGACCACGGCGACCACGGTTACCACGGTGACCACGGTGACCACGGTGACCACGGTGACCATGGTTACCACGGTGACCACGGTGACCACGGTTAACTCGGCAAGTCCACCCTCATCGCGGGGGGGGGGCCGGGGGTGGCTGGGTGGGGGGAGGGTGGGGGCTGGGTGGGGGCTAGGTGGGGGGAGGGTGCTACCGTTCCTGAAAATCCAGATTGAAAACTAATTTCGTTCAAACTGCTCTTCATGTTCAGTTTGTTACCCCCCCCCCATACATAGCATCACCACCTCATCGCCCTCATCACCTCATCACCATCACCACCTCATCACCATCACCACCTCATCGCCATCACCACCTCATCACCATCACCACATCGCCGTCACCACCTCATCGCCGTCACCACCTCATCGCCGTCACCACCTCATCATCATTGTCACCATCACCACCTTATCACCATCACTACCTCATGGTCATCACTACCTCATCACCGTCACTACCTCATCACCGTCACCACCTCATCACCGTTGCCACCTCATCACCATCACCACCTTATCACCATCACCACCTCATCACCATCACCACCTCATCACCATCACCACCTCATCACCATCATCACCTCATCACCACCTCATCACCATCACCACCTCATCACCGTCGCCACCTCATCACCATCACCACCTCATGATCGTCGCCACCTCATCACCATCACCACCTCATCACCATCACCACCTCATCACCATCACCACCTCATCACCATCACCACCTCATCACCATCACCACCTCATCACCGTCGCCACCTCATCACCATCACCACCTCATGATCGTCGCCACCTCATCACCGTCGCCACCTCATCACCGTCACCACCTAATGATCACCACCTCATCATCATCACCACACCATCACCATTTCATCATCATTGTCACCACCTGATCATTATCACCATCACCACCTCATCATCATTACCACCTCATCATCATTACCACCTCATGATCGTCACCACATCATCATTGTCACCGTGACCACCTTATCATTTTTCATATTCTTGGTTCTTTCGGTAAAGTCACGTATTATTATTATTTTCCTTCTACGTGGTGAATTTACCGAAAGAACCAATAATATGAATCCCTGCAGTCACGAAAGCTTTAAATCGAAATTTCACCTTATCATTATCACCATCACCACCTCATCACCATCACTACCTCATAGTCATCACCACCTCCATCACCATCACCACCTCATTACCATCACCACCTCTTCACCATCACCACCTCATCACCATCACCATCTCATTATTACTATCACCACCTCATTATTACCATCACCACCTCATCACCATCACCACCTCATCACCATCTCCACCTCATCACCATCACCACCTCATCACCATCACCACCTCATCATTATTACCATCACCACCTCATCATTATTACCATCACCACCTCATCACCATCACTATCACCACCTCATTACCATCACCACCTTATCACCATCACTACCTCATAGTCATCACCACCTCATCACCACCACCTCATCACCATCACCACCTCATCACTACCTCATAGTCATCACCACCTCATCACCATCACTACCTCATAGTCATCACCACCTCCATCACCATCACCACCTCATTACCATCACCACCTCATTACCATCACCACCTCATCATCATCACCACCTCATAATTATTACCATCACCGCCTCATCACCACCTCATCACCATCACCACCTCATCATTATTACTATCACCACCTCATCACCATCACCACCTCATCACCATCACCACCTCATCACCATCACCACCTCATCATTATTACTCTCACCACCTCATTATTACCATCACCACCTCATCACCATCACTACCTCATAGTCATCACCACCTCATAGTCATCACCACCTCCATCACCATCACCACCTCATCACCATCACTACCTCATAGTCATCACCACCTCATCACCATCACTACCTCATAGTCATCACCACCTCATCACCATCACCACCTCATCACCATCACCACCTCATCACCATCACCACCTCATCATTATTCCCATCACCTCATCACCATCACCACCTCATCATTATTACTATCACCACCTCATTATTACCATCACCACCTCATCACCATCACTACCTCATAGTCATCACCACCTCATCACCACCACATCACCATCACCACCTCATCACTACCTCATAGTCATCACCACCTCATCACCATCACTACCTCATAGTCATCACCACCTCCATCACCATCACCACCTCATTACCATCACCACCTCATCATCATCACCACCTCATAATTATTACCATCACCACCTCATCACCACCTCATCACCATCACCACCTCATCATTATTACTATCACCACCTCATCATTATTACCATCACCACCTCATTACCATCACCACCTCATCACCATCACCACCTCATCACCATCACCATCACCACCTCATCACCATCACCACCTCATCATTATTACTCTCACCACCTCATTATTACCATCACCACCTCATCACCATCACTACCTCATAGTCATCACCACCTCATAGTCATCACCACCTCCATCACCATCACCACCTCATCACCATCACTACCTCATAGTCATCACCACCTCATCACCATCACCACCTCATCACCATCACCACCTCATCACCATCACCACCTCATCATTATTCCCATCACCTCATCACCATCACCACCTCATCATTATTACTATCACCACCTCATTATTACCATCACCACCTCATCACCATCACTACCTCATAGTCATCACCACCTCCATCACCATCACCACCTCATTACCATCACCACCTCATCATCATCACCACCTCATAATTATTACCATCACCACCTCATCACCACCTCATCACCATCACCACCTCATCATTATTACTATCACCACCTCATCATTATTACCATCACCACCTCATTACCATCACCACCTCATTACCATCACCACCTCATCACCATCACCACCTCATCACCATCACCACCTCATAGTCATCACCACCTCATCACCATCACCACCTCATCACCATCACCTCATCATTATTACTCTCACCACCTCATTATTACCATCACCACCTCATCACCATCACCACCTCATCACCACCACCTCATCACCATCACCACCTCATCACTACCTCATAGTCATCACCACCTCATCACCATCACCACCTCATCACCATCACCACCTCATCACCATCACCACCTCATCACCATCACCACCTCATAGTCATCACCACCTCATCACCATCACCACCTCATCACCATCACCACCTCATCACCATCACCACCTCATCACCATCACCACCTCATAGTCATCACCACCTCATAGTCATCACCACCTCATCACCATCACCACCTCATCACCATCACCACCTCATCACCATCACCACCTCATCACCATCACCACCTCATCACCATCACCACCTCATCACCATCACCACCTCATCACCATCACTACCTCATCACCACCTCATCACCATCACCACCTCATAGTCATCACCATCACCACCTCATCACCACCTCATCACCATCACCACCTCATCACCACCTCATCACCACTTGATCATCAACAAGCCACTGGGAGGTACGCACTTTTTTTAATTCGGATTGAAATCTGATGTCTTCCGAACTGCATGCTGTGTTTTAGTGTATTGCCCTTCCCCCAGCACCTCCGGTTGGCCACGGTTGGCTACGTGCGGTGCCACAGAAGCTCAATGCACCCACCTTTCAAAATCGTCACGTAATGTCAATTTGTATCTAACGTACAGCAGCAGCAGCGGCAGCAGCGGCATCGCTCCCCCTAACCGCTCAAACTTTTGGCGTGGATGCTCCTGAAAAAGTCTTGGGGGGGCCCGTCCGTGAATGACGTCACGCACCCGGGGGGGGGGGGAGAGGGGGCGGGGGTCAGACATTTGTGACGATGTGTGACGAGGGGTGGGGCGCGGGCTTGAGAAATGTGACGTCGCATCAAAATGCGCAAACTTTAAATAAATGAATATAGAATTGTTATAACAACACTAATTGTGATTGTAACAGCACTAATTGTGGTTGTAACAACACTCCGACAACGTCAGAGTGCAGCGGCACATTAAACACGCACTACAGTGACAGTAGTTTAAAGCGATTTGAAGCACGTTTTATTTTCAAAATGGAAATATGTTTTTTGGGGGGGGGGAGGCAGAGCTGCTTTGTGACGTCATATTTGGGGGGGGGGTCTGACTTTTTGTGACGCCGTGTGACGAGGAGGGGGGCGGGGGTAAAAAATATTCCAAAATCGCGTGACGTCATTTATGGCCGGCCCCTTGAGACCTCGGTGGGGCTTTCCTTGGTAAACAATGCGTAATCAGAATCAGAAAGGGTTTTATTCGCCATGAAAGTTCACACCGACACGGAATTTACCTTGGCAGGATGGTGCATACATTCAACATATAGGAATCTAAAATCTTAAATAAGTTTTAAACAAGTCTTACTATAATAATACTCATAATGCTAATAATAATAACATACACAAACGGAAAAGGAAGGCTGTGTGGCTAATGGGATGTGTTAACCAAAGCCATAACTTAGATTTATTGTCGGGGTAGTCAACCTGTAACAAACCAAGAGCCACGAAAAGGTACCCACAAGTCCTATAAAGAAGCAAGTGTACCCCTATGTGTGTGTGTGCGTACATTGACAGTTTTTTTTGGCACAGCAGGGGATACGCTAATGAATCTTTGCTACTTCTGTGAGAGTGTTTTCTTCGTTGTAGTCGCATGTGGTGAATTAAAGCTAACCTGGTTTAAACACGTCGGCTTTCGCGACCGATAGTTCCGTAATACAGTTTTTTTTGGGTTAGATGGCCTCAATAAATAACTGTTTAAGTGCATAGATATTTACGCGATCTGACCCAAAAAAAACTTGTGTTATGGATAAAACTGAACTGTTATTATTTTAGCCGGTAAGGCCCGCTGATCTATGTAGGTCTTCAGAAGCGACCTGGCTATCACAAATGATAGCCCAACGAAGTGGGGCTCATCACGTGGAAATCTATGGCAGCCAAATAGTCTGAACGCCTGATGTTGATTCTAATTGTGGAGGGAAAAACCGGAGGACCCGGATGAAATTCCATGAGACCACGGGGAGCGAGAGAGAGAGAGAGACACGCAAACTCCAAATATACAGCAGCAGGCATCACGGTCGGGATCGTACCGACGACCTCCTGTACACCAGGCGAGGTAGTTAACATCACCTAGCCACCGTGATGATGATGAGAGAGAGACACGCAAACTCCAAATATACAGCAGCAGGCGTCAGGGTCGAGATCGAACCCACGACCTCCTATACACCAGGCGAGGTAGTTAACATCTCCTAGCCACCGTGATGATGATGATGAGAGAGAGAGACACGCAAACTACAAATATACAGCAGCAGGCGTCAGGGTCGAGATCGAACCCACAGCCTTCTGTACACCAGGCGAGGTAGTTAACATCTCCTGGCCACCGTGATGATGATGAGAGAGAGAGAGAGACACGCAAACTCCAAATATACAGCAGCAGGCATCACGGTCGGGATCGTACCGACGACCTCCTGTACACCAGGCGAGGTAGTTAACATCTCCTAGCCACCGTGATGATGATGATGAGAGAGAGAGACACGCAAACTCCAAATATACAGCAGCAGGCATCACGGTCGGGATCGTACCGACGACCTCCTGTACACCAGGCGAGGTAGTTAACATCTCCTAGCCACCGTGGTGATGATGGGAGAGAGAGACACGCACACTCCAAATATACAGCGGGCGTCAGCGTCGGGATCGAACGCACGACCTCCCATAAAGAGCCGTACACGGCTCGGGAGACGACGGTTGGCCACAACTGATTTATGTGGAGGGACGGCTGTATGAAGGTCGGTTGTTCCTGTGTGCTGTGGGCTTAGTTATTTCACCACTGTTGTGATGTTTGGTCTTCTCACACCGCAGATTTCACCCCTGTGGACCTGGAGTTGTTGCTGCAGAAGCGCGAGCCACTGCCAACTGAGAAACACTAGGCGTGAATCATCGTGGCCTTCACCACCACCATCACCACCGCCATCGTCACCAGCAACACCACCACCGTCGTCGCCACCAACACCACTACCATCGTCGCCAGCAACACCACCACCATCGTCGCCAGCAACACCACCATCATCGTCCCCACCATCACCATCGATATAAAAATCATCGCCACCATCACCACCACCACCAATAAACAAAGACTCCAATACATCCTCATCTGCTAGAGGAGCTCACTGTCTAGATCTTTCAAGGATCTGTAAGCTTCTCACACAATCCAGCATGATTTAAACCTAGGATGGCTCATAGGGCAGGCCAGCCTGAATGTTTCCCGCCGGCGCAGATGTTCCTTTAAAGGGCTCAAAGTTTTATAAGTATAGAGGAGGGCATGGCTGTGGCCGAGAAGAACCCGGAGGTCCGTGTAGAGAGATAGGCCAGGGAGCTTCCACACGGCAGTGTAACGCAGCTGATGGAAAGAGAATGCCCCTTGACGTGAACTCCTCCGCTCTCCCCTCAACTGCGCCATCAGTCACGAGGAGAGGAGGGAGTGGAGGCATCCAGGTTCTCTGTAAGGCGCCAATCTCTTAGTGGAACACTCCAGGTTCAGCAGTAGCATCTCGCAACTCATCAGAGTGGGTAGCAAATACCAGATCATCAGCACACAACACGGATACCAAATCGGGAGCCATCCCTGCCTTGACCATACCTGGGTATTGATGATCAGCCTCCCATTTGTATCTGTACCGGATAGAAATTTCCTCGGACGCATCCATGGAAAGCTTCTCGAACTACGCGGTCAAAGGAGATGTTAATTAATTGTAGGGGCCAGAGAACATCCCTGTCTCACCCCAAGGTGAACAGAAAATGGCTTCGACTCCCGGCCACGCAGCTTTACCCAGGCCTGCCTGCCCCACCTCCATTAAGCTCCTTAAGTATCGTGAGCAGAGAGTCGGGGACCCCGGAAGCACGAATAATAACCCAGAGGCCTTAGTCTGTTGATCGTATCATAGGCCTTGACCAAGTTAATAAGGCAGAGATGTCGGTCCTATTGGGGAATTCCCTACGCCGCTGCTGTAGCAGACAAACAGCAAACGTGGCCCGTCTTATCACCCGTCCCTCGCCTATCAGTTGCCTTAATGCCTGGAATTGCTTCAATTACTGCGGGCAGTTTTCCCCACGCTTAGTTGGTCATCGTCAGGGCTGTCCATAGGGTGGCCGAGGGCCGTGGCGGGGGGGGGGGGGTGGAGGGGGGGTGGAGGGGGGGGGGAGGGGGGGCCCTGGACAAAGCCGACCACGTGGTGCGGGACACCCCAACACCCCAACCGACGCCTTAAAACTAAACCAGAAGTTTTGTATCTGAACCGGAACTTTTGTTCGTTGCTGTGACCTGCGGTGTGGTGAGCGAGCCCTGCTGCTGTGAGCTGCAGTAGCTGCTGCTGCTGAACAGCGGTTATGGTCCCCAAAGCGCAGGGCCCGGGGCAGTCGCCCACCCCCCCACCCCCCCACCCCACCCCCACTATTCGGCGTGTACCCTAGGGAGCACCTCTGTCCGTCGCAAACACTCTAGCCTTACAAACTTTTCTACCAATTTTGTATATATATAATCAAGTTTGTCTTGTTTCCGTAGGTGGAAAGGGGGGGGGGGGTTAGGAGGGAGGGAGTGGCGGGAGCTGGGGGGCGGAGTTCATAAATGGCCGTGTCGGGGGAAAAAAAATTACCGCTCTTGTTATTTTGTTTGCCTACGACCGGTTGAGAATAACAGGGCACCGTCAACCGTGACCGTGGTCAGTCCACTGCTGGATAAAAGCCTCCAGCACCGCCCTGCCCCCAAACCACCGCCAGCCTCTCGCGTCCCCCCCCCCCCCCCCCGTGCCCGCTAGCGATTGGCGACGCTCCGGTGATGAGACGCCTCGTGAGCTATAAGATCCCCGTGATCACCGCGTCGCTTTCACACCAGTCTCTCCTTGTTTTCTTTCCTACCGCGTGCCGTCAAAAAAGCAAAGCCGACGTCGCCACCACGCCCACGTGAAGGACGCTCGCTCGCTCGCTCACGCGCGTCTGTTGTGGGGGGGGGGGCGCGTCGGGTACGCGTGCGTTTGGGAGCGTGCGTGTCCGTGCGCTGAGGCTCGACCCCTCTGGCTCGGTGGGTGGTGGTGGTGGTGGAGGAGGGGGGCGATGCTCCGTTTTGTTGTTTTCACGATGCGCTCGTATTTTACGTGAGTTTGGCTCGCCCGCTGATGGTGCTGCGCCGGTTGGGGGCCCGAGCTGAAACCAAAACTCGCGATTTGTACAAATTTTTCTTTTTTTTTTAAACAATTTTTTTTACTCGCTCGGGGAGAGGGAGAGAGAGAGAAAAACCCCCGTAAACTCTTGGGATTTGCCTTCTTTAAAAGGCTTTGTCGGCATGAAGTATTTTTTTTTAACAATCACCGTGGTGATTCTTTTTTAAGTCACGGATTCGCAACCGTGGTGTCAGAGACACTGAGCGTGCCCTTGGTGGTGGGTGGATTCGATTTTTTTTTCTCCTTACACCCCCCCCCCCCGCCGCCGCGGCTCTCTCCGAACTGAAATCCCCTCGCACGTGGAATGCTCCCCGGGCCGAAACGTCGGACATGGCGCCGCCGACGGGAGAGCCGCCGTACGCATCGTTCCGATCAGCCAGCCAGCCACGCGCGCGCGCGACGCAAACGCCGTACACGCGTTGGAAAGCTTCGCCGATTTAACCATTTTTTTTATTTTCCCACCCCACCAAAGTTTTTATTGAACGGACTCCTGCCCGTCCGCCTACTTGTGGATTCACGACTCGTGAAATCCATTCGGGCTGCCTCGAAATGTCATTCGTAACAAATAGTGACAGCAGCAATTTTGCGGCCCTTTGCTCAATCCACTGTTGGATGAAGGCCTTCCCCACATTGCTTCAGTCGTGGCGATCCGTCGCTGGACCTCGCCGCATCGCGCTGGGCTTGCCATCGAAGAGGGAGGGGGTGGTGGGCCCTCTGGTTCAGTCGTCCCTCGCTCGCTCGCCCGCCCGCCCACGTTTGCCATGTCCGGGATTTCGATCCCGATTCGAGCCCTGGGGCGTAACTCGATCATGCTTTCATAATGGCCGTGTCAAGGCACACCGGGCCTGCATCGCGTTCCGGGTCTCGGCCGCGTGTCGCTAAAACGGGCTGTCAAGTGCGGCGAGTTTGGTGGTCTCGGCTCGGGTCACCGAAGGATGCACGGGGAAATTTTTATTTTATTTTTAAATGTTTCGTCGGTTAAATTGGACAATCCCAGCTCTTGAGGGATACAATTTTTTTCAGTTCGACATGCACTGAACACTGTTTGCCCGGGCATATGTGATGTTGCACCAGTAAGAAGCTATTGAAGCGACCCTCGAAGGTAGTTCTGTGACATCAATCTTCCACGGCCGTGTTCTGACGGAGCGATGCGTTGCTCGCTCGCCGTGAGAGTCCACGATGCGTCGTGTTCACCTCGCGGCGCCACGCTACGAGCGGAGACGGCGATAATCAAATCTGTCTTGAAAATAAAAAGCGAAACAGTAATAATTACATTTTGATTTAAAGCTTTCGTGACTGCAGGGATTCATATTCTTGGTTCTTTCGGTAAAGTCACCACGTAGAAGGGAAACAATAAAATAATAAAAATATAAAACAATACAATTCTCACGACGTTTCGACTGCAGCACAAGCAATCATCATCGGGTGTGAAAACCACAGCAGGAAAAAAATATTATTTTATTGTTTCCCTTCTACGTGACTTTACCGAAAGAACCAAGAATAGTAATAATTAGTTCCGTTTTAGCAACGTTCTGGCAGCACCAAGTCCTGTTTTAGAGCTACGGGCGTCATTCAGGAAGATTATGTTAATACCTTTTAATAAATGGTACTGTAGCGATACCTGAGAATTCTATATGGACGATGAGTTCTGTGTACTTTTGTATCAATGTACAGTGAGGAAAAAAATATTTAATCCCCTACTGATTTTGTACGTTTGCCCACTGACAAAGAAATGATCAATCTATAATTTTAATGGTAGGTTTATTTTAACAGTGAGAGACAGAATAACAACCAAAAAATCCAGAAAAACGCATGTCAAAAATGTTATAAGTTGATTCGCATTTTAATGTGGGAAATAAGTATTTGACCGCCTCTCAATCAGAGAGATTTCTGGCTCCCGGGTGTCTTTTATACAGGTAACGAGCTGAGATTAGGAGCACACTCTTAAAGGGAGTGCTCCTAATCTCAGCTTGTTACCTGTACAAAAGGCACCTGTCCACAGAAGCAATCAATCAGATTCTAAACTCTCCACCATGGCCAAGACCAAAGAGCTCTCCAAGGATGTCAGGGACAAGATTGTAGACCTACACATGGCTGGAATGGGCTACAAGACCATTGCCAAGCAGCTTGGTGAGAAGGTGACAACAGTTGGTGCGATTATTCGTAAATGGAAGAAACACAAAATAACTGTCAATCTCCCTCGACCTGGGGCTCCGTGCAAGATCTCACCTCGTGGAGTTGCAATGATCATGAGAACAGTGAGGAATCAGCCCAGAACTACACGGGAGGATCTTGTCAATGATCTCAAGGCAGCTGGGACCATCACCAAGAAAACAATTGGTAACACTATGCCGTGAAGGACTGAAATCCTGCATTATGCTTTGGTGGTGTTTTTCTACCAAGGGGATAGGACAACTTCACCGCATCAAAGGGACGATGGACGGGGCCATATACCGTCAAATCTTGGGTGAGAACCTCCTTCCCTCAGCCAGGGCATTGAAAATGGGCCGTAGATGGGTATTCCAGCATGACAATGACCCAAAACACACGGCCAAGGCAACAAAGGAGTGGCTCAAGAAGAAGCACATTAAGGTCCTGGAGTGGCCTAGCCAGTCTCCAGACCTTAATCCCATAGAAAATATGTGGAGGGAGCTGAAGGTTCGAGTTGCCAAACGTCAGCCTCGAAACCTTAATGACTTGGAGAAGATCTGCAAAGAGGAGTGGGACAAAATCCCTCCTGAAATGTGTGCAAACCTAGTGGCCAACTACAAGAAACGCCTGACCTCTGTCAACAAGGGTTTTGCCACCAAGTACTAAGTCATGTTTTGCAGAGGGGGTCAAATACTTATTTCCCTCATTAAAATGCAAATCACTTTATAACATTTTTGACATGCGTTTTTCTGGAATTTTTTTTGTTATTCTGTCTCTCACTGTTCAAATAAACCTACCATTAGAATTATAGACTGATCATTTCTTTGTCAGTGGGCAAACGTACAAAATCAGCAGGGGATCAAATACTTTTTTCCCTCACTGTAAGTAACGGTGCTGCGACCTGTTTGTCTAAGATGCCCAAGTGAAATTTATTTTATTGAAACGACAATAATGTCGTACGCTTGGTATTCGCCCCAATATCAGAATCTGTATTGATACTGGAAGAATCCGATGAGCTAGCAAGCTCTTTTTTCCCCACAGATGTCCAGTAGGAGCAGGCCATAACTGTGCGTTACATATGGGTATAGTTCTGGTAGTAGGTAGGAGAGCGATGTGGTGTTTACCCCCAATTTAGAACAGCAACATCTCTTGTTTACTCGGCATGCGTGGGGAGTGGAGGAGGCTGACGATTAATCAAATGTGCCGGTTATCTGAGAGTTATACCTGAGTGTTTTTTTTCCAAATTTTCACGAGCGCGTGACAACCGTTTCAAGAAAGGAACCTCATCCTGCGTTTTAACCGTGACGGTTGGCACGGTTGTTCAACATCCAAGTAGTGAACTCTTTTTTTTTTACAGAGGTACTTACCAGTCGGTTCATTCCAGATCATTCCAAGTTCACTGTAGAGAAGCAGTGGGTCCGTTTCGAGTACAGTATTCAGTAGCACAGTACTGTGTACGGCAGTACAGCGCTGTATGCAGTAGGACAGTGCTGTGTGTACAGACTTCGGCGAGCGCCAGTACTTGGCAGCTTCCCGAAGCTTCCGTAAACTACGCTAAGCGCACGGCAAATTTCCCGATTGGCTGTGGGAATGTTTCCGTAATAAGAGCCCGTTCTCCTACAACGCGGTAGTGGTTGCGTTCCTGAATAACCCCGCATTTTGGTAAAATCGCGTCATAATAAATAACGTGTAATATAGCGGGTAAAGCACAGTCCGTGAGCACACACTGTGAGATGCGTACGCAGGCTGAACATCGAGAAGCATCCAGCAGCATCCCGCCTTGCGCGATGCTACGGCGAGGCAGCCGGACATCCGCTTGTTCCTACTCGCGCGCGACGTAGTACCGTTCACTCGATCGCGTTACGTATCCAATTCGTATCCGCGTGATAAGCAAAAAAAAATGTGTTCCCTAATGCATTCAATCGCCGTCGGAGAACAGACCGTGCGTGAAGGAATATTCGTACTGCCGTCTGCGATTGATGCCGGTTAATAGAGCGTTCCGGGAGTGGCAAAGTGCCGGATAGCAGGGCTTTTGCTGTACTTTGCGCGCGATATCTCTTTTCATTACGAAAATGTGGACCGTGTCGTCGGCACGTAGCCTATCGTTTTGTTTTGCCGACGGCGGGTGTTGTTATGGTTAATGTCCCCGCAGTATTAACCAGGGCGGCATCGCGAGAGTTTAACCGTGAACGCAAATCATCGGCTTCGAGTGGACGGCGTGCCCTGCCAAAATCTCACTGTTGTTCACATTTTGGTCTCTGATTTTACGTTCATTCCGTTATTAACGCGTGCCCCCCCTTGTCCTCCCCCCGTGCTATTAAATTACGTGAATACTTCTCCTTATTTTGTTATTTAAATCAAAGAATAAGTTACAACGATAACCGAAGTGTTTTTTTTAATGCAACTGGCCATGAGTTCCAGAAGCCTTAGCAATGACCGCGAGTAACGCGTCTTAGGTTTAGAATTTTAATAAATTTTATTTTATTTTAAAAGGGGGATAAGTTGCAATAGTGGGTCCTAAAATGTACTCTGATAATTAATAATGGGCGGGGGGGGGGGGTTTACGAACGAAAAGTGTTTTTCATTCATTTCTATTTAATAATACATTTCCGTCGAATCTTTGTTTGCGCGTGTGTTCATTTTACTGCAGAGGCTGTAGGCAAACGCCACCGACGTGTGCCGTTTACAATCGTTCTCCAGCCCGGCGGTTCTCGGGAGTGTGATCCCTGTCCCGTCGGTGCGTCCCGTGATGCGTATTCCGCGGTGGCTGAGTGGCGAGCGTGGGGTCCGTCCGGACTCTCATTTGCAACATATTCTACGGCTCTTTCGGTAAAGCCACGTAGGTAGAAAAATAATTTTTTTAAAAAATATCACGACGTTTCGATCACAACACAAGCAATCGACGATTGATTATTGTTTTTCTTTCAACCTACGTGGCTTTACCGAAAGAGCCATAGAATGTGTGTTCCTGCAGTCACGAAAGCTTTAAGCCAAGATTTAATCGCAACGTCCGTTAGTCCTTTTTGTTTCGGACGTGAGTTCATATTTGACTCACGATATTTCATTTTAAAATTAAGTTAAAGTAAACTACCCTGGGGTTTGGTCTTCCACCAAGGTCATGGTCCATCCTAAACCGCATCCACTGCACAAACCCGTGGCTGTAGATGCGGACAAACGGAACGCCGGGCTTTTATGATAGATAACACGAACAGAATTTTTGTCCCTGGGTAGTAAGTGGTATTTTTATTTTATTTCTTACGCCTAAAAAAGTAGAGAACATTGGTATCATTCCCCACAAACGTTGCTTTTGTGACCAACACAGTGATATTTTGAAATTTACCTATTTTCAATGAGAAAACGGGCGGATTTGTGTATTTTCGTTCACATGAAGTAGAAAAACAACACGACTCAAAATGAACATGTATTTATACTAAAGTGATACAAAAATTACTTCAAAAGATTTAGAAGTGAGTAGTTTTTCGAGATTTACGATTATACTGTAAATCACTTTCACGAATCGGCCCCCAAATATCTCCCATCATGTTCTCGTTATACTGTCCTTGGGAGCGACGTTCAAAGTCCAGTATATCCTGTTCCTCCGAGTACGCTCCCATGTTCTCCTTGAATTGATCGAGATGAGCATCAAGGATATGGACTTTGAGCGACATCCTACAGCCCATTGTGCCGTAGTTCTTCACCAGAGTCTCAACCAGCTCCACGCAGTTTTAGACCTTGTGATTGCCCAGGAAGCCACGAACCACTGCGACAAAGCTGTTCCAAGCCGCTTTCTCCTTACTAGTGAGCTTCTTGGGGAATTCATTGCACTCCAGGATCTTCTTTATCTGTGGTCCGACGAAGACACCGGCTTTGACCTTTGCCGCAGACAGCTTAGGGAAGAAGTCTTGAAGGTACTTGAAGGCTGCTGACTCCTTATCTACAGCTCTGACAAATTGTTTCACGAGGCCCAATTTGTTGTGCAGTGGTGGCATCAGCACCTTCCGGGGGTCCACCAGTGGCTCCCACTTGACGTTGTTCCTCCCCACAGAAAACTCGGTCCGCTGTGGCCATTCCCGCCTGTGGTAGTGCGCCTTGGTGCCCCTGCTGTCCCAAAGGCAAATATAGCAGGGAAACTTGGTAAAACCGCCTTGGAGACCCATCAGGAATGCCACCATTTTGAAGTCTCCGATGACCTCCCAGCCGTACTCATCATACTTCAAGGCGTCCAGCAAGGTCTTGATGCTGCTGTCATCCTCTTTGAGGTGCACCGAGTGAGCCAGGGGAAGAGACGGGTACTGGTTACCATTATGGAGCAGCAGCACGGCTTTGAGGCTCCTGGATGAGCTGTCAATGAAGAGGCACCACTCATTCTGGTTACAGGCAATTCCGATTGCCTCGAATGGACTGGTCACATTGTGGCAGAAGCAGAGGCCCATCTTGACGGGTGAAGAAGCTGCAAAAAGGTTGGTGACGCTTCCTCTGATCTGCGACTTGCACACTTTCATCCAACAAGTTCCACTGCTTGAGCCTAGACGTCAAAAGCTCGGCATTGGGACTTGGTGAGACCAAGATCTCTGATCAAGTCGTTGAGGTCTTTTTGGTTGGCGTAGTATGGGTTTCTCTCCTCAGCCCCACCTCTGAACTTGTCATCTGGATCTACAACGTCTTCCTGGCTCTCTGACTTGCTGCTCTGTTCTAAAGACGGCTGCTCTCTCTACGGAGGAGTGGGTACGGGGAGCTCATGGAAGTGTGGCATGAGGCGATGGATGAAGGAAGGTCTGGGTACGTGATAGCAGGTGCATTCTTGCCAGTCCGACGTATGGAAGGGTCCACCATGCAGAAGTAGCAGTTGCTTGAGTGGTCAGTGGGTTCCCGACATTCTTGGGATAGCGAACTTCATGGCTCTCTTTTCCCCTCTGTAACCATCCTAGAAAAACACATTTATTTCACCCATGACTAATGTGTAATAGATTCTCGCAACAGTTTTCACGTGTGATGTATTTTTCTATAACGTTGAAAACTGTAAAACATTTTAAAATGAAAAACTTTTACAATTTAATTTTTTAAAACAAATTTTATAACGTAAAATTCCGAGCAACAATTGTCCATCTTAGCTTACAGAGTTTTTTTCTGCATTGCTCGCAGGTGAAATGAGGTGGCCAGGGTTTGTCTTGATCACCGACAGGCATGCCGAAATATGCCTTGTAGGCCTCACACGTCTTAGCAGATGCTTTCACAGAGGAATTTTTCGCTCGTGTCTTGATAAATTGGCCACAGACATCGCAAAATGCGTCTGCCGGACGCTTGCAGCCTCTTAATGCCATCTCAGAAAAATGCAGCTGGAACTAAATTGTACTGGTGGGCTTAATGCCATTGTATGTATACTATTTATATTTGTGGAAAGTTCTCGAATGTTCTAGAAGTTACTCCAAGTTTACTCAGCACTGAATCTATCTGGAATTCTCATTTTCTGTACTTTTGAGGCATAAGCAAGTATAACACTACCCAGGGACAAAAATTAGTGAGTCGTTGAAACCCAATAACCCTCAGTAGGAAGTTGAAACCCAAGAACCCTAAGTGAGAAGTTGAAACACAAGAACCCTCAGTAGTAAGTTGAAACCCAAGAACCCGCAGTAGGAAGTTGAAACCCAAGAACCTTCAGTAGGAAGTTGAAACCCAAAAACCCTCAGTAGGAAGTTGAAACCAAAGAATCCTCAGTGAGTAGTTGAAACCCAAGAACCCTCAGTAGGAATTTGAAACCCAAGAACCCTCACTTAGAAGTTGAAACCCAAGAACCTTCATTAGGAAGTTGAAACCCAAGAACCCTCACTAGGAAGTTGAAAACCAAGAACCCTCAGTAGGAAGTTGAAACCCATGAAACCTCAGTGAGGAGTTGAAACCCAAGAACCCTCAGTGAGGAGTTGAAACCCAAGAACCCTCAGTAGGAAGTTGAAACCCAAGAACCCTAAGTGAGTAGTTGAAACCCAAGAACCCTCAGTAGGAAGTTGAAACCCAAGAACCCTCAGTAGTAAGTTGAAACCCAAGGACCCTCAGTAGGAAGTTGAAACCCAAGAACCTTCAGTAGGAAGTTGAAACCCAAGAACCCTCAGTAGGAAGTTGAAACCCAAGAACCCTCAGTAGGAAGTTGAAACCCAAGAACCCTCAGTAGTAAGTTGAAACCCAAGGACCCTCAGTAGGAAGTTGAAACCCAAGAACCTTCAGTAGGAAGTTGAAACCCAAGAACCCTCAGTAGGAAGTTGAAACCCAAGAACCCTCAGTAGGAAGTTGAAAACCAAGAACCCTCAGTAGGAAGTTGAAACCCAAGAACCCTCAGTGAGGAGTTGAAACCCAAGAATCCTCAGTGAGGAGTTGAAACCCAAGAACCTTCAGTGAGTGGTTGAAACCCAAGAATCCTCAGTGAGTAGTTGAAACCCAAGAACCTTCAGTGAGTAGTTGAAACCCAAGAATCCTCAGTGAGGAGTTGATACCCAAGAATCCTCAGTGAGTAGTTGAAACCCAAGAACCTTCAGTGAGTAGTTGAAACCCAAGAATCCTCAGTGAGTAGTTGAAACCCAAGAATCCTCAGTGAGGAGTTGAAACCCAAGAATCCTCAGTGAGTAGTTGAAACCCAAGAACCTTCAGTAGGAAGTTGAAACCCAAGAACCCTAAGTAGGAAGTTGAAACCCAAGAACCCTAAGTGAGTAGTTGAAACCCAAGAACCTTCAGTGAGGAGTTGAAACCCAAGAATCCTCAGTAGGAAGTTGAAACTCAAGAACCCTCAGTAGGAAGTTGAAACCCAAGAACCCTCAGTATGAAGTTGAAACTCAAGAATCCTCAGTAGTAAGTTGAAACCCAAGAACCCTCAGTGAGGAGTTGAAACTCAAGAATCCTCAGTAGTAAGTTGAAACCCAAGAACCCTCAGTGAGGAGTTGAAACCCAAGAACCTTCAGTAGGAAGTTGAAACTCAAGAACCTTCAGTAGGAAATTGAAACCCAAGAATCCTCAGTAGGAAGTTGAAACCCAAGAATCCTCAGTGAGGAGTTGAAACCCAAGAATCGCGCGCGCGGCTTCCCGCCCTCGTCGCGCGCGCCCCGCGTCATCGCCGTTTGTTTTTTTTTAACGCCGCCTCAGAAAGGGATTTTTTGAACGCCGCTTCGAGTCTTTAATTTCCTACAGAAGTCAAACATTTCGTTGTTTTTTTACAAAGTACGTTTCCTCATGTTTTGGTTCCTTGTGCGGTGTGGTTGATCGTTATGTATTTAGAATTAAAAAAATCGCTAATAAAATGTTGTGGACTGTTTTGCGTAATCGTTATTGTTACTGTACGTACTGTCGAGTGCGATGTTGCGCGATTTGATGATTAGGCCGCTTCTCGTGTTTATTGTGAAAAGTTTGAAAACCTTTCGTTTCGTTTTCGATAATTCACCAATTGCCGTTTAGCATCGCTGCGCTGTATATCGCGTTGCAGTAATATCCGTAAACTATCTTCATATTACTCTAATACAAGATAGATCATTGAGCATTACGAACAATGGATCGTATAATGCGATTGTGTGTTGTGTCCTTCAGTTTGCAATGTATACACTGCAAACTGCGGGCAATTAAGTGTTTAATGCACTGTACGCAATACTGTACTAAATTTATATCGAATTTTAAATGCAGTCTAGTATTCGTATTGAGTCATCTAGTTGATATTGCATAGTTTGCACTGTCCCGTACGTACTATATTGTCCGTCTTGATTGTATTGTCTGCCTCCTGTGTATTGTCTCGTGTGAGTATTGCCCGTCTTCGTATTGTTTCGTTAGTTTTGTCCGTCTTTGTATTGTTTAGTTAGTTTTGTCCTTTGTATCGTCCGTCTCGTTTGTCTTTCTCATTCGTGCCGTGTCTCAAGTTGTCTCATTTTGTCCCGTCTCGGCTCGTCTTCTTCGTCCACACCTATACCGCTTCTCTGCCTTACAGGGCGCTTCAAAAAAATGTTAACACTTTACACGGGACTATCGGTTTTTTCCCCAAAAGCGAAAAATTATGCTACACTGTGACATGACAACAAATGTCATGTTAATAACTCGTTCGCCATCGTTGTCAACGCGTGCATGGAATCCTCTTAAGGTGCTCTCCAGAGCCCCTGAGGCAGTACGTTTCCTGTGGGGTGGTGTTGCAAATTCTCGGAAGTGTTAACATTTTTTTGAAGCACCCAGTACTATTATTTCAGGTCAGATTTTTTTTTGAGACTGCTATTAACCAGGTTGGCCGCTAGGGACCGAGCCGCGAACCCATATAACGGCTAGGAATGCTTAATTATAGCGACTAATCTGAATCAGAATATGTATTTATACTGGAATAATCCGATGAGCTATGAAGCTCTTGATCACTGATGTCAAGTAGGGGCGCGGGGTCAGCGAGTTACAACAACAAACAATATCCCTTTGGCCGTTAGTCCGGAAGGACCTCACGTGTTTTTGTATATTTACATGCAGAAGGGTTCATGAATAACCGATTCTCATACCAATTACTTTATACGCGCATTTTAGAATCGCTCACCATTGCCAGGTTACGTTGATATTGGTGATGGTGACGACGACCAAGATGGTGACAGTGATCAAGTTGATACTGTTAACATTGATGATGTTTAAATTCATATTCTTAGCTCTTTCGGTAAAGTCACGTTGAAGGGAAACAATAAAATAATAAAATATATATAAAACAATAAAAAATCTCACGACGTTTCGACCATAACACAAACGGTCGTGGTGAGAATTTTTATTGTTTTATATATATTTTATTGTTTCCCTTCAACGTAACTTTACCGAAAGAGCTAAGAATATGAATTACTGCAGTCACGAAAGCTTTAAATCAAAAGATGTTTAAATTGATAAATATGTTGATGATGACAGCGGTGATGATGATGATAATGGTCACGGTAATACTATTGATGACGATGTTAACCAGAATGGCGACTGCGGTAAGATTGACGACGATTATTTTGACGGTGGCATCTGCGATGGTGACATTTAACGACGGCGATGAATGTCGCTTTTGCCGTATTTCAGTCGAGGACCGATGAGCCGCCACGCTGCGACATGGAAAACCACGAAGATTTCTGCCGGAAGTGCCGTGAGGAGTTGGGGCAAACCCCCTCGACCCTCCTGGACCCAGCGAGATACCTGGGCTGGAGCCTGGGTCGTGTGATCGCCACGTCTTCCGTACGATTCTGCGGGCGTCCCATCCTCCCTCCTCTGGTTAGTCACTGAACAACAACAATAGAAACAGCTTACAGTTATGATCCATAATTCATTTTTGGGTTAGGCCACGTAGAACTCTATCCTCACTATGAGACCTCCTTTGCCAGTAGCAAGATATAGTAATAGGTTTTTACCCTTTTACCTGGCACCAAAACTGACACCTTTATACAAGGGATCATGTTTGCAATAACCACAACACAAGCAGTCAAAATGCAAACAAAAAAAGACAACTCTGTTAATGATATGCACTGTCGTTGAAATTGATTGGTCCACACCCGAGACGGCTTTTCTTAGAGCCTAGTCTCCACTGGTGTTGGACCAAATGACGCCAAAAAGCGTCATTTGGTCCAACTCCAATTTCTATCATATGAAGGGAAAGTCTTGATTTGAAACTTTCATGACTGCAGGAATCCATACTCTTGGGTTCTTTCGGTAAAGTCGCGTAGTTAGAAAATAAAATAAATCACGACGTTTCGGGCGCCACACAAGCGTCCATCGTTCAGGTGGGCGCACACCCATTTCAAACCTTTTAAGACGGTCTGCCTCAGCAGCAGACCACGCTTTTCCCACATGATGACGGACGCTTGTGTGTTGCGCCCGAAAAGTCGTGATATATTTTACTCTATGCCTACGTGACTTTACCGAAAGAACCAAAGAGTATGAAGGGAAAGGTTTACCTTTTGAACCAGAACCTGATGGATTGCGTTTAAGTACCGCACTTAAATTTACCCTAACCCTCTCTATCGGTATGTTGAACTTATTTGGCACCGTATGTAGCCAAGCATGCTAATCGGAGGTGTGCGGGGGAAGGACAGATGATTTGGTTCTACTGGTGTTTACATTTGCTAGTTTGATAATCTTCTTTTAGATTTATAGAGGGGCTTTCACTCAAGGGGCTTAACATTGTAAAAAAAAGAGTGACAAAATAGAATGGTTTAGATGGCAGGGGCGTGCAAAAGGATTAGGAATTAATTGGTGACCATGATAGAGTGGTACTTGGGGGTGAGGAAAGGGTAGGGGAGGTGGTCACGATAGAGGGGTTCTTGGGGTTAGGAAAAGGTAGGGGAGGGACGGGGAAGGAGTGGAGGGGTGAGGGGAGGGAAGAGAATGGCCAATGGAATAAGTGTTGTAGACAATAAGAATCGTACGATTTCAAGTAAAAAAATAAATCTCATTGTAACTTTTAATAGTATGTATTTTTTTTAATCGTGCGTTTCTAAATACAGTACAAGCTTGGATTGCGAGTAACTTGGTCTGCGAGTGTTTTGCAAGACGGGCAAATATTTTAAATAAATATTAATTTGATAAACGAGCGAGGTTTTAGCAATACGAATAAGTACGTATACGCTTTGTACTGCCGAGCGTCACGTGATCACAACTGATATACGACTGCTTTGGTATACGAGTGCTTTGGATTACAAACACGTTTCCGGAACAAATTATGCTCGCAATCCAAGGTTTTACTGTATATGTATTTACTGTTATAGCGAAAAGTCAAGAAGCATCTCTTGTCGGTGCTGTCCATTTGTGCTTGGGTGAAAATTGTGATGGGGTTGTGACTTTGCCCAATCCATGGCCAGCTGCCTCAATACACCCAATAAACAAACTTAAGTATCAAATTATAATGTGCTTGTTTACTCAGAAAGAAAGCCTCACTGAGTTTTGACACACTTTTAGGGAGGGTCCTGCCAATTTTTTTTCAGGAGGAGTGGTAGGGGGGTCGATGTTGCCACGTGTAATCCCAATTGAGTAATTCGCCTTGGGGTTTTTTAGCCACCGGGATGTTTTTAGACAACGCCAGTTACACTGCATGGGTGTTGCTTTAGCTAATGGGAAGAAACCGGAGAACCTGTAGGGAAAACCGGTGCAGAACGTGGGGAGAACATACAGACTCCGGCACAGAAAAGGCTCCCTATTCGGGAATTGAACCCCAGGAAACCTTCTTGCTGTGAGGCCACGGCTATTAAGCGCTGTGTGCCACCCTGTCGGGGCTATGGCTTTCTCCCGACGATTAACTTGACAACGTACACGTGTGTGTACGTGGTAAAGATGTGTACACCAGTGTTCTCCGCTCATTTTCAGAGGTGGAGGGGGGTGGCGGGCACTTTCGCCGATGAGATATCATCGGTGCGAGGTGTCGCCACACATTCGAAACCATTGGGGATTTGACTGCACGGTGGGGTGCGTCAAGGGCCGCACTAAAGGCCACCAGGGGCCGCCAGTGGCCCGCGGGCCTTGCAATGAAGAACATTGATGTACACGTACATCTCTAGGTATAAGTTGCGCGAGTTGAATTGTGCCATATTGGTGTGTACACTGAACTTTGCCACCTGAGTTCAGTTGCTGGCCATGGATAACATCCGTGGCAAGTAATATCTCAACTGGCCCTGGGCTCCCTTCCTCGCCGGTTACTCAACCTGCCACTGAACCACTGTTTGGTAAAGTATGGTTGACAAAGGGTCTGTAAATTATTTGTCATCATTGCTATATGTGTTACACTCCCATCTTCCATACACTACTCTGGACTGCACCTGACCAGTGTGGTGAAGTAGAGTCAAATAACAACCCATGACCCCACTTAGTGTGGAGAAGCCATATGGATTGACACAGCTTATAAAATGTTACGTTACGGGAATGTTGCTGCTGATGAGTATATTTATGCTAATGATGCTGCTGATAAGTATAATTCTGCTGATGGTGATACTGTTGCTTTTGAGTGATTTTGCTGATGATAATGCTGCTGCTGATGAGTATAATTCTGTTGATGATGATGCTATTTCTGATGAGAAACATTTTCTGATGATTAGGATACTGCTGCTGATTAGCATAATTCTGCCTATGATGCTGCTGCTGATAAGGATAATTCTGCTGGTGATGCTGCTGATGAGTATACATCTGCCGATGATGCCGACGATGCTGATGACGGCGTTGATATCTCGACAATACGGATTTTTTTCTGTCGCGACTCTAGCTGGGGTTGGAGCAGAAAGCAGAGATGAGGGAACTTTTGGCCACCGCTTTGGAAAAGTCGACGAGGAAAATTGAGGGCAGCGCGCAGAAGCGCCACGCACACACCACCTCCTCCAGCAACAACCCGCAGGTAACAGCGACAGCAAATGTAATCTCATGTTTAGTTTTCAATGCTATGTTTTACATATGTGCAGTATTCCCTCATTATTCACGAACTTGCTGTCCACAAATCGCATCTGGAACTACACGACTGCTGCATCAAGAGAGAGAGATGAATGAAGTGAGGAGAAAGAATGTGATGACAGAGAATGTGATGCGAGAAAGTGATGAAATAATTTAAGGTAAGTGAATGTATAATTTTGAGTACTTTAATATACACTTTTTATGAACTTAATACGTGAAAAAGATAGGTTTCCTAAGGACAATATCATCATCTTCTGCGAAATATGCTAATCGCGAGCACCTCCGGGAATTTATCCCTCATCGCGAATAATGAGGGAATCCCGCATGTGTCCCTTCGTGCAAATTGCATCCCCCAATCGCTGAGGAATCGCAGACCAGCGGGAAGGCAACCAGGCGGTGAACAGCAGCTAATGCTGCGACCGACGATTTGCAAAGCTCTGCTGCCCTCGGTATATTAAGATGTTTGCAGCCGATTAACGAGTCTGTACGTGCATTTGTATTACTGCTATTATATTATCCGCTGGTTTATCCCGAAGAGCCCTCGGCGAGTCTCAAGACTGCTTTTCAGGAGGGTCCTGCCAGGTTTTCATAATCGATGGGGGATGTTACTGACGTGTGTAGATCCCAGTTGAGTAAGTTGCAGGTAATCTTTTCAGCAGTGCGATTTTTGTTTTGTTTTACCAAATACAGTTACATTGTGTGTGTTTTATGTTTTGCTGTGGGAGAAAACAGGAGAGGCCAGGGGAAACCCATGCAGAACAGGGGGGGAGAGAATACAAACTCCGCACAGAACAGTTTAACACGTAGGCTTTCACGACCAATATTTTCCATAAGAGTTTTTTTGGGTTAGATCTCGTGAATGTAAATGTGTCGGTAAACCCGCCACCACCCGACAGCCAATTAGTAAGGCTTTTCACGTAAGCAAAACGTGTCAATTCGTTTCTTCTTCACCACACCGGTGTGTTGGAGAGTAAACCCACCGCAACATTTACAATTCGTGCACCGTGACGTATCGCCGGTAATTACCACAACCAGCTTCATCAGGCTACGGCCATAGTTGTGGAGAAATCCTCCAGTTTCGGTATTCTATAGAGTCGGGTGTGTGACCGTGATGTCGTCACTTGTGAGCCAATCGGGGGGGGGGGGGGGGGGGGGCGCGGGGAGGGGGTAATGTAGCCATATCAATTACATTGGATCTAGATTATTGGTTGGGTAATTCAGGTTTTCAGTTTTCAGTTTCATTTATTAGGTGCGACTCTCGACTCAGGTGCAACCGCAACAAACAAAAACATGAACAAGGAACATCTTAAAGTGACTACGAGCAACAGATAAATTCAAGAAAAAAACAGCAAAGTCTTCCAGAAAAAGCACCGCATATCAACGCTGTGTGCAAAAAATCCCAGTGGGATGCAAGTCAAACAACAAGAACCATAAGACAATTTAGATTAAAGTTATCAGTCTAACGCTGTACTGCAACAAACAAATATGGCTAAACCAAAACGTTTTCGAAATCACCAAAATAAAGCTATAAAAAACAATGTAACAGTGATCATAGGAACTGTGTTTAAAATTTAACAATAAACGATATCCATAACATGTACGACCAAACTTTGCAAATGGCTGCATGAGTCACTCCATAACAACAGGAGCATCAGTAGCAGTATCAACATTTTTCAATACACCTTTAAAGATCAGCACACTATAATCAAAACTCAAGATCATACTTTGCAGTGGTCATCAGGAGCGATACATTTGATTTCAGGCCACTGAATAGCAGTGGCAGCTAGGGGTGTACAACTCCTCCAGAGCAGTTTTGAGTGAAGATCTCACAGGTAGTGATATAAGTTGCAGTTTATTGGCGATAGCATTCAAGACCCTGGGGGCATCAATAGAAAATGCCCTCCCTCCAGTGTTTGTACGGCAATAAGGAATGTGAAGCTAGTAAATGAGCTAGGACCTTAGGTCACATCTGTTCTTCGAAACAGTGAGGAGAAGTTAATCAACATAAATAATGTATGTACATTATTGACATTCTGCCATTTTTGGCCCCCAAAAATCGCAATGCCAATTGGCAGCTCAGTGAATCACCATCGACGTATGGTGACCTGTACAGGCGTGAAATTAGACGCAGAACGGTGCCTGAGTCGGGAATCGAACCCAGGGGACTTCTTTCTAAACTAAGGCTAGTTAGATTGAATGAAAACATTAGATTACATGGCTATGATAGTCAGGCAGTCGGTCAGTTTATTTATGGTAAGGCCGATTAAGCTAATTTTTGTCATACATTCACATACGCGCGTGTGTTGTGTTTCATTCACGTAAATTTTTATTGAAACTCTGGCAAGCCGGACTTCTCAGCTACCCAGACCAGGTGGGCCCTAGCATGGCTAGCTGGGATTTTAACACATTCCTGCGGAGGGAGCTGGTAGGAACGTTGGGTTGCTCGGTCAATGGCCAGGGTCAACAGCGGCGTGGTGTATTCCGCACAATATGTCCCACTGTGAGGGCGGGCACAAGCCGGCGTGAGTAGGTTAAATGTTGAGTTTTATAAGGCCACCACGGGGTGACCAGCCCCTCCCCACCCTGCCCCAGCCCTCCCACCCCCCACCCTCCCCAGCCCCTCCCCACCCAGCCCCACCCTCCCCAGCCCCTCCCCACCCAGCCCCACCCTCCCATTTTTGGATGCAGGACGGATGGACACAATAATTCCTTGTGGGCTGGTGTAACCAGGAGGTTCCTACACAGTACTATCCACCATTAGTATCTGCTGGAGAAACCAAAGTGGCATCTGACGTGTGTGCGTTTTCTTTGTAACTTCCTCGATCTTGTCCATGACGATGCTCGCTGCAACATTCTTCTTTGTTCGCAGTTATTTGGTCAAGCCGGGAGCGGTGGGAGTGCATCATCGTTTGCGATGTCTCCTTCGTATTTGCGGATCGGGGGCATTGTGTCGTTTTACTTTGTACGGTCTCTGTTCTGGACGACCACAGTCGCACCACTGCTGAACAGTTGCAAATTGTACGCATCTGCCATGGTTTGTGCAGTGGATGTGATTTAGGGTGGAGCGTGACCTTCGTGGAAGATCAAACCCCAGGGATCTTCTGCGTTGGGTTTTTCACTTTGGTGCGGTTACGTAAACGCAACGTCGCGCTATCCCATGGAGGTGAATGTGGTTGCGAGGAAGTGTTGTTGAACGTAACGTCGCGCTATCCCCATGGAGATGAATGTGGTTGCGAGGAAGTGTTGTTGAACGCAACGTCGCGCTATCCCATGGAGGTGAATGTGGTTGCGAGGAAGTGTTGTTGAACGTAACGTCGCGCTATCCCCATGGAGGTGAATGTGGTTGCGAGGAAGTGTTGTTGAATGTAACGTCGCGCTATCCCATGGAGGTGAATGTGGTTGCGAGGAAGTGTTGTTGAACGTAACGTCGCGCTATCCCCATGGAGGTGAATGTGGTTGCGAGGAAGTGTTGTTGAACGTAACGTCGCGCTATCCCCATGGAGGTGAATGTGGTTGCGAGGAAGTGTTGTTGAACGTAACGTCGCGCTATCCCCATGGAGGTGAATGTGGTTGCGAGGAAGTGTTGTTGAACGTAACGTCGCGCTATCCCATGGAGGTGAATGTGGTTGCGAGGAAGTGTTGTTGAACGTAACGTCGCGCTATCCCCATGGAGGTGAATGTGGTTGCGAGGAAGTGTTGTTGAACGTAACGTCGCGCTATCCCATGGAGGTGAATGTGGTTGCGAGGAAGTGTTGTTGAACGTAACGTCGCGCTATCCCATGGGGATGAATGTGGTTGCGAGGAAGTGTTGTTGAACGTAACGTCGCGCTATCCCATGGGGATGAATGTGGTTGCGAGGAACTGTTGTTGAACGTAACGGCGAGCGAGCTGCAACAAGGCGTGATTGGCGGGCGTGTTAAAGACGCCCGCGCACTTGAACAATTTCTAATTTGTTTGGGCGGTGGAGGGTTCTTAACAGCCCGGATTTGGTGAGGTCGTTGGGTGGGCCTAACCCATGAATCTGTTTCTAAGCTGGCCATTTTACCTGCGGTGATATGTCAGTCGCAGGTCCGGGACCGCTCCGCCAATGACTCCAGAATCGAGTCGAGCATAGAGAGGGAGCGGAGAGACGAGGGCGGCGGCTGCCGTGGCGATAACGACGACGGGCGACACCACCACCACCACCACCACCGCCACCGCCGCAGCAGCAGCGAGGTCTCCCGTCATCACGCCGTGTCGCCCGCGTCCTCGTTCGACCTGACCCGGACCGTCTCCACGTCGAGGTGCGGCCACCCGCCGTGGCCGCACCTCGACGGCCACGACGGCCACGACGGCCACGACGGCGACGACGACGGCGACGACGACGAGGAGGAGGAGGAGGAGGAGAACAGCTCCACCGCCGTCGTCACTGTCGGCGCTCCCCACGATGAGCTGGGGGCCCTTGGAGTGCCCCGCTCCCGTCGCGGCCTTGACGCCGATCGTTTCGGCACTGCCGGTGAAAAGTCGGCGATGCAAGGAGACGACTTCGGTTGCGGTGGCGACGGCGGCAGTGGCGGCGACGGCTGTCGTCCTCCCGGCGAGCCGGGCGCCGGGGTTTACACCGGGATGGCTGCACGGTCGGACTCGCCTCGTCTGCCGGCGGCGGAATCGGTCGTCGATGGTGGAAGCGGTGGCGTTAGCGGTGGCAGTGATGGCAGCGCTGTCGCTGGCAGTGGCGGTGGTGGTGTTAGTGGTGGCAGTGATGTCACTGGCAGTGGCAGTGGTGACGGTGGTGGTGTTAGTGGTGGCATTGATGTCAGTGGCGGTGGTGACGGTGGTGGTGTTAGTGGTGGCATTGATGTCATTGGCAGTGGCGGTGGTGGTGTTAGTGGTGGCAGTGATGTCACTGGCAGTGGTAGTGGTGACGGTGTTAGCAGTGCTGTAATTGGCGGTGGCGGTGGTGGTGTTAGTGGTGGCAGTGGTGTCATTGGGAGTGGCGGTAGTGGTGTTAGTGGTGGCATTGATGTCATTGGCAGTGGCTGTGTTGGCGGTGTTAGCAGTGCTGTAATTGGCGGTGGTGGTGTTAGTGGTGGCAGTGGTGTCATTGGCAGTGGCTGTGTTGGCGGTGTTAGCAGTGCTGTAATTGGCAGTGGCTGTGTTGGCGGTGTTAGCAGTGCTGTAATTGGCAGTGGCGGTGGTGGTGTTAGTGGTGGCAGTGGTGTCATTGGCAGTGGCTGTGTTGGCGGTGTTAGCAGTGCTGTAATTGGCAGTGGCGGTGGTGGTGTTAGTGGTGGCAGTGGTGTCATTGGGAGTGGCGGTAGTGGTGTTAGTGGTGGCATTGATGTCATTGGCAGTGGCTGTGTTGGCGGTGTTAGCAGCGCTGTAATTGGCAGTGGCTGTGTTGGCGGTGTTAGCGGCGCTGTCGGTGGTAATTTAATTGACGGTGGCAGCGATGGCGATCACGTTGGCGGTGTTGGCGGTGACGATGGCAGCGGTGGTGGAAGCGGCGGCGGTTTCCTTCCCGCGTTGGCCAGCGCGGTGCTCTGTGCGGAGGGCGACTGCGAGCCGGCGTGCGGTAGCGACGATGGGGGTGCCGACGAGTGGAGCGAGGTGGCGCGGCTGCTGGAAGCGCAGGCGGTCATGCTGATGGAGAGGACCTCGCCGCTGGGCCGGGGAGGAGGAGGAGGAGAAGGGGAACGTAGAGCAGAAATAACAAGTGGAGGAGGAGGAGGAGGAGGAAGATGGGGAGGAATAGGCAGGCTAATGGGAGAAGGGATATATTGGGGAGAAGGAAAAGGGCAAATGGTTGGAGAAGAAAGACGAAGAGGAGAACTTGGAGAAGGCACCAGCGGAGGGGAGGCAGAGGTAGAAGGAAGAGCATTGGAGAGAATCTTAGAAATAAGACGCGATGGAACAAGTGTGGGATTCGAAGGAACGTTTGGGCTGGGAGAAGGCCTACGTGGACTCGAAGTGAAAGGAGGGAGAAACGGAGATGCAGAAATCGATGACAGAAGACAAGAGGAAGGAAGCAGATCGGGAGGATCACAAGGAGACCGAAGAACAAGATCGGAGGGAGGAGGATTCGGAGGTGGCGGTGGCAGCGGCGCGGGCGGAATGTTTGCGGAATGCCTCGGCGTTCTGGCCGGACGTCCGTCGTCGCCGTCCGCCTTCCCGCCTTGCGCTTGGCTCTCGGAGCGGAGCTTCGAGCGCTCTCCTCGCCGCGCTGACGAGGGTGGCGTAGCGCCACGCTCGGACGTCGATCGCCGACCTTGGGGCGTCGAGGCCACCGCGGCTCGGGCCGATTGGGAAAAAAATCGGGCGGCGCGCGCCGCTCCGCTCAACAGGTCCTACGACGTCGCCATGCCGTCGCCGGCGCTCCTCGCCAGCCTGAGGGGAGGAGGGGAAGAGGTGGAGCGCGAGGTGGCGCACGAGGTGGTGAAGAGGTGTCTGAAGGTGGAGCTGTGCGATGCAATGGGAGTGCGGGCGAAGGTGACCTGCGGGAGCTACTGGCGCGCGATGAAAGACGACAGTCGGCTCAAGGGAGAGGTAGGGGCGTGCATGAGAGGTTGTTGATGGCCCGCTCCTGCGTATCACACACTCCTGCGTATCACACGGCCCTCTCCTGCGTATCACACGGCCCTCTCCTGCGTATCACACACTCCTGCGTATCACACGGCCCTCTCCTGCGTATCACACGCCCCTCTCCTGCGTATCACACACTCCTGCGTATCACACACTCCTGCGTATCATACGACCCTCTCCTGCGTATCACACGGTCCTCTCCTGCGTATCATACGGTCCTCCTGCGTATCACACGGCCCTCTCCTGCGTATCACACACTCCTGTGTATCACATGGCCCTCTCCTGCGTATGACACGGCCCTCTCCTGCGTATCACACACTCCTGCATATCACACGGCCCTCTCCTGCGTATCGCACGACCCTCTCCTGCGTATCACACACTCCTGCGTATCACACGACCCCCTCCTGCGTATCACACGGCCCTCTCCTGCGTATCACATGGCCCTCTCCTGCGTATCACACACTTCTGCGTCTCACACACTCCTGCGTATCACACGGCCCTCTCCTGCGTATCACACGGCCCTCTCCTGCGTATCACACACTCCTGCGTATCACATGGCCCTCTCCTGCGTATGACACGGCCCTCTCCTGCATATCACACGGCCCTCTCCTGCGTATCGCACGACCCTCTCCTGCGTATCACACACTCCTGCGTATCACACGACCCCCTCCTGCGTATCACACGGCCCTCTCCTGCGTATCACATGGCCCTCTCCTGCGTATCACACACTTCTGCGTCTCACACACTCCTGCGTATCACACGGCCCTCTCCTGCGTATCACATGGCCCTCTCCTGCGTATCACACACTTCTGCGTCTCACACACTCCTGCGTATCACACGGCCCTCTCCTGCGTATCACACGGTCCTCTCCTGCGTATCACACACTCCTGCGTCTCACACGGCCCTCTCCTGCGTCTCACACGGCCCTATCCTGCATATCACACACTCCTGCGTATCACACGGTCCTCTCCTGCGTATCACACGGCCCTCTCCTGCGTATCACACGGCCCTCTCCTGCGTATCACACACTCCTGCGTATCACACACTCCTGCGTATCACACAGCCCTCTCCTGCGTATGACACGGCCCTCTCCTGCGTCTCACGAGGCTCCACGCCTTTGCGGATCACAGGTGGGGGCGGGGGGGAGAATCGCTGATCTACCATTCACCATCTCTCTTCCTACACCCCCCCCCACCACCCACCCACCCAACCCCTGTGGAACAGCGACTGACGGCGTTGGCCAGAGGGTTCCTCGCTCGACGACTTCTCGCCACCGAGAAGGTGCAGCAGCTCAAGCAGACCGTCAAGGTGGGTCCTGGCGTGGGTTTTGCCGCTCGACTTGCCCTTAGAGGCCATCAGCCACGCGGGCAACGTTACGGCAGTTGTTGCCGGACAGCAGTCCGTCGGGCAACGCGTTGGCCGCTGCGGTTATTGTTGAGTCTCAAGACTCGTTTTAGGGTGGGTCCTGCCACGTTTTGGCAGTGGGGGTTGGGGGGGGGAGGGCAATGTTGCCGCTGTGTGTGATCACAATCGAGTGATTTGCAGGTAAACTTGTCAGCGTTGGGATGTATGGCCAAGGCCAGTTACAGGTGCGTGTATTTTGGTTTTAGCTATGGGAGGAACCTGTAGGAAACCCGTGTTTGTGTGTGTGTGTGTGCGGTAGTGTGGTTGACTAGCGTGCTGCTCTACGAACCCGGCGACCCGAGTTCGATTCCCGCTCACAGCCAACACCAGTGACGATTATTTGTACCGGGCCTGGGCCTCCCTTAGGTTGACTCAGCCTCAAATGAGTGTACCGGGTGCGATGTGAAAATATCGCCACTGGGGAGACAAAGGCGGTCGGGCGTGGTGCTGGCCACCCACCCCCTCGTGTCGTTCCGGCCCTTCATAGGTGCTCGCCAACAGGACTTGCCCCAATAGTTTGTTAAGGCTACACGGGGGATCTTTGTCTTTGCTGCGTGTGCTGTGTGTGTGCTGTGCCACACAGGACACGCGGGATCTGCTGCGCTCTTTGAGCCAGGCGACTCCTCCCCGCCGCTCTCGATCCACGCAGGACTCGGCACTGTACGAGAGGGCTCTCGCTCAGGTGTGCGAGCGCCTACACGCGTGTGTACGTGCGTGCTGTGTATGTGCGAGTGTCTTGAGTGAGAGTGTGTGTTAGAGAGCGAGTGTGAGAGACAGCGTGTGAGTGTGTGTGGGGGGGGGTGTTTGGGTGTTTGAGAACGAGATTGTGCGAGAGTCTGTGGGAAAGGTGGCGCAGCAGTTGGAGGAGTGTTTGTGTGTGCGAGGGAGTTTGTGTGGGGAGCGGTGGTGTAGCGGTTAGCGCGCTGCGCTACGAACCTGGCGACGTGACTTCGATTGCCGCTCACGGCCACCACCACCAGTGACACCACGAGAGGTGTTCGTGAGGTGTCGTGTGTTTGAGGCGTGGTATCGATGGAGCTTGGTGTCTTATCAGAATCAGAAAGGCTTTTATTCGCCATGAAAGTTCGCACAGACAAGGAATTTACTTTGGCAGGAAGGTGCATACATTCAACATATAGTAATCTTAAATCTAAAATAAGTGGTATACAAGTCTAACTATACTAAAGGTGGTGTCTATGGGGCGTGGTGTCTATGGGGCGTGGAGTCTATGGGGCGTGGAATCTATGGGGCGTGGTGTCTATGGGGCGTGGCGTCTTATGAGTCGTGGTGTTGATGGGGCGTGGTGTCGATGAGGCGTGGTGTCGATGAGGCGTGGTGTCGATGAGGCGTGGCGTCTTATGAGGTGTGGTGTTGATGGGGCGTGGTGTCAATGGGGCGTGGTGTCAATGGGGCGTGGTGTCGATGGGGCGTGGTGTCTATGAGGCGTGGTGTTGATGGGGCGTGGCGTCTATGAGGCGTGGTGTTGATGGGGCGTGGTGTCGATGAGGCGTGGTGTCTATGGGGCGTGGTGTCTATGGGGCGTGGTGTCTTATGAGGCGTGGTGTTGATGGGGCGTGGTGTTGATGGGGCGTGGTGTTGATGGGGCGTGGTGTTGATGGGGCGTGGTGTTGATGGGGCGTGGTGTTGATGGGGCGTGGTGTCTATGGGGCGTGGTGTCGATGAGGCGTGGTGTCAATGGGGCGTGGTGTCGATGAGGCGTGGTGTTTATGGGGCATGGTGTCTATGGGGCGTGGTGTCGATGGGGCGTGGTGTCGATGAGGCGTGGTGTCTATGGGGCGTGGTGTCTATGGGGCGTGGTGTCGATGAGGCGTGGTGTCTATGGGGTGTGGTGTTGATGGGGCGTGGTGTTGATGGGGCGTGGTGTCTATGGGGCGTGGTGTTGATGGGGCGTGGTGTTGATGGGGCGTGGTGTTGATGGGGCGTGGTGTTAATGGGGCGTGGTGTCGATGGGGCGTGGTGTCTATGGGGCGTGGTGTTGATGGGCGTGGTGTTGATGGGGCGTGGTGTCTATGGGGCGTGGTGTTAATGGGGCGTGTCGTTTTCGTCCTAGCTGAGAGCCGCTCTTTACGACGTTCATGACATCTTCTTTGCGACGACGAGCCACGAAAAGGTGGAGATGATGAGGAGCGACAGGGAGGCGCGCAGAGAGAGGGAGCAGCGGAGGCTGGTAATGCTTCACCTCATCATTATTGTCGTCATCGCCGTTGCCCTCATCATCGCTCTCGGCATCTTTGTGTGCGTCGCGTCATCTCACTGCCTCATCTCTTCCACCTCGTGGGCTGATGTCCACTCACATACAGTAGAACCCTTCTTAACGACTACCCCTGTTAACGACTGATCGCTTAATGATAAGCTTCCATAGAGCCCAATGTGTAGTGTATAGTGGAGTGTATAGTGCATAGTAGTGTATTGTAGTGTAGTGTGTAGTGTATGGTCGTGTAGTGTGTAGTGTATGGTAGTGTAGTGTATAGTAGTGTGTGGTTGTATGGGGCCTCCATAGATTCCAATGTGTTTGCTTATCGACCATTCCCCTGTTGTAGGTACGGTAAATAGTAATTAATGCATCTATTAACCTTTTTTATATGATGTGTTTATAATGTTGTCAGTATCATTATGTATTAATATCCGTTGTTTAAATATTATAAAGCACATTTTTTTAGTGAAAAAGGGTAACTTTCGTAACAAATCGATCCTTCCACGTCTATTTCCTATACTCGCTTAACGGACGGTTTCACGGAGCCAATTATCGTTGTGGAGGTTGTACTGTGTAACATTTAACATTCGCCAAATAAATATCTTCCACCCGCCGCATCTCCCCCTCGCACACATTACATTAACGACTGTAGCGCTCATTTCTTTAGAACTTTTTTCGGCGTTTAGTTGTCCTTCCCTCGCAATTCCTCCGTGTACGTTGCGAAAGAGGTTCAACATACACGCGTGCAACACAAGATTTATAGAAGTAACTATATAAACGCAACACATTTAAAAAGCAACATGTAAACCAGTGTGCCGCGCTGTGAAATAATAAAAAAAAAACAGCAATCGAATTACGGTGCTGGAATGGCACCACCACCACCACCACCACCGTTATCCTTACGGGAAAATGAGCTGTCATTTTGTGGCCAGGTCGCCGTTAAAAAAGAGCTACATAGCTCAGTGGGCCTTACCTGGCAAAAATAAAAGCTTCTTTAGCTTCAATAGTTTAGCTTAAATGGTAACGCAGAATAATAGGGTGCACTGCTAAAACACGCATCGTTTTAAATTGTCCTCACAGGAGAGAAGCGTCGAGGTGCCACACGGAAGACCAGTGTTGTCTGCTGCCACACAGAAGTCACTGGAGAGGAAATTCAAGCAGAGGTGAGGCGAGAGGGTTGGGGGGGGGGGGCGTCTGTGTGTGTTGAGCTATCATTTGCGACCGGGTTGCTGCTGAAATATCAGCGAATATTTCGGTGGGTTTTGTCTGGTAGGATGGCGGATGGTTTAGTTTTATCTGTATGCGTTTGGATGATGTTTTCTTGACCTTTCTTGTTCGTTGCACTCCTATCATGTGTTTGTACCGTTTGTTGTTGTTGTTGTAGTAACGTTCTTACCCCGTGCCCCGACTGGACATCTGATCGTCTGATTCTGTGTGAGCCTCATTTTAAATCTAGATTTAAAACTCATTTCCTTTAGAACTGCTTTTTGCATTTGTTTGTTGTCCTTCTCCCCGCGCCTACGTTTAGCGCGGTTGGCCACGTACGCTGCGAAAGAAGTTGAACATAAATGCATGCACGCATTCCCTTCAGCGATATTGTCGTAAAAAAAAAAACATTTTATTCTGATTTCTCCGCTTAACCGGCAACCGGATAAAAAAATAAACAACGGTGACACGTGCACCGGGGTGTGACGCACGCACCTGGGAGATGGAGCGATGAAATCAATGAACGTGCGGGGGAGGGGGGGGTGCGTTGCCGTGGGTTGCGCAGAAAGGTGGCGACCGTGATGGTGGCTTGTGGAGAGGGGGCGTGGGCAGGTGGAGGCCTTCATCCAACAGTGGATTGATCATGGCTGTTGTTGATGATGATATGGTATTATTCAATGGGACCCAACCTGGTGGAGTAAAAGACGTGCATGTTCGTCGTGACACGAGGGAAGGTCCAAGTTGATTTTGTGTAGCCAGGCGAGAGCTCAATTGACCATGGTAGAGGTCTCAATTGCAAGGGTGACCTGGGCGGGCGAGTGAGTGAGTGAGTGAATGAGTGGGGTGAGCGATATGGTTGAGTGAGTCGGTAAACGAGCGGGTGAGCCGATGAGCGAGGCGAGTTCGAGTTGATTTTTGCCTGACCAGGTGAGAGCAAGTGACCATGGTAGGGGTCTCATTTGCAAGAGTGACGTGGGCGAGTTGAGGCGAGATGGTGAGCGAGATGGTGAGCGAGATGGTGAGCGAGATGGTAATTAGCGAGGGAGTGAGAACCTCTGCAACGAGCGGCGAACGCACCACGGCACGCTGGCCGGCCCCGCGCCCCTCAACGGCAAAGTCCGGTGAGATTTTGATCTTGGTTGCGGGGGCTGCGGGGGGCTCCCCGGGGGAGGTGAGCGGGAGGGAGTGCTAATCGGATGTTGTAATTTGCAGGGCGACGGAGCAAAACCGAGGGAGCCCAAGGACCCGGGGTCCTATCGTGCGGGCGTCCAGCCACTCCAGGTAGGGTGCCCCGCGCACAACGGAACGGAACGGACGTTCCCTGACCGCGAAACGGGGGGGGGGGGGGGTGGGGGGGGGGGGCTTGAGCTGCTGAACGGATTCTTCATCTCCTGACGGTGATCGGCGGTGTGACATTTTTTGCGAAAGGTGACAATGTTATCGTTAATAGTTAAAACATTATTTTATAGGAGGGTTTAGCCAATTTTTTGCTGCAGTGGGCGGTGATGCTGCTACTGCTGCTGTTGCGTATGATCCCAATTGCGGAGCGGAGTTGCAGCGGTCAGCGCGCTGCGCTACGAACCCGGCGACCCGGGTTCAATTCTGGCTCAGACACCAGCACCAGTGACGATATTTTGAACCGGTCCTGCGCCTCCCCTAGGTCGACTCAGCCGCAAATGAGTACCTAGCACGGTGTGTAAACATCACCACCAGAGAGACAAAGGCGGCTGTGCGTAGTGCCGGCCACCGACCTCCTCTTGTGCCGTGCCGGCCTTCGTAGGTGCTCGCTTGCAGCGCTTGCCCCAACAGTCTGTTGAGGCTATACGGGGGATCTTTGTTCTTTAATCCCAATTGAGTACCGGTGGTCCGGTACTCAATTCCTGGAAACCCCGTCGTTGTATATCGGGGGGGGGGGGGGGGCCCTCTTTGGCAGTCGAGACATCACTTGCCGATGTTTTTTTTTTTCCGTTTATCGGCCATATTTATGTTCAAACACCAAATCGACACCAATTATCGCAAGGCCATCGCACGTCTGCGTAAATCACGCATCACGCTTTTGGTGAAACATGCGAACAAACGTGCTTTGGTCATAATGTACGCGTTGTACTCGTAACTGATTGGCCTACACCAGAGACAGCCTCCTTTATGGCCTTGCCTCACCGGTGTTAGACCAGAGAAACAATGCCAAAAGGCGAAACAGTTCAAGGACAATGCAAACAAACACGCTTTGACAATTGTCATGTACGCATTGTACTTGGAACTGATTGGTCTACTACACCGGAAGCCGCCTCCTTTATGGGCCTCGCCTCGTCCGCATTATCGCCGGAAAGGATTAAGCCTATTCTTAGCTATTTCGGTAAAGTCACGTTGAAGGGAAACAATAAAATAATAATATAAATATAAAACAATAAAAATTCTCACGACGTTTCGGGCGACCGTTTGTGTTATGGTCGAAACGTCGAGAGAATTTTTATTGTTTTATATATATTTTATTATTTTATTGTTTCCCTTCAACGTGACTTTTCCGAAAGAGCTTAGAATATGAATCACTGCAGTCATGAAAGCTTTAAATCTAAATTTAGGATAAAGCCTATTTCAGTAAATCCTTGTGGATTGCGAGTGACTTGGTCTGCGAGTGTTTTGCAAGACGAGCAAACATTTTAAGTGAATATTAATTTGATAAACGAGCGAGGGTCCTGCAATACGAGCAGTGTACGTGTATACGCTTTGTACTGCCGAGCGTCACGTGATCACAACTGATTAACGAGTGCTTTGGATTACAAACACGTTTCCGGAACGAATTATGCTCCTCGCAATCCAAGGTTTTAACTGTCTTATTTTTTGTTCCACCGGTTACATTGCATGGGATTTAGCTGTGGGAGGAATCCAGAAAACACGGAGAGGAATATAACCCATGCAGAGCAGGGCAGGGCAGGGAGACAGCTTACAAACTCCATGCTATATCCCGGAGCAGAGGATTAGCGCTGGTTACAACCACATTTTGCAAATGTGATTCGTAACTTTTGAGATGTTTAATGTGCCATTAAATTGAGGGGCTGCTGTGCGTTGTTACCTTGATGTGGCCTGGGACTGTTGTTGTTTTTTGCCGCCTGGAAAAACCGGCAGCATTTTATGCACCCACGCAGCGAGTACTCTATGTACTCTGTTTATCCAGGGTGCTTCAAGGAAATAGTTAACACTCCTGGGAATTTTAAACAACAACACAAGAAATGTGCTGCTGCCTCCGGGCTCTGGAGACCACCTGGAGACGATTCCAGGCACGCGTTGACAACGATGACGAACGAGTGGATATTCTTTGACTTTTTGAAGCTATTAACGTACATTTGTTATCATGTTACAGTGTTGTTATCCGTTCTTTTTTCCATTAAACACTATAGTCCCATGTAAGCGTTAACATGTTTTGAAGCACTCTGTATTTATGAATTAATTTTTTAACAGTGACTTGACTATCTTTTCTCTACTTCGCTGACCCCCGCGCGCCCCTCCTGGGCATCGGTGAAAGAGAAGCGTCAGAGCCGGATTCCTCCTCCAGTCTCAATGAAGATTCCGACTCTGACAAACTCCCGAGGTCGGGAGTCGAACCCAAGTCCCCCCTGCTTACCATACCGGTCGCCAACCCCTTATCAGTGCCTACATTGTTACAGACAAATTCTGACCTTATTGGTCACCCCGTGCCCCTTTTCAATCTCAAAGTTCATCCTACCAAAGTCCCATCACAAGGGAGAAACAATAACAAATAGACACAAAAACATTGCCTCTATTGAAACGGCTGTACGCTGTGTACAAACATACTGAGTAAACCGTATGGGTTGACGGGTATGGACTAACTGGTAACCACTGCGCTGCCATCACCCAAATGTAAACTCGATGCCATTCTTCTTACCCGACTCCTTTCTGATCACGCAGGGTGTTTCGGCCTAACCAGAGCATCAACACGTTACCTCCTGCTGCCATGGCCACTGGGAGCCTGTACAGGTGAGCGGCCCGCACTCCTATGCCCATGTTCGCACCGCCACCGTTGTTACAACTCGACCCTCACGTCAAGTGACACACGGTGGAGTTGTGTAGCCTCTAACTGCGACCCGAACCCTACCCATAAGAACGATGACTCTACCACTAAAGCCTACCCTTCACAATACCCTACCCATAACAATGACTATTATCACTAACCCTACCCCTAAACAAACCTCTAACCCTACCTCTACCCCTAACTCTAACCCTACATTTACCCTTAACCATTCCTCAAACCATACCCCTAAAACTACCCATATCAATAACTATTATTACTAACCCTAGCTTCTAACCGTACCTCTAACCCTGCCTCTAACGCTACCTGCACCGCCTACCCTACCCCCAATAATAACCTTGCCACGAACCCTACGTTCACCACTAACCCTACCGTTACCACAACAATAACCCAACCCCCTAACTCTTAACCCTACCCGGACCCCCGAACCCTCCTTAAACTAAAGCTATGTTGCACCCACCTCTACCACCACTGCCTTGACATATAACACCTCAAACCTGTCTCTTCCCCTACCTCTGCCCGCACCTCTAATCCTAGCCACCAACACTCGCACAACCCCGGCACCCTTTTCTCTCCGCCATAACCCTAGCTCAGGGGTCGGGGCAGCCAGCGGCTGTGGATCCTGCGCGTGGCCCTGTAAGGACCGCCGTTTCGCGACGTTGTTTGTCAAGGACCGCCGTCTCGTATTTCGCCGCGTGCTCTTGAATGTGTCGAGGGTTTTCGTTTTTGAACCCCCTCCTAGACCATTCCCCTAGCCCCCAGCCGTATCTGCGTGCGGCTAGAGTCTGTCTGGTTGCTCTCCCCGCTTTAGGTCGGCGATTGCGAAGGGCAAGGAAACGGCCGTCCCTGCCCCCGCCGCTTCTCCCACTGCCTCCTGCTGCACTGGCGCTCGCGTGAGGAAGATCGGTGCGTGCTTGGTGCGCGCCCTGCGGGCAAAATGACCCAGGGTCGAGGGCCGCTATGAACCCTCTGACGGAGACCCAGACCCAGGGCTTGAACCCAGGATCTCATTGTTTCCGACACAGCCACGATGAACCCACGAAGAGAGAGACACCCCAGACCCAGGGCTTGAAAAATCTCACGAATTGGCCGTGTCGGGTGGTGGCGGGTTTAAACGACATTCATATTTACGCGATCTAACCCAAAAAAAAAAACCTCTTATGGATAATATTGGTCGCGAAAGCCCAACGTGTTAAACCGGTTAATACCGCGCGTTTGTATTAACCGTCAGGCACTGCCTCAGAGTGGACGTCAAAGGAACCCCGGGGCGTTTATATTATTACTTTACCTATCCGGCTTCGCCCGAGACTTGGATTCTTGTCTTGGATTAATACACGGCCTACGCGGGTTGGGGTGGGGGGGGGGGATGTGTGACGTCAGCAGGCACACTGCGTGACGCTGCCGCATGCGGGTGACATCACAGATATGACGTCACCGCTCATTATTGCGCCTCGCCCCCTAAAATACAAAAGTCAACTCTTTTTGCATTGTGTACAGTCTGGAAGCTGCTACCCACGTGCCATTTTTCAAGTTTGTTGCATGTTGGGAACTATGCTAAACACTTCGAACAGACACACATTCACAAATTTCCCTTTTTTTATATATATATAGATGAAGAGCAGGCCGTTGTGTGTCGGTGTCACGGCTCAAATGTGACTGAATACGAGTCGCCAAACGCTCTTGAGCGTTTGCCGTTGATTCTAAACTTGGAGGGAAGAGCCGGAGGACCCGGAGAGAAATCCACGCGACCGCGGGGAGCGAGAGAGCGAGAGAGAGAGAGGTGCATGCAAAATTGCAAATATGCAACGGGCATCGTCAGGGTCGGAATGGAATCTACGACCTCCTGCACGCCAGGCGAGGCAGTTAACATCTCCTAGCCACCGCGGCGCCCTACATACTTGGTTGGTCCTTTCAGGGCCACAGAGTTGTACGGAGACGAATGTGTTCAAAACAATATTTATTATCGACCTGTCTTAGCTTTTGATAATTGGTTTTATTACCCTTTTATCCGGCAACACAACTCAAAAAAGGCGTCAGTTTTGTTGCCGGATAAAAGGGCAAAAAAAACCAATTATCATATTTTGTTACCGGCAAAACGAGGGTTCCAATGGTCTGTTTTAGTTTTGTTCCGTGCCGTTTCGTCATTTGCCGGGGCGTGCAGGAGGCAGCGGAGGCGGCGGCGGCGGCGCAAGGAAAGTTGGGAGCGTCGCCATCAAGAAGCGTCCGTCGCTGGCCATGTGAGATGCGCCGGGGGGGGGGGGGGGGGGGGGGGGGGGGGGGGGGGGGGGGGCCCTCTTGCTCGGAACCTCACCCCGGCCATCACGCTGCGTCGTGTGAAGACGCGCGCAGAGAGAAAGAGGTCAACCGACCTGGGTAACCAACGAAATTAAGACGTTTTTATTTTACCAGCGAAGGCCCCGCTGAGCTGTTGTAGCTCTTTTTTTTTCAGAAGCCACCCCGGCTATGGCAAATGATAGGTCAAGGAAGTGGTTTATCATCATCATCTTCATCGTGTGGACATTTATGGCGGCCAAATACTCGTTGAGTCTTCAGTGTGGAGGGAAAAACAGGAGTGCCCGGAGGAAAGATCCACGTGACCACGGGGAGAGAGACACTCAAACTCCAAATATACAGCAGGCGTCAGGGTCAGGATTGAACCCACGACTTCCTGCGTACCAGGCGAGGGAGTTAACATCTAGCCACAGTGGTGCCCAAATTGTGCTTGTATGCCAACGCAGCAGCAGCAGCAGCAGCATCATCGCCAATTCACCGTAATCGTCGTTTCGCAGCGCCACTGCCATGTTCAGTCTTCCGTCTCGTCGAAGCCAAAGGTTCCAGTGTTGCGAGGGGTCAGCTACGCGGATAGCTCCTCTCCCATGCGCTTCTGTTGTGTGCCTCTTCTCTACTGCACCCAAGGTGCGTAGGGCGGGTGGGGGGGGTAGGGGCGCTGTACGTGAGACGTTAAGAATGGGAAAATCATCTCGGATTTAAGCACCTTCCTGCGTGGAGTTTTGTATGGCGTCCACCTGTCCTGCAGAGTGAGTGAGTGGAGTTTGTATCTTCTCCCCCTCCTCTGCAGAGTGTGGCGAGTGTTCGTGAGTGTGTGACTGAGTAGACTTTGTATGGCGTCCACCTGTCCTGCAGAGTGAGTGGAGTTTGTATGATCTCCCCCTGTTCTACAGAGTGAGTGAGTGGAGTTTGTATGATCTCCCCCTGTTCTACAGAGTGGAGTTTGTATGATCTCCCCCTGTTCTACAGAGTGGAGTTTGTATGATCTCCCCCTGGTTCTCCCTCGGATGAAACCCATTAATAATCAAAATGTGCTCGTATAAATCGAGTCAGGGGTGGAGGATGGTGTTGTGGGGGAGGGATGGCGCCTCAGCGGTGTGCACACCGAACCCCGTGAACCGGAGTTGGATTCTTCGTCACGGCTAACATCGGTGGCGAGTGAAAACAACGACAGCTCTTTACATTTTAAAATATCGAATCGAGCCCAGCCGGAGCCATCGCCCTTCTCCCGACCCCCCCCCCCCCCCCGCCTCCAAACCCCCTTCCCGCGTGCCGTTCCACCAAGCTGCCCTGACCCTGACCAGCACGGTGAAGTACGGTCCCACGGTGAAGTACGGTCCCACGGTGAAGTACGGTCCCACGGTGAAGTACGTTCCCACGGTGAAGTACGGTCCCACGGTGAAGTACGGTCCCCACGGTGAAGTACGGTCCCACGGTGAAGTACGGTCCCACGGTGAAGTACGGTCCCACGGTGAAGTACGGTCCCACGGTGAAGTACGGTCCCACGGTGAAGTACGGTCCCACGGTGAAGTACGGTCCCACGGTGAAGTACGGTCCCACGGTGAAGTACGGTCCCACGGTGAAGTACGGTCCCACGGTGAAGTACGGTCCCACGGTGAAGTACGGTCCGCGCGTTCCCTCCCTCCCCGCGCACGGCCCGCCCGCCGGGTGCCGTCGCGGCCGGCGCCATTTCTCCGCCGTGCCATTTTTGACCGCGGCGAGACGTTTTGTGGCCGCGCTTGGCGCGGCCCCGACGTTGTTCGGCGCACGCCGGTGGCCGGCGTTTACAAACCCCTCCCCCCCCCCCCTCCCCTCGGGGGATTGCGTTTTTCTGCGGCCACGTTTACAAACGCGCGCCGCGTGTCTACGGCGGCGGCGGCGGGACTGTTTGGCCACGAAACGCGGGCGGTGAGGTGGGGTCTGATGATGACCCCGCCCCGCCCCGCATTCTTCTCGGTCGTGGCTCTGGCTCAAGTGAGCGCGAGGCTCAGCAAGAGAGCCGGCCGTGCGCTCAACTCGGGGGCCGGCTCTTGAGCCCGCTGCGGCTCTGGGTGCAGACCCACGAGCCCAGCCAGAGCCGAGCCACGGCCGAGTCGCTCGCTCGGGGTGGCTTTGAGAGCAGCCGAGCCAGAGCCGAGCCACGGCTGAGCCGCTCACTTTGAGAGCCGCTCACTTTGAGAGCCGCTCACTTTGAGAGCCGCTCACTTTGAGAGCATCTCAGTGGTACAAGCCCTCGATGAGCCAGAGCCGAGCCATGGCGAGGAATACAGTCCAGAGAGTTACGTCATTATTTTAATAATATAACTCTCATCATCAATCCATCACCACTAAGATTTCTAGCACTTAAATCAAAACTACTGTATCTTCGGCACTACCACTCATATTACCACCCCAATTAACTGCATCACAATCGCCGTCATCACCAATTGCGACTATCAGTCATTACAGCCACTATCGCCATTGCTATAATGACCCGCCGCTGCTACAATCATAACCACGATGTTTAGAGCCGCTATCACTACCACCACCATAATCATAACCACCATTACCACCAGCACAATAATCACTGTCATCTCCAAACAACAATACTAGCAAAGACAAAGACACCTTCATCACAATCACCACCACCAACCAACTGCCTTGACCAGACTCTCCATCACCACTCCCACAGTCATAACCACCACCATCGCAAGCACCACCATCAGCTACTACCACAGTCACTAGATGGGGCAAGTGGTGTTAGCGAGTAGAGTTTATGGAGCCCACCCAGCACGGCACACGAGGGGGTGGGTGGCCAGCACCACACCCGGCCGCATTTGTCTCCGCAGTGAAGATGTTTACTACACCGCTTCAGGTACTCGGTTGAGGCTGAGTCAACCTAGGGGAGGCCTAGGACCGGTTCAGATAATCGTCACCGGTGTTGGCCGTGAGCGGGAATCGAACTCGGGCTGCCAGTTTCGTAGCGCAGCGCGCTTGACTACTGCACCACCGCTCCTCACCGCCACGACCAACACTAGCACCACCACCGTCGCTCGACATCACACGCTTGGCACTGGAGGTGTTCATACAGCGCTACGCGATGCAAACATCCCCCCCCCCCCTCCTCCCCTCCACGCGGCATTCGCTCTCGCGCGCACGAGTGTACGTGCAAAATCCCTTCGCGCGCCAATCCGGGAGGTGTGAATTCGCTCTCGCGCGCACGAGTGTACGTGCAAAATCCCTTCGCGCGCCACACCGTGCCAACCCGGGAGGTGTGAAATCCGCGTCGTTTGCGTGACATTTTTTCCGTTGTGTTTTCTGTCGGGGGCGACGCCGCGCTCTGCGCGTTGGAATTGGCTCGCAGGCCTCGCGAGCGGCTGTTAACAGTTCCGTCCCTTCCGTTTTCGACGTCGCATCTCGTGGAAATTGTTTTTTTTTTGTTATTTACGGGTGTCTCTTCTTTATTTACGCTGGCGCATGGCGCGTTTTTATTTGTTATTTATTTATCGCGCTCTGACCGACTCGCGTGTAAGAGCGCGCGTGTCACTTTGCCGAGGTGTGGCTTGTTTTAAAACTGTTTTAAGTTATTAAAGTTGTGTTTTGCAGTGGATGAAGTGTGCGTATTTTTTTCTTTTTCTCTTTTGCAAAAGAAAAGTTCGTGTTTGGCTATTCTTAACCATGGAATGGGGAAACACGGCCTTGAGAATGATAGCCTTTAGGAGAATTGTTACCACTACTGGGACATCTATGAAACCAACTGGACATCTGTGAAAGAGCTTAATAGCTCATCGGATTCCTCAAGTATAAATATTCTGATTCTGAATAGCAATGTAAACAGACACAATACGACAGTACAAATAATGAGTGCATGTCCGCGTGTGTGAATTTTGTCCGTGTGTCACTTAATTTGCCTAAATTTCAGCTGTCAGAATAAAAAAAAGTCAGTCCGACTGTCATGCCCACGAACATCAACTCATGGGCCAGCGTGGGTGGCAAAGTGCTGCAACTTTACCGTGCGTGGATCTCGGAGGTAGCTCTGTAATAACCACTTCCACGGGACATGGAGTGGAGGAGAGAATCACTTCAATAAGGGGATCTCAGATAGCTCTGTGGTATCTACTTCCACGGGGAGTGGAGGAGAGAATCACTTGAAAAAGGGGATCTCAGATAGCTCTGTGGTATCCACTTCCACGGGGAGTGGAGGAGAGAATCACTTGAAAAAGGGGATCTCAGATAGCTCTGTGGTATCCACTTCCACGGGACGTGGAGTGGAGGAGAGAATCACTTTGAAAAGGGGATCTCAGATAGCTCTGTGGTATCTACTTCCACGGGGAGTGGAGGAGAGAATCACTTGAAAAAGGGGATCTCAGATAGCTCTGTGGTATCCACTTCCACGGGACGTGGAGTGGAGGAGAGAATCACTTGAAAAAGGGGATCTCAGATAGCTCTGTGGTATCCACTTCCACGGGACGTGGAGGAGAGAATCACTTGATGAAGGGGATCTCAGATAGCTCTGTGGTATCCACTTCCACGGGACGTTGGATGGTGACCACCGCTTGAAGGAGAAAAGGATTTCAGAGGTAGCTCTGGTGATCACCACTTCCACGGGACGTTAAGTGGAGGAGAGAGCCACTTGATGAAGGGGATCTAGGAGGTGTATCTGTGATATCCACACTTCCACGGGCTGTTCACGAACAACGCAGAGGGCTTGCACTGGGCTCCCAAGATTTCCGAAGGGAATTGTTTGGTATGTCGTGACGCCGTTAACACGACCGGGGTTGTAATGAGTTAACAAAAAATTACGGCCACATTTTTTTTTTGTGTCGAATTAAGGATGAGTGGCGGCTGCGGATTTTCCGGAAATACGGGATCTCGGCGGCTGGCGGCCGCAAATCTCGTCACAATCCCAACAGGCAATAACCCTTGGAAAGATACAAAAACCTCTTAAAACACGCACGCACGCACTCAACGCAGTGAACAAAAAAGCTGCAACGCGGCAAATTACCAAGCGTCCCAGTTTATTATTTAAACCCTCGTGAAGAAAAGGCAACGACCATAGAGATTCCAAAACTAAAATCAATCTGCTATCTATATATAAAACAACATCGATTTGTCCGTAAAACCCACGCAGTTGATTATAGACGTCCATTTATTTTTTTTAAAGTCTGCAAATGTTTAATAGATATCATTTATAATAATAAATTTTCTTTGAATTGTAAACACCGCACCGTTTCATTGAAACTAGAGAGACTGAGAGATGGCCGAGAGCCGACACCGGGGCCGTGGATTCTTCACGCCCCCGCGGGGTTCTCTGGAAGAGCGAAAGGATTTTTTTCGGATTCAAGTGCAGTTCTCACTGCTGTGTTTTCTGAGTCCGTGCGTGTGTGTGTGTGTCTTCGCTAACAGCACTTTCCCCAACGGTCTTAAGGCTACACGGGGGATCTTTGTCTTTTCTGGGTGCGGATTCAAGAGCAGTCCTTACTGCTGTGAGTCCGTGTGTGTGCGTGTACGTGTGTATGCGTTAAGTGTGTGTGCGTTAAGTGTGTGTGTGTATGCGTTAAGTGTGTGTGTATGCGTTAAGTGTGTACGCGTGTATGCGTTATGTGTACGCGTTAAGTGTGTGTGTACGCGTTAAGTGTGTGTGTACGCGTTAAGTGTGTGTGTGCGCGTTAAGTGTATGTGTACGCGTTAAGTGTGTGTGTACGCGTTAAGTGTGTGTACGCGTGTATGCGTTGTGTGTATGCGTTAAGTGTGTGTGTATGCGTTAAGTGTGTGTGTATGTGTAAAGTGTGTGTGTATGCGTTAAGTGTGTGTGTATGCGTTAAGTGTGTGTGTATACGTTAAATGTGTGTGTGTATGCGTTAAGTGTGTGTGTATGCGTTAAGTGTGTGTGTATGCGTTAAGTGTGTGTGTGTATGCGTTAAGTGTGTACGCGTGTATGTGTTAAGTGTGTACGCGTGTATGTGTTAAGTGTGTACGCGTGTATGTGTTAAGTGTGTACGCGTGTATGCGTTAAGTGTGTGTGTGCGTTAAGTGTGTGTGTGTATGCGTTAAGTGTGTGTGTGTATGCGTTAAGTGTGTGTGTGTATGCGTTAAGTGTGTGTGTATGCGTTAAGTGTGTGTGTGTATGCGTTAAGTGTGTGTGTGTATGCGTTAAGTGTGTGTGTGTATGCGTTAAGTGTGTGTGTGCTCACGAATAGCACTTGCCCCAACAGTCTGTTAAGGCTATATGGGGGATATGTCTGTGTATGTATGGGTGTGTCAAGGAGCGGTGGGATAGCGGTTAGCGCTAAGCTGCGCAACGAATCCGCCGATCCGAGTTCGATTCCCGCTCACGGCCAACATGAGCGGCGATTATCTGAACCGGTCCTGGGCCTCCCCTAGGTCGACTCGGCCTCAAATGAGTACCTGGTGTAGCGGTGTGTAAACATCGCCACTGGGGAGACAAAGGCGGCCGGGCCACCCACCCCCCTCGTGTGCCACAGCGCCGGCCTTCACAGGTGCTGCTCGCTAATGGCACTCGCCCCAACAGTCTGTTGAGGCGACACGGGGGATGTTTGTCTGCGTCTGTGACGTGCGTGCGTCTGTGACGTGAGTGCGTCTGTGACGTGTCTGCGTCTGTGACGTGCGTCTGTGACGTGCGTGCGTCTGTGACGTGAGTGCGTCTGTGACGTGCGTGCGTCTGTGACGTGCCTGCGTCTGTGACGTGAGTGCGTCTGTGACGTGCGTGCGTCTGTGACGTGAGTGCGTCTGTGACGTGAGTGCGTCTGTGACGTGCGTGCGTCTGTGACGTGGGTGCGTCTGTGACGTGAGTGCGTCTGTGACGTGAGTGCGTCTGTGACGTGCGTGCGTCTGTGACGTGAGTGCGTCTGTGACGTGAGTGCGTCTGTGACGTGCGCGCGTCTGTGACGTGAGTGCGTCTGTGACGTGCGTGCGTCTGTGACGTGGGTGCGTCTGTGACGTGAGTGCGTCTGTGACGTGAGTGCGTCTGTGACGTGAGTGCGTCTGTGACGTGAGTGCGTCTGTGACGTGCCCAAGCGTGCGTCTGTGACGTGAGTGCGTCTGTGACGTGAGTGCGTCTGTGACGTGAGTGCGTCTGTGACGTGGGTGCGTCTGTGACGTGCGTGCGTCTGTGACGTGAGTGCGTCTGTGACGTGAGTGCGTCTGTGACGTGAGTGCGTCTGTGACGTGGGTGCGTCTGTGACGTGCGTGCGTCTGTGACGTGGGTGCGTCTGTGACGTGAGTGCGTCTGTGACGTGCGCGCGTCTGTGACGTGAGTGCGTCTGTGACGTGAGTGCGTCTGTGACGTGAGTGCGTCTGTGACGTGAGTGCGTCTGTGACGTGCGCGCGTCTGTGACGTGAGTGCGTCTGTGACGTGAGTGCGTCTGTGACGTGAGTGCGTCTGTGACGTGAGTGCGTCTGTGACGTGCGCGCGTCTGTGACGTGAGTGCGTCTGTGACGTGCGTGCGTCTGTGACGTGAGTGCGTCTGTGACGTGAGTGCGTCTGTGACGTGAGCGCGTCTGTGACGTGAGCGCGTCTGTGACGTGAGCGCGTCTGTGACGTGCCTGCGTCTGTGACGTGCCTGCGTCTGTGACGTGCGTGCGTCTGTGACGTGCGTGCGTCTGTGACGTGCGTGCGTCTGTGACGTGCCCAAGTGTGCATCTGTGACGTGCGTGCGTCTGTGACGTGCGTGCGTCTGTGACGTGCGTGCGTCTGTGACGTGAGTGCGTCTGTGACGTGAGTGTGTTTGTGACGTGCCTGCGTCTGTGACGTGCCCAAGTGTGTGTTTGTCTCCGGCGTGCTGTGATGCGGTGGGGCGTCACGCTGCGACGCACGGTATAGCCCTGCGGTGTGTCTTGTTGTCGTGTGCCGTGGTACATCAGTCGACTGCGGTGTGTTGCGGTCTCCCGTGGCGTAGGGTGTATCACGGTGTGGCGCGTATCGTGGTGTGTCGTGCATTGTGGTGTGTAACGTGGTGTGGTGTGTATTGTGGTGTGGTGTGGTGTGTAACGTGGTGTGGTGTGTAACGTGGTGTGTTGTGGTGTGTAACGTGATGTGTCGTGTATTGTGGTGTGTTGTGGTGTGTAACGTGGTGTGTAACGTGGTGTGTAACGTGGTGTGATGTGTAACGTGGTGTGTCGTGTATTGTGGTGTGGCGCGCAGCGTGGTGTGTTGTGAATCGTGGTGTGGTGTGTACCGTGATGTGATGTGAAACGTCGTGTGTATCGTGGTGCGGTGTGTAACGTGGTGTGGTGTGTATCGTGGTGTGGTGTGTATTGTGTTGTGTAACGTGGTGCGGTGTGTAACGTGGTGTGGTGTGTAACGTGGTGAGTAACGTGGTGTGGCGTGTAACGTGGTGTGTTGTGTAACGTGGTGTGGTGTGTAACGTGGTGTGGTGTGTAACGTGGTGTGGTGAGTAACGTGGTGTGGTGAGTAACGTGGTGTGTGTAACGTGGTGTGTTGTGTAACGTGGTGTGTGTAACATGGTGTGTTGTGTAACGTGGTTCGTTGTGTAACGTGGTGTGTAACGTGGTGTGTAACATGGTGTGTTGTGTAACGTGGTGAGTAACGTGGTGTGGTGAGTAACGTGGTGTGGTGTGTAACGTGGTGTGTAACGTGGTGTGTAACGTGGTGTGTAACGTGGTGAGTAACGTGGTGTGGCGCGTAGCGTGGTGCACCGTGGTATCACGGTCCGGCACCTCAACCCAGCCCAACGTCCAGACACATCATCACCACGAAGCCCACGACTGCTGACCACGATGCCAGCTTGCCGTTGCCACTGCAGTCCAAACGACAGAGGCGGGTGGGTGACAACGGAGTGACTTACGACAGCAAAGCCGCGGCAAACAAAGACAAAGTACCCCCGTGTAGCCTGCAAGGGCTGTCGGAGAAAGTGCCGCTAGCGGACGGCGGCAGCACCTGCCAAGGCCCGCTGGCACGCGACGGGGGGGCGGGTGGCCAACACCGCCCCCGGCCGCCTTTGCCTTCCCAGCGTCGATGTTTTGCACGCGTGGCACCAAGGTACTAGTTCGAGGCTGAGTCGACCTAGGGGAGGCGCGGGGATCGCTTTGGAAATTCGTCGTTGGCGGCCGTGAGCGGGAATCGAACTCTCCTTGCCGAAGTTCGTGGTGCAGCGCGCGCTAACCGCTGCACCACCGCTCCCCACATCCGCGTGCTCTTTACACCGAGGTCCCCCCCCCCCCCCGGAATTGCTTTCAATTGACCGTTGGGGCAAGTGTGCGGTTAGCGAGCACCTATTAAGGCTGGCACGGTACACGGGGGGGGTAGGTGACCAGCAACACACACACGCGCACACAGACAAGTCGGTTAACTAATTTCAGGCTGAGTTGCCCTAAGGGGAGGCCCAGGACAGGTTTGTATATTCTTCACCGATGTTGATCCGGGATGGAGCTTGCTAGTGAGTGAGCGGACGAGCGCGCGAGTAGCATGCAGGTGAGTGAGCGGGCAGGTGGGTGAGCGGGTGGGTGGGTGAGCGGGCGGGTGGGTGGGTGAGCGGGCGGGTGGGTGAGCGGGTTAGTGAGCGGGCGTGTGAATGAGCGGGCGGGTGGGTGGGTGAGCGGGTGGGTGAGCGGGCGGGTGGGTGGGTGAGCGTGTGGATGAGCGAGCGGGTGGGTGGGTGAGCGGGCGGGTGGGTGGGTGAGCGTGTGGATGAGCGGGCGGGTGGGTGGGTGAGCGGGCGGGTGGGTGGGTGAGCGGGTGGGTGAGCGGGCGTGTGGATGAGCGGGCGGGTGGGTGGGTGAGCGGGCGGGTGGGTGGATGAATGGGTGTGTGGGTGAGTAAGTGGGTGGGCGAGCAGTTGGGCGAGCGAGTGAAGGAACTAGTGAAAGCGGGTGGGGGAGTGAGCAAGTCGACGAGCGAGCTAATGGACCAGCGGGCGACTTAGTGAGCGAGTGAGCGAATGAGTGAACGAGCAAGTGGGTAGGCGGGCGGGCGGGCGGACGAGCGAGCGGGTGGGCGAGCGATTGAGCGAGCGAGTGAAAGCGTGGGCGGGTGAGCGAACGGATGGGCGGGCGGGCGGGCGAGCGAGCAGACAAGCGGGCGGGCGACTCACCCGGCGTGAGCCTCGGGGATGATGTCGTCCACCACGACGTAGACCATGGCCCCGGCGGCGAAGGCGAGCGCGAAGGGCAGCAGGGGCTCGGCCACCATCACGGCGACGGCGCCCAGCACCCCCGCCACGGGCTCCACCATCCCGCTCAGCTGCCCGTACCTGGCACACACGCGTGTGTGTGCGTGTGTGTGTGCGCGCGTGTGTGTGACTGTTATATATTTCAGTCGTGGTTTCGTGGTAATTTTTTGAAGGTGGAGGGGTTACCAGCCCCTCGCACCCGTCCAGAGCCCCCGTTTAGCCACTGTGGTGGTCACAGACGCCATGAGGGGAGGGGCCAATCGGAATTGGCCCCTTCCCCCACAGCACTGTCCACGACAGAGTTGCCCGTCCGGCACCGCGAAGAGGTAGGGGGTTGTTTTGCCGAACAACTTCGCCGGTTAGAAACATTTAGGCTAGCCTGCCTACGATCCATCCTGGGTTTAACCAGGATGGATTGTGTGAGGAGCTCACAAATCTTTCAAAGATCTGGACAAGGTCCCATCGGTGAGCTCCTCCGGCAGGCAAGGCTGCGTTGGCTGGGTCATGTAGCCCGCATGCCCAGCCACCGCATGCCGAAACAGCTTTTGTTCGGCCGGATCGAGGGGGCTAAACGGGCGCGGCACGGGCTAGAGAAGAGATGGAGTGATGTGGTACAGGAGGACGTGGAGCTGAGTGGACTTGCCGATGACTGGTACCAGTGGTGTCAAGATCGGCCTCTGTGGAGGAGGCTCGTGAAGGACGCTACTGGGCAGTTGGAGGCAGTCGCCCTCCAACAACAATGGAGGGCGGAGGAGCGAGGCTCACAACAACGAGCAGAGCGCCGGGTGGCTAAAGCACAGCAGGTTGGCACAGTAGGGGGTACAGGTGGTGCATCAGCCAGTCATCTTAGTCAACCCGTGGCACCTGGGTCTGCCCCGTGACCTCCTGTCAGCGGGCGTTCGACACTTCACGTGGCCTCAAGGTGCACATGGCCTGGCACAAGCGTCGTGGTGACGTCACCGCCACTTAGTGGCGAATGGCGGTTGTTGTTGTTGTGTGACTGTCTGTGTCTGTCCGTGTGTTTGTCTGTCTCTGCGTGTCTGTGTCTTTGTGTCTGTATGTGTGTCTGTATGTGTGTCTGTCTGTGCGTGTCTGTTTCTGTATGTGTCTGTGCGTGTGTCTGTCTGTGTGTCTGTGCGTGTCTGTATCTGTGCGTGTGTCTGTGCGTGTGTCTGTCTGTGTGTCTGTGCGTGTCTCTATCTGTGCGGGTGTCTGTACATATCTGTGCGGGTGTCTGTACATATCTGTGCATGTCTGTGCATGTCTGTGCCAGTCTGTGCGTGTCTGTGCCAGTCTGTGCGTATCTGTGCCAGTCTGTATCTGTGTGTGTCTGTGTGTGTCTGTGCGTGTCTGTATCTGTGTGTGTCTGTGTGTGTCTATGTGTGTCTGTGCGTGTCTGTACGTGCGTGTCTGTGCGTGTCCGCCCGCGCCCGTGCGCTCACCAGAACGCTTTCCACGGGCGGACGCCCGCCCCCCTCAGCGGCAGGCTGACCGCGAGGCCTTCCGGGAAGTTCTGAATGCCGATTCCGATCGCCAGATTCCTGCGAATGGCAAACACGGGGAACGGCGGCGAGCGAGCGAGTTGGACTTCAGTCAGGTGTCCTCCTCGTCGTCCTCCTCGTCGTCATCGTCATCGTCGCTGCGACATGCGTGGGTGACCTGGCACGGCGGGGCAAAAGCTCGTTCGCCGCGGAGATTCCCTGCACGAAAGCCAGCGGCCGCCCCGGTAAATACCGCGCGGCGCGTAGTAACGGCGGCGATGTCGCGGCGATGACGTCGCCTTGCTCGCTCGGAAGAATCGGAATATTTATACCGCAGGAGGATGTCCAGTCGGGGCACGCGGTCAGAACGTTACAGCGACAAACAGTTACGAAAAACCAAGTGGAGGAAAGTTGAACAAATCGCCTTTACGACAAAGATACAAATACAACTAACGCAAATGTTCATTCCTTTTACCATCTAAAGCCCGCTGAGGTGTGAGCTTCTTCTTTACGGAAAGCGACCTGGCCACAGACCATCGCTCGACAAAGTGGCGTATCGCGAACGTACACGATACGTACGTACACGATACGTACATACACGATACGTACGTACGTACATCATACGTACGTACATATTCATAATAACGGTTTTTGGGTTAGATCGCGTTTATTTATAAATGTGTCGTAACCCTCCACCACCCGACACGGCCAATCAGCAAAAAAGTGTCACGTTGACAAAAGACAAATAATTCACTACTTTAGCCCACCGGTGTGTTGAAGAGTGAATCCACATTTACAGTTTGAGTACGACGTTTCTCTGGTAAGTACTTCCAGCATCATCGGGCAATTCGCCAGAATGGTGAAGCCCTCGCTTGCTCCCGGTTTTATATAGAGCAGCAGGGTGACGTCATCACTTAACTCATATCAGGTGCAGAGATTAGAGGCGGAGGGGGGGGGGGTAATGTAATTATATAATCGATTAGTAATCAGTCATTGGTTATGATTAGTAATGAGTTGTAGATTAGTAATTCTTTAAATCAAAATGTAATGTGTATTATTTAATAATACGCTTCCAGGCCGCACTAAGCCAGTAGCTGTCAGAGCGATTAAAGTTATTCTTGTTCCTTTCAATGGATTCTCTAATTAGTCTTTGCCAGTAATAATTAGTTTTACACACCACTGCAACATTGTCAAAATCAATTGAGTGTCCTTGTTGACAAGCATGTTCTGCCACTGCCGACAGTTGTGTTTGAGATAATTTAATATTTCTCTGATGTTCTTTTAGTCTTACACTGATGTTACGTCCCGTCTGCCCAATGTAGCAGCTGCCACATGAACAATTAATCCGATATACACCTTCTGTTGATAGTTTAGGTAATGCGTCTTTAGTGCAAGATACTAGTTTTTGAATTTTGTGTACTGTACCAAATCTTACTGTAATGTTTTGCTTTTGCAAAACGCGGGCTAATTTGTCAGTTACTCCTGAGATATATGGAATTTTTATTGTTTTAACAATCTGGTCGCTTTCAGCAGTATTGCTTTGCGATCGTGATTTGGCATTCAGTGCTCTGTTAATTTGAGCATTATTTTAGCCATTCTGTCGTAGTGCTTCGTTAACATGTTTAATCTCTCTCACTAGACTCTCACCATCTGACACTGTCTTAGCCCGATGTATGAGCGTCTTGATAAGAGAGGATTTCTGAGCTGGATGATGATGTGATTCTGCATTCAGATAGGCATCAGTACGTACACACTTTGTTGAGCGTATCACACACACACGTACGTACGTACACGATACGTACGTACACGATACGTACGTACACGATACGTACGTACTTATTGCTTGCGTACACGATACGTACGTACATCATACGTACGTACATATTGCTTGCGTACACGATACGTGCGTACAAATTGCGTGCGTACACGATACGTACGTACACACTTTGTTGAGCGTATCACACACACACACGTACGTACGTACACGATACGTACGTACACGATACGTACGTACTTATTGCTTGCGTACACGATACGTACGTACACACTTTGTTGAGCGTATCACACACACACGTACGTACGTACACGATATGTACGTACACGATACGTACGTACTTATTGCTTGCGTACACGATACGTACGTACACACTTTGTTGAGCGTATCACACACACACGTACGTACGTACGTACGCGCGTTTGCCTGGAGAACCCCCTGACGGCGTTCGCAAGAGTGGGCCGATGTTGTCGTGCGCCACCCGGCGTCACGCTTCCAAACTCACCGGAAGACGACTCCCCAAACGACTGATGAAGCTGTGAAACTCCGAGAGGTGTTTTGTTATTTTAGCAGGCGTAAGGCCCACCCCCCCCTGTGCACTGAGCTGCGACCCTGGCCATCGCAAATGATGGCTCAAACCAAGTGGGCAGCTCATCATCATCGTCATCATCGTCATCATCGTCATCATCGTCGTCATCGTGATAGCAGCGGCCAAATACTCTAAAACGCGTGACGTCGATTAAAAATGTGGAGGGGGAAAACCGGAGGATCCGGAGAAAAGTCCACGTGCCCACGGGGAGAGAGACACGGAAACTCTAAATTTACAGCAGGCGTCGGGGGTCGACCCCACCACCTCCTGTATACCAGGAGAGGTAGTCAACATCTAGCCACCGTGATGATGATGATGAGAGCGAGAGAGAGACACGCAAACTCCAAATATACAGCAGCAGCAGGCATCGTCAGGTTCGAACCCACGACCTCCTGTATACCAGGCGAGGTAGTTAACATCTCCTAGCCACCATGATGATGATGAGAGAGAGAGAGACACGCAAACTCCAAATATACAGCAGCAGCAGGCGTCAGGGTCGGGATCGAACCCACGACCTCCTGCACACCAGGCGAGGTAGTCAACATCTCATAGCCACCGCCGAATCAAGATAAATTTTGTCAGCAGACTTATCATCATCATCATCACGCAAATCACGGCCTGCGGCAGAGCCTGAGCCTGATAGTGCTTCTTGGAGGTGCGGTGTGGACCGAGCAGGGGAGAGAGGCGGCATCTGGCAGAGGGAAGGAAGCGACAGCACTCACCGCGCGCTCTCAAACGTGGCCGACTTCGTCTTGCCGATGGCTCCGAACCCCACGCCAACGGCAAGGCCCTCTGCGGTGGAGACATCGTGTACAGTAAGCACGCTGAACTTCTTTCGCACCGTACGTAGCCAACCGTGCTGATCGGAGGTACGGGTGGGGGCGGGGAAGGCCCACAAAACTAAGCACAACAACAACAAGAAGCAGTTTACATTTTGATTTAAAGCTTTCGCGAATGCAGTGATTCATATTCTTAGCTCTTTCGGTAAAGTCACGTTGAAGGGAAACAATAAAATAATAAAATATATATTTTTTTATTGTTTTATATATATTTTATTATTTTGTTTCCCTTCAACGTGACTTTACCGAAAGAGCTAAGAATAAGGAGCAGTTTCATCTTCTTTGGTTCTTTCGGTAAAGTCACGTAGAATGAGAATAAAATAATACGTGACTTTACCGAAAGAGCCAAAGAAGATGAATCCTTGCAGTCACGAAAGCTTTCAATCGAAATTTAAGAAGCAGTTTTCTAAACAAATGAGTTTGTCGCTCTCGATGAGGATTTAAAATTGCATCACAACTCCCAGCGGCTTCGTACAATAACAACAACAACGACAACAAAGACAACAACGATGGGTGGCGGCGATGACGACAACGACGATGACGACGATGAGGACGAGGACGTCGGCACCTGGGATGTTGTGGATGGTGATGGCGAGGATGAGGAGGAGAATCCTCCGCCAGCTCTCGGCTCGCCGGCTCTCCGGAGCGACCGCGCCGGCGATCGCCGCGTCAGATCCACCCCCCCCCCCAGCCGCCCCCTCCTCCTCCTCCTCCTCCTCCTCCCGTTCCCATTGCGCCACCAGCGACCGGCCTCCTCCGTTGGAACACCTCTCCGTTGTCAGACCTGTCCCGCTCTGCGGGAGGCGGGAGGGCGGGGTTGGTCAATCGCGATCGGTCGGTCGGTCGGTCGGTCGATGCGGAAAATTCCTGAGCTCGCCTCATCTTGCCGGGACGTTGTACCGCAGCCGCGCTGTTGCGAGGAGCGCTTTCACACGCGGACGTAACCACGGAGCGAGTGTGGAGAGGACGCGGATGAAACAGACGAGAGAGGAGCCAAATTGGGCGGGGGGGGGATGATCTTCGGTGAGAGTGAAATTGATGGCAGTGAACGATGACGAACAGATTGATGAATGAGTTGGGGGGGAGGGGGTGGTGAATGAACGGGAATGAGTGACAGCCGTGCAATGAGAATATGAAGAAAGAAAATTAACGGTGGCACGAGGCGGAGATTAATTGGGGGGGGGGTCATGGGGTGAGCTGAGAGGTACCAAGAAGTGGGTTTTGAGTGCCGAGCGGAAACTTTAGTGAGGCTTTAGTGATACTCTAGTGCAACTTTAGTGAGACTCTAGTGCAACTTTAGTGAGACTTTAGTAAAACTTGAGTGAGACTTGTTAGACTTTAGTGAGACTTTAGTGAGACTTGTTAGACTTCAGTGAGACTTTAGTGAGACGTTAGTGAGACTTGTTAGACTTTAGTGAGACTTTAGTGAGACGTTAGTGAGACTTGTTAGACTTTAGTGAGACTTTAGTGATACTTGTTAGACTTTAGTAAAACTTTAGTGAGACTTTAGTGAGACTTGTTAGACTTTAGTGAGACTTGTTAGATTTTAGTGAGACTTTAGTGAGACTTGCTAGACTTTAGTGAGACTTTAGCGAGACGTTAGTGAGACTTTAGTGAGACTTGTTAGACTTGAGTGAGACTTTAGTGAGACGTTAGTGAGACTTGTTAGACTTTAGTGAGACTTTAGTGAGACGTTATTGAGACTTTAGTGAGACGTTAGTGAGACTTGTTAGACTTGAGTGAGACTTTAGTGAGACGTTAGTGAGACTTGTTAGACGTTATTGAGACTTTAGTGAGACGTTAGTGAGACTTGTTAGACTTGAGTGAGACTTTAGTGAGACTTTAGTGAGACGTTAGTGAGACTTGTTAGACTTTAGTGAGACGTTAGTGAGACTTGTTAGACTTTAGTGAGACTTTAGTGAGACTTTAGTGAGACGTTAGTGAGACGTTAGTGAGACTTGTTAGACTTTAGTGAGACGTTAGTGAGACTTGTTAGACTTTAGTGAGACTTTAGTGAGACGTTAGTGAGACGTTAGTGAGACTTGTTAGACTTGAGTGAGACTTTAGTGAGACGTTAGTGAGACTTGTTAGACTTGAGTGAGACTTGTTAGACTTGAGTGAGACTTGTTAGACTTGAATGAGACTGTAGTAAAACTTTAGTGAGACGTTAGTGAGACGTTAGTGAGATGTTAGTGAGACTTGTTAGACTTGAGTGAGACTTTAGTGAGACGTTAGTGAGACTTGAGTGACACTTTAGTGAGACTTTAGTGAGACGTTAGTGAGACTTGTTAGACTTTAGTGAGACTTTAGTGAGACTTTAGTGAGACTTGTTAGACTTGAGTGAGACTTGTTAGACTTGAGTGAGACTTGTTAGACTTGAATGAGACTTTAGTAAAACTTTAGTGAGACGTTAGTGAGACGTTAGTGAGATGTTAGTGAGACTTGTTAGACTTGAGTGAGACTTTAGTGAGACGTTAGTGAGACTTGAGTGACACTTTAGTGAGACTTTAGTGAGACGTTAGTGAGACTTGTTAGACATTAGTGAGACTTTAGTGAGACTTTAGTGAGACTTGTTAGACTTGAGTGAGACTTGTTAGACTTGAGTGAGACTTTAGTGAGACTTGTTAGACTTGAGTGAGACTTTAGTAAAACTTTAGTGAGACTTTAGCAAGACTTGTTAGACTTTAGTGAGACTTTAGTAAAACTTTAGTGAGACTTGTTAGACTTGAGTGAGACTTCAGTGACACTTTAGTGAGACTTTAGTAAAACTTTAGTGAGACTTGTTAGACTTGAGTGAGACTTTAGTGACACTTTAGTGAGACTTTAGTAAAACTTTAGTGAGACTTGTTAGACTTTAGTGACTTTAGTGAGACTTTAGTGAGACTTGAGTAAAACTTTAGTGAGACTTTAGTGAGACTCGTTAGACTTTAGTGAGACTTTAGCGGGACTTGTTATACTTTAGTGAGACTTTAGTAAAACTTTAGTGAGACTTAAATTTTGATTTAAAGCTTTCGTGACTGCAAGGATTCATCTTCTTTGGTTCTTTCGGTAAAGTCACGTAGAATGAGAATAAAATAACACAATAAAATTCTCACGACGTTTCGGCCACAACACAAGCGGCCTTCATCAGGTGAAGGGACGAGACTGTCTGGAGGACAGTGCTGGAGCTCCAGAACCAAAGAAGATTTAATGAGACTTGTTAGACTTGAGTGACTTTAGTGAGACTTGAGTGAGACTTGAGTGAGACTTTAGTGAGACTTGAGTGAGATTTTAGTGAGATTTGCGAGACTTGAGTGAGGCTTGAGTGAGACTTTAGTGAGACTTTAGTAAGACTTGCAAGACTTTGGCGAGACGTTAGTGAAGGCGGCTGCTTAACTTGGAGGGGAAAGTTTGTTCCAGTGAAAGGAGCAAGAAGAGAAATAGAGTTAAAGGTGGTGCTGCTAGCGCTACTGCTGCTGGTGGTGCTGCTGCTGCTACTGCTGCTGGTGGTGATGCTGCTGCTAGCGCTACTGCTGCTGGTGGTGCTGCTGCTGCTAGCGCTACTGCTGCTGGTGGTGCTGCTGCTGCTGCTGGTGCTGCTGCTAGCGCTACTGCTGCTGCTACTGCTGCTGGTGCTGCTGCTGCTGGTGGTGCTGCTGCTGGTGGTGCTGCTGCTGCTACTGCTGCTGGTGGTGCTGCTACTGCTACTGGTGTTGCTGCTCCCTACCGATGTGCACGGCCGTGAGGCTGTCGTGCAGCGTGGGGAGGTCCCCGCTGTGGAGGTCGTCGCGTTTCTTGGCGCCGTCGATCGGCACGGCCACCGCCTGGGCAGCGTCCAGAGGCTGCGCACGCACGCAGATAGACACGGAGACACGCACGTGTAGACATAGACACGAAGACACGCACATAGACACGAAGACACGCACGCAGATAGACACGGAGACACGCACGTGTAGACATAGACACGAAGACACGCACATAGACACGAAGACACGAAGACACGCACGTGTAGACGTAGACACGAAGACACGCACGTGTTGACGTAGACACGGAGACACGCACGTGTAGACATAGACACGAAGACACGCACGTGTAGACATAGACACGAAGACACGCACGTGTAGACATAGACACGAAGACACGCACGTGTAGACATAGACACGAAGACACGCACGTGTAGACATAGACACGAAGACACGCACGTGTAGACATAGACACGAAGACACGCACGTGTAGACATAGACACGAAGACACGCACGTGTAGACATAGACACGAAGACACGCACGTGTAGACATAGACACGAAGACACGCACGCAGATAGACACGAAGACACGCACGTGTAGACATAGACACGAAGACACGCACATAGACACGAAGACACGAAGACACGCACGTGTAGACATAGACACGAAGACACGCACGTGTTGACGTAGACACGGAGACACGCACGTGTAGACATAGACACGAAGACACGCACGTGTAGACATAGACACGAAGACACGCACGTGTAGACATAGACACGAAGACACGCACGTGTAGGCATAGACACGAAGACACGCACGTGTAGGCATAGACACGAAGACACGCACGTGTAGACATAGACACGAAGACACGCACGTGTAGACATAGACACGAAGACACGCACGTGTAGACATAGACACGAAGACACGCACGTGTAGACATAGACACGAAGACACGCACGCAGATAGACACGAAGACACGCACGTGTAGACATAGACACGAAGACACGCACGCAGATAGACACGGAGACACGCACGTGTAGACATAGACACGAAGACACGCACGTGTAGACGTAGACACGAAGACACGCACGCAGATAGACACGAAGACACGCACGTGTAGACATAGACACGAAGACACGCACGCAGATAGACACGGAGACACGCACGTGTAGACGTAGACACGAAGACACGCACGCAGATAGACACGGAGACACGCACGTGTAGACATAGACACGAAGACACGCACGTGTAGACGTAGACACGAAGACACGCACGCAGATAGACACGAAGACACGCACGTGTAGACATAGACACGAAGACACGCACGCAGATAGACACGAAGACACGCACGCGTTGACATAGACACGAAGACACGCACGCGTTGACATAGACACGAAGACACGCACGCAGATAGACACGAAGACACGCACGTGTAGACATAGACACGAAGACACGCACGTGTAGACATAGACACGAAGACACGCACGTGTAGACATAGACACGAAGACACGCACGTGTAGACATAGACACGAAGACACGCACGTGTTGACATAGACACGAAGACACGCACGCTTAGACATAGCCACGAAGACACGCGCGTGTAGACATAGACACGAAGACACGCACGCTTAGACATAGACACGAAGACACGCGCGTGTAGACATAGACACGAAGACACGCACGTGTAGACATAGACACGAAGACACGCACGTGTAGACATAGACACGAAGACACGCGCGTGTTGACATAGACACGAAGACACGCACGCGTTGACATAGACACGAAGACACGCACGTGTAGACATAGACACGAAGACACGCACGTAGACATAGACACGAAGACACGCACGCGTTGACATAGACACGAAGACACACACGTGTTGACATAGACACGAAGACACGCACATAGACATAGACACGAAGACACACACGTGTAGACAGACACCAAGACATGTACGTGTAGACATAGACACGAAGACACGCGCGTGTAGACATAGACACGAAGACACGCACGTAGACACGAAGACACGCACGTGTAGACATAGACACGAAGACACGCACGTGTAGACATAGACACGAAGACACGCACGTGTAGACATAGACACGAAGACACGCACGTGTAGACATAGACACGAAGACACGCACGTGTAGACATAGACACGAAGACACGCACGTGTAGACATAGACACGAAGACACGCACGTAGACACGAAGACACGCACGTGTAGACAGTCACGCGCAGACGCACACACACATGCATAGACAAAGATCCCCCGTCTAGCCTTAACAGACTGTAGGGGCAAGTGCTGTTAGCGAGCAGCACCTATGAAGGCCGTCACGGCACACACGAGGGGGTGGGTGGCCAGCACCACGCCCGACCGCCTTTGTCTCCCCCAGTGGCGATGTTTACTACACACCGCACCGGGTACTCATTTGAGGCTGAGTCGACCTAGGGGAGGCCCGGGACCGGTTCAGATAATCGTCACCGGTGTTGGCCGTGAGCGGGAATCGAACCCGGGTCGCCAGGTTCATAGCGCAGCGTAGACGCTGCTGCTTGCTTACAGCACTTGCCCAGACAGTGTGCGAAGACTACACAGGGGCCCTTTGTCTTTGTAGCGGGCCCGGGCGTGGGGGCCGGCCACCCCAACCCCTCGTGTGCCACGGTGCCGGCCTGCACACGTGCTGCTGCTGCTCGTGCTGCTCGTTAACAGCACTTGCTCCGACAGCCCGTGAAGGCTACCCCGGGTGAGGAGGGGGACCTTTGCCTGTGCCCCGGCGCGAGCGTCTCACCGCCGCCGGGAGGCACCGATCGGCGGCGTGGACGAAGGCAGCGCCGGCGAGGAAGCCGAGCGCGGCCGGGACGAAGGGGAAGGGCGCCAGCAGCCCCCCGCCCTCGGCCGCCAGCTCGATGGCGGGGGCCAGCAGAGACCAGTAGGAGGCGGCCATCATCACCTGATCCACCAACCCCACGCGCGCAACGCGCGCACGCACACACACACGGAGGCCTCCATCATCACCTGATCGACTTCAATCTCTCAGTAGCAACCTCCACTCACTCTGTAGAACAGGGGGAGATCACACAAACTCCACTCTCTCACTCTGTAGAACAGGGGGAGATCATACAAACTCCACTCTGTAGAACAGGGGGAGATCACACAAACTCCACTCTCTCACTCTGTAGAACAGGGGGAGATCATACAAACTCCACTCACTCACTCTGTAGAACAGGGGGAGATCATACAAACTCCACTCACTCACTCTCTAGAACAGGGGAAGATCATACAAACTCCACTCACTCACTCTGCAGAACAGGGGGAGATCACACAAACTCCACTCACTCACTCTGTAGAACAGGGGGAGATCACACAAACTCCACTCACTCACTCTGTAAAACAGGAGGAGATCATACAATCTCCACTCACTCTCACTCTGTAGAACAGGGGGAGATCATACAAACTCCACTCACTCACTCTGTAGAACAGGGGGAGATCACAAACTCCACTCACTCTATAGAACAGGGGGAGATCATACAAACTCCACTCTCTCACTCTGTAGAACAGGGGGAGATCATACAAACTCCACTCTGTAGAACAGGGGGAGATCACACAAACTCCACTCTCTCACTCTGTAGAACAGGGGGAGATCATACAAACTCCACTCTGTAGAACAGGGGGAGATCACACAAACTCCACTCACTCCCTCTGTAGAACAGGGGGAGATCATACAAACTCCACTCACTCACTCTGTAGAACATGGGGAGATCACACAAACTCCACTCACTCACTCTGTAGAACAGGGGGAGATCATACAAACTCCACTCACTCACTCTCTAGAACAGGGGAAGATCATACAAACTCCACTCACTCACTCTGCAGAACAGGGGGAGATCACACAAACTCCACTCACTCACTCTGTAGAACAGGGGGAGATCACACAAACTCCACTCACTCACTCTGTAAAACAGGAGGAGATCATACAATCTCCACTCACTCTCACTCTGTAGAACAGGGGGAGATCATACAAACTCCACTCACTCACTCTGTAGAACAGGGGGAGATCACAAACTCCACTCACTCTATAGAACAGGGGGAGATCATACAAACTCCACTCACTCTGTAGAACAGGGGGAGAACATACAAACTCCACTCACTCTATAGAACAGGGGGAGATCATACAAACTCCACTCACTCCGTAGAACAGGGGGAGATGATACAAACTCCACTCACTCTGTATAACAGGGGGAGATCATACAAACTCCACTCACTCTGTATAACAGGGGGAGATCATACAAACTCCACTCACTCTCTCTGTAGAACAGGGGGAGATCATACAAACTCCACTCACTCACTCTGTAGAACAGGGGGAGATCATACAAATTCCACTCACTCTGTAGAACAGGGGGAGATCATACAAACTCCACTCACTCACTCACTCCATAGAACAGGGGGAGATCACACAAACTCCACTCACTCACTCTGCAGAACAGGGGGAGATCATACAAACTCCACGTAATCTGTAGAACAGAGGGAGATCACACACACTCCACTCACTCTGCAGAACAGGGGGAGATCATACAAACTCCACTCACTCACTCTATAAAAGGGGGAGATCATACAAACTCCACTCACTCTGCAGAACAGGGGGAGATCATACAAACTCCACTCACCCACTCTATAACAGGGGGAGATCATACAAACTCCACTCACTCTGCAGAACAGGGGGAGATCATACAAACTCCACTCACTCTATAACAGGGGGAGATCATACAAACTCCACTCACTCTGCAGAACAGGGGGAGATCATACAAACTCCACTCACTCACTCTGTAGAACAGGGGGAGATCATACAAACTCCACTCACTCTGCAGAACAGGTGGAGATCATACAAACTCCACTCACTCACTCTGTAGAACAGGGGGAGATCATACAAACTCCACTCACTCTATAGAACAGGGGGAGATCATACAAACTCCACTCACTCACTCTATAACAGGGGGAGATCATACAAACTCCACTCACTCTGTAGAACAGGGGGAGATCATACAAACTCCACTCACTCTGTAGAACAGGGGGAGATCAAACAAACTCCACTCTGTGTAGAACAGGGGGAGATCATACAAACTCAATTCACTCTATAACAGGGGGAGATCATACAAACTCCACTCACTCACTCTATAACAGGGGGAGATCATACAAACTCCACTCACTCTGCAGAACAGGGGGAGATCATACAAACTCCACTCACTCTGCAGAACAGGGGGAGATCATACAAACTCCACTCACTCTACAGAACAGGGGGAGATCATACAAACTCCACTCACTCTGTAGAAGAGGGGGAGATCATACAAACTCCACTCACTCTCCCTCTGTAGAACAGGGGGAGATCATACAAACTCCAATCACTCACTCTGTAGAACAGGGGGAGATCATACAAACTCCACTCACTCACTCTGTAGAACAGGGGGAGATCATACAAACTCCACTCACTCTGTAGAACAGGGGGAGATCATACAAACTCCACTCACTCTGTAGAACAGGGGGAGATCATACAAACTCCACTCACTCTACAGAACAGGGGGAGATCATACAAACTCCACTCACTCTACAGAACAGGGGGAGATCATACAAACTCCACTCACCCACTCTATAACAGGGGGAGATCATACAAACTCCACTCACTCACTCTGTAGAACAGGGGGAGATCATACAAACTCCACTCACTCTGTAGAACAGGGGGAGATCATACAAACTCCACTCACTCTGTAGAACAGGGGGAGATCATACAAACTCCACTCACTCTGTAGAACAGGGGGAGATCATACAAACTCCACTCACTCTGTAGAACAGGGGGAGATCATACAAACTCCACTCACTCTGTAGAACAGGGGGAGATCATACAAACTCCACTCACTCTGTAGAACAGGGGGAGATCATACAAACTCCACTCACTCTACAGAACAGGGGGAGATCATACAAACTCCACTCACTCTACAGAACAGGGGGAGATCATACAAACTCCACTCACTCTGTAGAACAGGGGGAGATCATACAAACTCCACTCACTCTGTAGAACAGGGGGAGATCATACAAACTCCACTCACTCTGTAGAACAGGGGGAGATCATACAAACTCCACTCACTCTACAGAACAGGGGGAGATCATACAAACTCCACTCACTCTACAGAACAGGGGGAGATCATACAAACTCCACTCACCCACTCTATAACAGGGGGAGATCATACAAACTGCACACACAAAGGCGTCAGGGTCGGGGAACGAACTCAGGCCTCTGCACGGCGAGGTTCGCGAGCGTCAGAACAGCACTGCGGAATCTGGCAGCAGGAAGGGGGCGAGGTGCTCACCCCGGCCGCGAAGCCTAGACTTCCATCCAGAATCTTTCCCTGAGAGGAAAAAAAAACCACCACACACAAAGACAGACAACAGATTGGTGGACAGCTAAGACAGAGGTCCCTGCCCCTGTCCCCTGGAGCCTGTAACAGACTATCGGGGCAAGTGCTGCTAGCGAGTAGCAACAATGACAAAGGTAAAGATTCCCCACGTGGCCTTTGAGGAGACTAAATTTTGATTTAAAGCTTTCGTGACTGCAGGGATTCATATTCTTGGTTCTTTCGGTAAAGTCACCACGTAGAAGGGAAACAATACAAAAATATATAAAACAATAAAATTCTCGATTTAAAGCTTTCGTGACTGCAATGATTCATCTTCTTTGGTTCTTTCGATAAAGTCACGTAGAATGAGAATAAAATAATAAAATAAAACAATGAAATTCTCACGTTTCGGCCACAACACAAGTAGCCGTTCTCAGGACAGTCCTGTTTCTTCACCTGTTTCTTCACCTGAGGATGGCTACTTGTGTTGTGGCCGAAACGTCGTGAGAATTTCATTGTTTTATATTATTCTTTTATTCTCATTCTACCGAAAGAACCAAAGAAAATAAAAGTATCTTATTATTTTATTGCTTCCCTTCTACGTGACTTTGAGGAGACTGTTGGGGCAAGTGCCAATAGCCAGTAGCGTCTATGAAGGCCGGCACAGCACGAGGAGTTGGGTGGGTGGCCAGCACCACGCCCGGCCGCCTTTGTCTCCCCAGTGGCGATGTTTACACACCGCACCAGGTACTCATTTGAGGCCAAGTCACCAATTAAGTTACGGTGAAGTCATTAAATGTGCTTGTGCCAGGCTAGGTGCATTTTTGAGGCCGTATGAAGTGCCTCAGGCTTTCTGGCAGAATGTCAAGGGACAAACCCATGAGTTATTAAGCTATGAGTTACACAAAGACAAAGATCCCCCGTATAGCCTTGAACGGACTGTTGGGGCAAGTGGTGTTTAGCGAGCATCACTTATGACGGCCGGAACACACACACATAATCCCTCCCTCTCTCACACTCTCACACTCCCCGTCTCTCTCCCTCACTGTCTCTCTCTCACTCACTGTCTCTCTCTCAGACTCCCTCTCTCTCACACTCCCTCTCACACTCTCACTCTCCCACACTCCCTTTCTCTCTCTCTCACTCCCTCTCTCTCACTCACACGCCCTCTCTCACACTCTCTCTCTCACACTCTCTCCCTCTCTCCTACACTCCTTCCCTCTCTCTCACACTCCCTCTCTCTCACACTCCCTCTCTCTCACACTCCCTCTCTCTCTCACTCACACTCCCTCTCTCTCTCACACTCTCTCATACTCCCTCTCACAATCTCTCTCTCCCACACTCCCTTTCTCTCCCTCTCTCACACTCTCTCGCACTCCCTCCCACTTCCTCTCTCTCTCACACTCCCTCTCTCTCACTCTCTCACACTCCCTCTCTCACTCACACTCCCTCTCTCTCACACTCTCTCATACTCCCTCTCACAATCTCTCTCTCCCATACTCCCTTTCTCTCCCTCTCTCACACTCTCTCACACTCCCTCTCTCTCCCACACTCTCTCTCTCCCACACTCTCACTCTCTCTCTCCCACACTCTCCCACACACTCTCACTCTTTCTCTCTCACACTCTCTCACACTCTCCCACACTCTCTCACACTCCCTCCCACTCTCTCTCTCTCCCACACTCTCTCTCCCACACTCTCACTCTCTCTCCCACACTCTCCCACACACTCTCACTCTCTCTCTCTCACACTCTCCCACACTCTCTCTCACACTCTCTCACTCTCTCTCCCACACTCTCCCACACTCTCCCACACTCTCTCTCCCACACTCTCTCTCCCACACTCTCACTCTCTCTCCCACACTCTCCCACACACTCTCACTCTCTCTCTCTCACACTCTCCCACACTCTCTCTCACACTCTCTCACTCTCTCCCACACTCTCCCACACTCTCTCTCCCACACTCTCTCTCCCACACTCTCACTCTCTCTCCCACACTCTCCCACACACTCTCACTCTCTCTCTCTCACTCTCCCACACTCTCTCTCACACTCTCTCACTCTCTCTCCCACACTCTCCCACACTCTCTCTCCCACACTCTCACTCTCTCTCCCACACTCTCCCACACTCTCCCACACTCTCTCTCTCACACTCTCCCACACTCTCTCTCTCCCACACTCTCACTCTCTCTCCCACACTCTCCCACACTCTCTCACACTCTCTCTCTCTCTCACACTCTCCCACACTCTCTCTCTCTCTCACACTCTCCCACACTCTCTCTCACACTCTCTCTCTCACCTTGCCCTTCCCCGGCAGCAGGAAGACGAGTGCGGCCCCAGCTGCCGTGAGTCCCCAGGTGAACAGAGTCCCCAGCAGACTCTGCAGCACCGGGTCTACCCCCTCAATCATCGCTCTCCTCCTCCTCCTCCTCTATTCCCTTCTACTCTCTCCTACTCTCTGCCTTATCTACCCCCCCCCCCTCTCCGACTCTCTCTTCTCTACTCTCTCTCCCAGCTCTCCCGTCACCAGCAGCAGCAGCAGCTGCTGTGGCGTTCCCAGTTCACGACACCCTTCCCCATGTCTCTCCCGACTCTCTCAGACTCTCTCCCAGAGTCTCCGAGTCTTCCCCCGGCCGCACAAGCCTCCTCTCTGTCCCGCGTCTCCCAGGGTCTCTCTCCCTCTCTCTCCGTGACCCCACGCAGCGTCTCTCTCTCCCTCTCTCCGTGACCCCACGCAGAGTCTCTCTCCCTCCCTCTCTCTCCGTGACCCCACGCAGCGTCTCTCTCTCCCTCTCTCCGTGACCCCACGCAGAGTCTCTCTCCCTCCCTCTCTCTCCGTGACCCCACGCAGAGTCTCTCTCTCCCTCTCTCCGTGACCCCACGCAGAGTCTGTCTCCCTCCCTCTCTCTCCGTGACCCCACGCAGCGTCTCTCTCTCCCTCCCTCTCTCTCCGTGACCCCACGCAGAGTCTCTCTCTCTCTCTCCCTCTCTCTCCGTGACCCCACGCAGCGTCTCTCTCTCCCTCTCTCCGTGACCCCACGCAGAGTCTCTCTCCCTCCCTCTCTCTCCGTGACCCCACGCAGAGTCTCTCTCTCTCTCTCCCTCTCTCCGTGACCCCACGCAGCGTCTCTCTCTCCCTCCCTCTCTCTCCGTGACCCCACGCAGCGTCTCTCTCTCTCTCTCCCTCTCTCTCCGTGACCCCACGCAGCGTCTCTCTCTCCCTCTCTCTCTCTCCGTGACCCCACGCAGCGTCTCTCTCTCCCTCTCTCTCTCCGCCCCGCTCGGCGTCCGCTTCGTGGGTCTCTCTCACCCACCGAGCCGGAACCGGAGACTCTGCGGGGGAAAGGACGCGGGGGAGACGGCACCGGGGGGTGAGCGGGGGGTGAGCGGGGGGGGGTGGTTTAAAGGGGGCGCGGCAGAAAAGGCGACACTGGGAGGGGGACGTGGCGGTCGGAATGTCGGGAACACGCCCAACGCGGCGTTAGGGCGTCGTTCTGAAGGCCACTGGACTTGAGTGAAACTGGACTTGAGTGACGTGAAACTGGACTTGAGAGTGACGTGAAACTGGACTTGAGAGTGACGTGAAATTGGACTTGAGAGTGACGTGAAATTGGACTTGAGAGTGACGTGAAACTGGACTTGAGAGTGACGTGAAACTGGACTTGAGAGTGACGTGAAATTGGACTTGAGAGTGACGTGAAATTGGACTTGAGAGTGACGTGAAACTGGACTTGAGAGTGACGTGAAATTGGACTTGAGAGTGACGTGAAATTGGACTTGAGAGTGGCGTGAAATTGGACTTGAGAGTGACGTGAAATTGGACTTGAGAGTGACGTGAAATTGGACTTGAGAGTGACGTGAAACTGGACTTGAGAGTGACGTGAAATTGGACTTGAGAGTGACGTGAAATTGGACTTGAGAGTGACGTGAAACTGTACTTGAGAGTGACGTGAAATTGGACTTGAGAGTGACGTGAAATTGGACTTGAGAGTGGCGTGAAATTGGACTTGAGAGTGTCGTGAAATTGGACTTGAGTGACGTGAAATTGGACTTGAGAGTGACGTGAAATTGGACTTGAGAGTGACGTGAAATTGGCCTTGAGAGTGGCGTGAAATTGGACTTGAGAGTGACGTGAAATTGGACTTGAGAGTGACGTGAAACTGGACTTGAGAGTGACGTGAAATTGGACTTGAGAGTGACGTGAAATTGGACTTGAGAGTGACGTGAAATTGGACTTGAGAGTGACGTGAAATTGGACTTGAGAGTGGCGTGAAATTGGACTTGAGAGTGGCGTGAAATTGGACTTGAGTGACATGAAATTGGACTTGAGAGTGACGTGAAATTGGACTTGATAGTGACGTGAAATTGGACTTGAGTGACGTGAAATTGGACTTGAGAGTGACGTGAAATTGAACTTGAGAGTGACGTGAAATTGGACTTGAGAGTGACGTGAAACTGGACTTGAGTGACGTGAAATTGGACTTGAGAGTGACGTGAAATTGGACTTGAGAGTGGCGTGAAATTGGACTTGAGAGTGGCGTGAAATTGGACTTGAGTGACGTGAAACTGGACTTGAGTGACGTGAAACTGGACTTGAGAGTGACGTGAAATTGGACTTGAGAGTGACGTGAAATTGGACTTGAGAGTGACGTGAAATTGGACTTGAGAGTGACGTGAAATTGGACTTGAGAGTGACGTGAAATTGGACTTGAGAGTGGCGTGAAATTGGACTTGAGAGTGACGTGAAATTGGACTTGAGAGTGGCGTGAAATTGGACTTGAGAGTGACGTGAAACTGGACTTGAGAGTGACGTGAAACTGGACTTGAGAGTGACGTGAAATTGGACTTGAGAGTGACGTGAAATTGGACTTGAGAGTGACGTGAAACTGGACTTGAGAGTGACGTGAAATTGGACTTGAGAGTGACGTGAAATTGGACTTGAGAGTGGCGTGAAATTGGACTTGAGAGTGACGTGAAATTGGACTTGAGAGTGACGTGAAATTGGACTTGAGAGTGACGTGAAACTGGACTTGAGAGTGACGTGAAATTGGACTTGAGAGTGACGTGAAATTGGACTTGAGAGTGACGTGAAACTGTACTTGAGAGTGACGTGAAATTGGACTTGAGAGTGACGTGAAATTGGACTTGAGAGTGGCGTGAAATTGGACTTGAGAGTGTCGTGAAATTGGACTTGAGTGACGTGAAATTGGACTTGAGAGTGACGTGAAATTGGACTTGAGAGTGACGTGAAATTGGCCTTGAGAGTGGCGTGAAATTGGACTTGAGAGTGACGTGAAATTGGACTTGAGAGTGACGTGAAACTGGACTTGAGAGTGACGTGAAATTGGACTTGAGAGTGACGTGAAATTGGACTTGAGAGTGTCGTGAAATTGGACTTGAGAGTGACGTGAAATTGGACTTGAGAGTGGCGTGAAATTGGACTTGAGAGTGGCGTGAAATTGGACTTGAGTGACATGAAATTGGACTTGAGAGTGACGTGAAATTGGACTTGATAGTGACGTGAAATTGGACTTGAGTGACGTGAAATTGGACTTGAGAGTGACGTGAAATTGAACTTGAGAGTGACGTGAAATTGGACTTGAGAGTGACGTGAAACTGGACTTGAGTGACGTGAAATTGGACTTGAGAGTGACGTGAAATTGGACTTGAGAGTGGCGTGAAATTGGACTTGAGAGTGGCGTGAAATTGGACTTGAGTGACGTGAAACTGGACTTGAGTGACGTGAAACTGGACTTGAGAGTGACGTGAAATTGGACTTGAGAGTGACGTGAAATTGGACTTGAGAGTGACGTGAAATTGGACTTGAGAGTGACGTGAAATTGGACTTGAGAGTGACGTGAAATTGGACTTGAGAGTGGCGTGAAATTGGACTTGAGAGTGACGTGAAATTGGACTTGAGAGTGGCGTGAAATTGGACTTGAGAGTGACGTGAAACTGGACTTGAGAGTGACGTGAAACTGGACTTGAGAGTGACGTGAAACTGGACTTGAGAGTGACGTGAAACTGGACTTGAGAGTGACGTGAAATTGGACTTGAGAGTGACGTGAAATTGGACTTGAGAGTGACGTGAAATTGGACTTGAGAGTGGCGTGAAATTGGACTTGAGAGTGACGTGAAACTGGACTTGAGAGTGACGTGAAACTGGACTTGAGAGTGACGTGAAACTGGACTTGAGAGTGACGTGAAACTGGACTTGAGAGTGACGTGAAATTGGACTTGAGAGTGACGTGAAATTGGACTTGAGAGTGGCGTGAAATTGGACTTGAGAGTGGCGTGAAATTGGACTTGAGTGACGTGAAACTGGACTTGAGTGACGTGAAACTGGACTTGAGAGTGACGTGAAATTGGACTTGAGAGTGGCGTGAAATTGGACTTGAGAGTGGCGTGAAATTGGACTTGAGAGTGACGTGAAATTGGACTTGAGAGTGACGTGAAATTGGACTTGAGAGTGGCGTGAAACTGGACTTGAGAGTGACGTGAAATTGGACTATAGAGTGGCGTGAAATTGGACTTGAGAGTGGCGTGAAACTGGACTTGAGAGTGGCGTGAAATTGGACTTGAGAGTGGCGTGAAATTGGACTTGAGAGTGACGTGAAACTGGACTTGAGAATGACGTGAAATTGGACTTGAGAGTGACGTGAAATTGGACTTGAGAGTGGCGTGAAATTGGACTTGAGAGTGACGTGAAATTGGACTTGAGAGTGACGTGAAATTGGACTTGAGAGTGACGTGAAATTGGACTTGAGAGTGACGTGAAATTGGCCTTCAGGCCAACTCTCTCAGAGTGACGTGAAATTGGCCTTCACGCCAACTCTATGGGCATCTGTGTAACTCGATGGGTCTCTGTGTAACTCTATGGATCTCTGTGTAACTCTATGGGTCTCTGTGTAACTCTATGGATCTCTATGTAACTCTATGAGTCTCTATGCAACTCTATGGATCTCTATGTAACTCTATGGGTCTCTGTGTAACTCTATGGGTCTCTGTGTAACTCTGGGTCTCTGTGTAACTATGGGTCTCTGTGTAACTCTATGGGTCTCTATGCAACTCTATGAGTCTCTATATAACTCTATGGGTTTCTGTGTAACTCTATGGAGCTCTGTGTAACTCTATGGATCTCTGTGTAACTCTATGAGTCTCTATTTAACTCTATGGGTCTCTGTGTAACTCGATGGGTCTCTGTGTAACACTATGAGTATCTATGCAACTCTATGGATCTCTATGTAACTCGATGGGTCTCTGTGTAACTCTACGGATCTCTATGTAACTCTATGGGTCTCTATGTAACTATATGGGTCTCTATGTAACTCTATGGGTCTCTGTGTAACTCTATGGGTCTCTGTGTAACTCTATGGGTCTCTGTGTAATTATATGAGTCTCTATGTAACTCTATGAGTCTCTATGCAACTCTATGGATCTCTATGTAACTCTATGGGTCTCTGTGTAACTCTATGGGTCTCTGTGTAACTCTGGGTCTCTGTGTAACTATGGGTCTCTGTGTAACTCTATGGGTCTCTATGCAACTCTATGAGTCTCTATATAACTCTATGGGTTTCTGTGTAACTCTATGGAGCTCTGTGTAACTCTATGGATCTCTGTGTAACTCTATGAGTCTCTATTTAACTCTATGGGTCTCTGTGTAACTCGATGGGTCTCTGTGTAACACTATGAGTATCTATGCAACTCTATGGATCTCTATGTAACTCGATGGGTCTCTGTGTAACTCTACGGATCTCTATGTAACTCTATGGGTCTCTATGTAACTATATGGGTCTCTATGTAACTCTATGGGTCTCTGTGTAACTCTATGGGTCTCTGTGTAACTCTATGGGTCTCTGTGTAATTCTATGAGTCTCTATGTAACTCTATGAGTCTCTGTGTAATTCTATGAGTCTCTATGTAACTCTATGGGTCTCTATGTAACTCTACGAGTCTCTATTTCACTCTATGGGTCTCTGTGTAACTCGATGGGTCTCTGTGTAACTCTATGAGTCTCTGTGTAACTCTTGAGTCTCTATGCAACTCTATGGATCTCTAGGTAACTCGATGGGTCTCTGTGTAACTCTATGGGTTTCTGTGTAACTCTATGGATCTCTATGTAACTCTATGGGTCTCTATGTAACTCTACGGGTCTCTATGTAACTCTATGAGTCTCTGTGTAACTCTATGGGTCTCTATGTAACTATATAGGTCTCTATGTAACTCGATGGGTCTCTATGTAACTCTATGGATCTCTATGTAACTCTATGGGTCTCTGTGTAACTCTATGGGTCTCTGTGTAACTCTATGAGTCTCTATGCAACTCTATGGATCTGTGTAATTCTATGCATCTCTATGTAACTCTATGGGTCTCTATGTAATTCTACGAGTCTCTATTTCACTCTATGGGTCTCTGTCTAACTCGATGGGTCTCTATGTAACTCTATGAGTCTCTGTGTAACTCTATGAGTCTCTATGCAACTCTATGGATCTCTAGGTAACTCGCTGGGTCTCTGTGTAACTCTATGGGTTTCTGTGTAACTCTATGGATCTCTATGTAACTCTATGGGTCTCTGTGTAACTCTATGGGTCTCTATGTAACTCGATGGGTCTCTATGTAACTCTATGAGTCTCTGTGTAACTCTATGAGTCTCTATGCAACTCTATGGATCTCTAGGTAACTCGATGGATCTCTGTGTAACTCTATGGCTTTCTGTGTAACTCTATGGATCTCTATGTAACTCTATGGATCTCTGTGTAACTCTATGGGTCTCTGTGTAACTCTATGAGTCTCTATGTAACTCTATGGGTCTCTGTGTAATACTGAGTCTCTATGTAACTCTATGGATCTCTATGTAACTCTACGGGTCTCTATGTAACTCTATGGGTCTCTGTGTAACTCTATGGATCTCTGTGTAACTCTATGAGTCTCTATGTAACTCTATGAGTCTCTATGTAACTCTATGGGTCTCTGTGTAACTCTATGAGTCTCTATGTAATTCTATGGGTCTCTATGTAACTCTATGGGTCTCTATGTAACTCTATGGGCCTCCGTGTAACAGAGCGGCCCGTCTCAATGGCACTTGACCACCACCCTAGCTGAGTCTTTAAACATCACGAAACGTACGGACGACACTTGGGAGCATTACCCAGGCAGCGTCTCTCTCTTTCTCAGAGTGTTCATCATGGCCATTCACGTCAAGAGTGAGCAATTAATTGGGATAATCCTGGCTCTGACGTGCCCATCATGAACCCTTCGAGGGACGTGGCCACGATAGAAGCCGACACAGTAAATTAATCACGGGGTGGTTTATGTATAACTTCCTTACATCATCCCCATGCATCTTGGCACGGCAAATTGTGAACCTGAGCTGGTTGTACCGTGCTACAAACGCGGCAAGATATATGACATTTGCCATTCAACTTTTCGTCGGAAACGCCCATTCAGAATCTGTCGTGGCCATTGTGAAAACCGACGGTTGTTATGAATGGACACGGCCACTGTGAACACCACAGACACGGCCACTGTGAACCACAGTGACACGGCCACTGTGAACCACAGTGACACGGCCACTGTGAACCACAGTGACACGGCCACTGTGAACCACAGTGACACGGCCACTGTGAACACCTCTGACACGGCCAATGTGAACACCACAGACACGGCCACTGTGAACCAGTCACACGGCCAATGTGAACAAAACAGACACGGCCAATGTGAACACCAGTGACACGGCCACTGTGAACCAGTGACACGGCCAATGTGAACACCACCGACACGGCCAATGTGAACACCACAGACACCGCCACTGTGAACAACACAGACACGGCCACTGTGAACACCAGTGACACGGCCACTGTGAACAACACAGACACGACCAATGTGAACACCTCTGACACGGCCACTGTGAACCAGTGACACGGCCAATGTGAACACCACAGACACGGCCACTGTGAACACCTCTGACACGGCCACTGTGAACAACACAGACACGACCAATGTGAACACCTCTGACACGGCCACTGTGAACCAGTGACACGGCCAATGTGAACCACAGTGACACGGCCACTGTGAACAACACAGACACGACCAATGTGAACACCTCTGACACGGCCACTGTGAACCAGTGACACGGCCATTGTGAACCACAGTGACACGGCCACTGTGAACAACACAGACACGACCAATGTGAACACCACCGACACGGCCACTGTGGACCAGTGACACGGCCACTGTGAACCACAGTGACATGACCAATGTGAACACCTCTGACACGGCCACTGTGAACACCACAGACACGGCCACTGTGAACACCACAGACACGGCCACTGTGAACCAGTGACACGGCCAATGTGAACACCACAGACACGGCCACTGTGAACCAGTGACACGGCCATTGTGAACACAACTGACACGGCCAATGTGAACACAACTGACACGGCCAATGTGAACAACACCGACACGGCCACTGTGAACCACAGTGACACGACCAATGTGAACACCTCTGACACGGCCACTGTGAACCAGTGACACGGACAATGTGAACACCACAGACACGGCCACTGGTTACCAGTGACACGGCCATTGTGAACCACAGTGACACGACCAATGTGAACACCACAGACACGGCCATTGTGAACAACACCGACACGGCCACTGTGAACCACAGTGACACGACCAATGTGAACATCACTGACACGGCCACTGTGAACCACTGACACGGCCACTGTGAACCAGTGACACGGCCAATGTGAACACCACAGACACGGCCACTGTGAACACCACAGACACGGCCACTGTGAACCAGTGACACGGCCATTGTGAACAACACCGACACGGCCACTGTGAACACAACTGACACGGCCATTGTGAACAACACCGACACGGCCAATGTGAACACCACAGACACGGCCACTGTGAACCACAGTGACACGACCAATGTGAACACCTCTGACACGGCCACTGTGAACACCACAGACACGGCCACTGTGAACACCACCGACACGGCCATTGTGAACAACACCGACACGGCCACTGTGAACACAACTGACACGGCCACTGTGAACACCACAGACACGGCCACTGTGAACACCACCGACACGGCCACTGTGAACACCACAGACACGGCCATTGTGAACCAGTGACACGGCCACTGTGAACCACAGTGACACGACCAATGTGAACACCTCTGACACGGCCACTGTGAACACCACAGACACGGCCACTGTGAACACCACAGTGACACGACCAATGTGAACACCACAGACACGGCCACTGTGAACACCACAGACACGGCCACTGTGAACACCACAGACACGGCCACTGTGAACACCACAGACACGGCCAATGTAAACCCACCTCAACGTGGATGCTGACTGGCGGCTTCTCACCGCTATTAGAATCCCCACCGCGGATGCGCGGCGCCTCATCCGGGTTGGTGACGTCACTCGGCGCGGACAGCCAATGAGGGGGCCGCGGGGGCAACGCCGGCGCTTAAGCGGACTAAGAAATTCTAACCGGCCGTGACGTCGACCTGCTCCGGGCGCTTTGATTGACAGCCGTCCGGGCGGAAACACCCGCGGAACCAATTCGTCTCGGCGTCAATTGAATCCGGAACCAAATCTTCAGCGGCGGTTATATTGAAGGTGAAATGGCAACGCGTAAGCTCTCGCAGGGTGCTTTGGTCTATCCACTGGTGGATGAACAGGAAGAACAACCATTGGAAAGATATTCTTAGCTCTTTCGGTAAAGTCACGTTGAAGGGAAACAATATATATTTTTTATTATTTTATTGTTTCCCTTCAACGTGACTTTACCGAAAGAGCTAAGAATATGAATTACTGCAGTGACGAAAGCTTTAAATCAAAATTCATTGGAAAGATGTCATCAACCAAGTCAAAACTTTAGCTGCCTTATAATTGTACGGCCATTTCCATTTCTGCCAGTGGGTTGTACAGTACTCGCTCTCGTGCAGTGCACCACCGATACCCCAGAACCCCCTGCAGCATAACAAAAGGCGGCTTAACTTAGCCCCTCCCCACCACGTCACTTCCTGGCTCCTCCCCCCCCCTTAACTCAGCCCTCCCCCACCCACGTCCCTTCCTGGCTCCCCCCCCTTAACTCAGCCCTCCCACCCACGTCTCTTCCTGGCTCCTCCCCCCCCCCCTTAACTCAGCCCTCCCCCACCCACGTCCCTTCCTGGCTCCTCCCCCCCCCTTAACTCAGCCCTCCCACCCACGTCTCTTCCTGGCTCCTCCCCCCCCTTAACTCAGCCCTCCCACCCACGTCTCTTCCTGGCTCCTCCCCCCCCTTAACTCAGCCCTCCCACCCACGTCTCTTCCTGGCTCCTCCCCCCCCTTAACTCAGCCCTCCCACCCACGTCTCATCCTGGCTCCTCCCCCCCCTTAACTCAGCCCTCCCCCACCCACATCCCTTCCTGGCTCCTCCCCCCCCTTAACTCAGCCCTCCCACCCACGTCTCATCCTGGCTCCTCCCCCCCCTTAACTCAGCCCTCCCCCACCCACATCCCTTCCTGGCTCCTCCCCCCCTTAACTTAGCCCTCCCACTCACGGCACTTCCTGGCTCCTCCCCCCCCCCTTAACCTGTATATAAGCTCGGGTGTCTCAGAGCTCCTCACTTGATACAGCTATTTTGCTGTGACTGTTCCACCTGAAGACGGAAGCTTGTGTTGCCTCCGAAACGTCGTGATTTAATTTAGTTGTTTTCATTCATTTTATTTTTTACCTAACGTGACTTTACCGAACAAACCAAAGAGTATGAATCCTTGCAGTCACGAAAGCTTCAAATTTTGAAGAACTAAAACCAGGCAAGGGGCCACTGAGCTACGTACCTCTTAGGGGCCGTCCATAAATGACGTCACGCGATTTTGGACGATTTTTGACCCCCCCCCCTTCGTCACACGGCGTCACAAAAAGTCAGACCCCCCCCTCAAAAATGACGTCACAAAGCTCTGCCCCCCCCCAAATAAAACATGTTTCAAATGGCTTGAAACTAGTCATTGTAGTGCGTATTTAATGTGGCGCTGCACTCTGATGTTGTAGGAGAAAACATTCAAAAGTCAATTTAATCAAGTAGAACGTGTTGTCTATATTTATTTAAAGTTGCACATTTTGATGTGACGTCACACTTCTCAAACACACCCCCCCCCTCGTCACACATCGTCACAAACGTCTGACCCCCCCCACCCCTAGGTGCGTGACGTCATTTATGGACGGCCCCTAAACGCATGATACCGATTGTGAATGTGGAAGGGGAAGCTCGGAGGACCTGGAGATAAGTCCACACGAGAGAGACACGCAGATTGTACACCAGGCGAGGTAGTCAACATCTCCTAGCCACCGTGATGATGATGATGAGAGAGAGACACGCAGACTGTACACCAGGCGAGGTAGTCAACATCTCCTAGCCACCGTGATGATGATGCTGATGAGAGAGAGACACGCAGACTGTACACCAGGCGAGGTAGTCAACATCTCCTAGCCACCGTGATGATGATGAGAGAGAGACACGCAGACTGTCCACCAGGCGAGGTAGTCAACATCTCCTAGCCACCGTGATGATGATGCTGATGAGAGAGAGACACGCAGACTGTACACCAGGCGAGGTAGTCAACATCTCCTAGCCACCGTGATGATGATGAGAGAGAGACACGCAGACTGTACACCAGGCGAGGTAGTCAACATCTCCTAGCCACCGTGATGATGAAAGAGACACACGCAGACTGTACACCTGGCGAGGTAGTTAACATCTCCTAGCCACCGTGATGATGATGAGAGAGAGACACTGCAGACTCCAAATATACAGCAGCAGGCGTCAGGATCGGGGGTCGAATCCACGATCCTCGTTGATGTAAATGAACGTGTCGCACACTCTTTAATGATTCCAACTTTAAACTTCCATTTGGCCGTGGGCCCTTGGCATTTGGGGTCTGTGCCCAGTAAGTTATGAGTCAAACAAATTACATCAAAAAGGCTAAAATGTTCGTATTCCCATTTTATTAATTGTAAAGTGAATACCCCCAATATTACACACGTGCAATCCAAAAAAAAATACAATACTGTAATGTTACGATTAAAAAATATACCCATATACATTAAAGACAGGAATCGAAACCACACGGCTCTTCCATAGTAATCACACGCGTGGGTTGTGTCCCACCGTTTCACACACACGCGTGTTGAAGATTTAAACACGCGTTTGTTATGTTACCCGAAGTACCGTCACCACCGCCATCACCAAAATATTCACCACCAATGACAGCTGTCACCACCACCAACACTATCACCACCAACACTATCTAAGACTCAGGGGCGGGGAACCTTTTTTCTGCCAAGGGCCATTTGGATATTTATAAAAGAATTCGCGGGCCATACAAAATGATCAACTTTAAAATTTGCCCGTTATATTTGGTCAAACATTTAATGAACTCACCCCTAATGCGATGGGCTGGAACAGCTCCTCTTTGGCGATGCGTGGTGATGATGTTAGCTGGCTATTGACGATGTTGCTGCTACTCGCAACTGCTTTTCCAGGTTTGCTCTCCTAGATTTATTGAATTTCGAGTCCAGCCTGCGGTTGCCTTGGCAGGGCCAGAGCCCAAATTATTTCGTGGGCCGGACGTTCCCCACCCCTGCTCTAAGACAAAGGGCCCCAACAGACTGTTGGGGGCAAGTGCTGTTAGCGAGTAGCAGCTTTGAAGGCCGGCACGGCACACGAGGGGGTGGGTGGCCAGCACCACGCCCGGCCTCCTTTGTCTCCCCCAGTGGCGGTGTTTACACACCGCACCAGGTACTCATTTGAGGCTGAGTCGATCTGTGGGAGGCGCAGGACCGGTTCGAATATAATCGTCACCGGTATTGTCCGTTGAGCGGGAATCGAACCCGGGTCGCTGCACTGCCGCTCGCATAGTCAAGTCACTGTATTTTTTTCGTTTGCCATACAGCCAGATAATACGACAAATCGCTAACCTCAAACACCCGGTCGTTTGTAAAAGTTGAAGGCGGTATAGTACTATAGTAATAGAGCAAGTGCAGCATCAATGAACCGCGAATTGAGAGCTTGAAAAGCGTTTAGCGCGGGGCCCTTGAAAGTGCGGGGCCCGTAGCTACTCCACATGTAGCTACTACACAAGTAGCTACTCCACATGTAGCTACTTTTGCTACTAGAATAATGTGGCACTGGGAAAGGTGGGGGGGAACGATGCCTGAAGGCCGACTCGTGCCGAACGGGGTCACTGGGGCGCATCCTCGACATCTCCACCACGGAGCGCCGCTCCGGGCGTCCCGTACAATTCCAGCGGGGGAAAAAACAAAAAGACACACACACACACCGGCTCGGCTCCTCGCAGGCCCGAGGAGAGTTTGCCGACGGGGAATATTTTTCCCCAAAATGAGTGCAGACTTATCATCGATTCTCGGGCGCGCGTTTCATCCGGCCGCTTCCAACATTGTCCGGCGGATCCCGGGTGCCGATCTGGCGAAACCGGCAAATGCTCCAAATGTCTGTTAACCACCGTCTGGCGATCGGCACCCGCTTTGTGTGCATGACAAAAAAAGGCAGCTATGCTTGATTTCAGTGTCATGTATTAAATACAAAGTAAAACCTAGTGGATTGCGAGTAACTTGGTCTGCGTGTGTTTTGCAAGACGAGCAAAAATTTTAAATAAATATTAATTTGATAAACGAGCGAGGTTTTAGCAATACGAGTAGTAGTACGTGTACACGCTTTGTACTGCCGAGCGTCACGTGATCACAACTGATTAACGAGTGCTTTGATATATGAGTGCTTTGGATTACAAACACGTTTCCGGAGCGAATTATGCTCGCAATCCAAGGTTTTACTGTATTATATACGGTACATTATACACCACATACAACTTAATGAATATACTGCACGGATATACATCACCCCGAGATTGGAGGGGCAAGTACGGTACAGTTATAACACAGTCACTTTTTAAAGTAGAATATTTACTTTTGTCTATTTGTATGCTTATTTATGCCAATTTCACGACGTAAATACATTTGAAACACACACAGAGCATATAACTACAACTAAAAACACGTCATTCAAGAATATGCAAAAAATAAGCTGTTTCAAATCACGATTTAGCGATTATCCGGCGTTTTTGAAAATACGGCGCGCACCGCAAAAGCCGCCGGATAATCGATGATCAATTGTCACCTTCGAAACTTTCGCCGCCGATCAAAAATAATAATCGGATTAATTTGGAGAGAACTTAACGGCACGACGGCCCCCCACCCCAGCCCCGACCTTCCAACGAACCGCAATGATCATGCGGCGGTTCCTTTACCGCGAAAACCCAGCACGGCAGATACATCTGAGCCAGGGGTCAGCAACCGACATAAGAGGCGGAATTCTTTTCTCAAGATCTCCGCCCACCACCATCACCACCACCACCACATATAACCTTCAGCAGACTAATGGGACAAGTGTGCAACAACGACCGCCGTTCGCTACCAAGTGGCGGTGACGTAACCACGGCGCTTGCGCCAGGCTACGTGCACGTTGAGGCCACGTGAAGTGTCGAACGCCTGCCCGCAGGAGGTCACGGGGCAGACCCAGGTGCCGTGAGTCGACTGAGACGACTGGCCGATGCACCACCTGTGCCCCCTACTGTGCCAACTTGGTAACGCCGTGGTGAGCAGTGCCATGGGGGGAGGGCGCCAATTTCGATTGGCCATTCCCCTCATTGCGTTTGTAGCCACCACAGCG